TGTTAATTTACTGGGTTACTTGTCCTTGTTTTTTTTTTATATATACAATGGGATGCAATCATAGGTTCTATGTTACCAAGTACTAGGTGACTGGGCTCCCTGCACCTTGTTCCGAAACCAAGTTACTATTGCAATGAGCACTCTGTGCCTCACTCTTACTCAGGATTACCACATCTTATACTTCACCAAAATTCTTTGGCTTAACATACACCGGTGCTCTGTACTCCAGCCTTAATTCTCTTTCACCTTTTGAATACTCTTATAAAATATAACCTTTCTTATTCTGATATAAATTGGTTTTACTCTATATGCCAAAAATGGGTGTAAAGACATCAGAAATTTGTTAACCTTAACAGGTCTACAATAAAAAGGAATATTTGACGTCAATTTTGACGTTATTGAATGATTTTAATGGGCCGCTTATCGATGCTATGCTTCATAATATTTCTTTCGCATTTCTATATTTGTTAATGTATTTCTCTGATTTTTGCATATTTTATGCATTTAAACTTTCATCATAAGTTGTCATAAAAATAAGTATCTGTCTATAAAAATTGTGAAATAGTGAAACTTGTCTAGAATTTATCGAGCAATCGTCGTACATTGAACTACTAAATTTAATATGTATCTCAAATGGGAAAAAAAAAATAAAAACAAAACAAAACAATAAAACAAAACTAAAAACCTGTACAATTTATTAAAATAAGTGGTACAAATCACGATATACATGTAATTCATCTTTTTTTAAATCATATTTTCTGCAAAACAATTTCATAAGAATTACACTTATAAAAAAAAGTAAACCTTGTACGTCAGTCTTGGGGTGATTTATTGATAGAATAATTATTTAGCGTTTAATTTACAATCACGGAAACACTTGCTAAAGTTATATCAAGATGCTTACACGTGTTGTTTGACGAACTGTTCCAATTTAAACAAAAGTTTTACTGCACAAGGAATAAAGCATTCTTTATATATTCATTTACAGGGGAATAAATGGAGATAAACACCTACGAAATCTGATGTATGGGTCTCTTAATAAAATCTATAAAAGAGGTATTTATAGAATATACTAGTATACATGTAGGCTATCTTAATTAAATATGAAGATAACGAACAGTATTCAATCTCGAAAGTCCAATGAAACGATACAAATTTGAAGCAGAGCAAACACGGACCTCAAAATTTAGAGTTGGTGGGATCAGGTGCCATGGAGGAGTTAGCATCCCCTGTCGACCGGTCACACCCGCCGTGTGCTCCTTGTCATGATCGGGTAATAACGGAGAAGTCCGTCGACAGTTCAGTGTATAAATAATGGCCTAACAATTAGTATGAAAAACGTCAGTTAGCATTTGACTCAATGTTAGGTTGTATGTGCTTACAAGGACATTGTATCGACCGTACAACATGCGAAAAAATACCTTCAAACGAGACTTTTGATATTCTTGTTTCATCAACTTGCTTGTCAATAGCTTGCCTCGTTTTAGAAATGGTTCATACGTAGAGCATGGTTTTGCGTATCGAATCAACTGAGAGATATAAACCCCATAGGCAGGTGATAAGGGTATATTGCTACATAAGTAAGGGAAGTTGACGATTGAAAAGTTGAAGTCATCACGTTTATCATAAAGCTTTGTTGTTAGATTACCATTGATGTCTTTTTCTAGCAAAATATCTAAACAGATGTGTCAGAATCTGTGGTATCTTTTATTTCAAGCTCACTGGGATATATCGAGTCGACATATGAATGGAAGTAACTATTGTTAATTGTAAAATAAGAATCTTTCAAAAGCTTCTTGATTTCTATTAAACCATTGTCGATCTTCCTTACATGGCTATGTATCATTATGGGAATGTTTACAACTTTTTTCTGTGTGATTATTTTTATTATTTTGTTCCATTTCTTTTCTTTCCTGAATTGCGATTATGAAAGGTTCGTATTTAATAGAAAAATAATAATATGCACATCTTATACGAAACATAACTTTCATTCTTATGTTTAGAAAATTTACACTTAAGACACTTTACTTAAAGGATCAGTGCACTTAAGCTATGAGAGTTGGATCCCGGTGCTTTGCCAATAATAAATTTCCGAAATTTATAAACTTTTTATATCAGAATTATTAAACAATATCTTAAGAGCAGGGTTTGATATATTATATCACATAAAAATATTAAATAATGCCGAGCGACACTGGTTTTTGCGACAGGGGTCTAGCAGTTTTGTCACATTTCTATTGTTATCCATATGCATACCAGTTTTCAACGACATTGTTTACATCGAGCCGCAACTTGTCCATTCTTCTCATTTGCACAGACTGTGTATTTTGATATAAACTTATACATATCCAAAGGGCAATGTTGGACAATTTGCGGCTCATATGTAATTTTTTAAAAAATTCTCCAAACTACGCTCGGGTTAGCTACTAAATTAACAGGTCACCGAGTGTCAACCTATTTTGACCTGTTTGATATTATAATCACTTTACTCACGTGACATTCCACTGTTCGATATGCTTTCATTCAATCACTGTGTCTATCAATGGACTTCAGGGCTGTATACACGGTTATGTATTTAAGTACAAAATCTGACTATGTATAGACTTTTAATACGGTGAATCCTAAGATTTTTCGAATCTTATAAAACTGTATTAAGAATAGGGCAATGCTCTATTTCTTAATACAAGTCTTAACTTACCTTTCATTTTTAAACCAATCAAAAGTACTCACATTGTGGTCACCCTATTTCTATCATAACAAAAAAAAAGCACGTGTTAATTATTGTCGACTTTAGCATAAAAATATCGAAAAACTCGTTGTTCTATGGGAAGAAGATCAAAAGGAGTAACTACATGTACTTGTAAAAGTTGCTCAAATGCAGCGTTATCTATTCTAAAGAAGTTTTTATAACTACTGGGGTCTTCTCTTTGCACCTCATCTAGCGATGCATTGTGTGCACCAAGTACATATACGAGTGTTCTGCTGCTGTTTCCATTACGATGTTTTTTTTTTTCAGTTTTAATGCAATGCATAATACGATAACAGATACTGCTAACAGAACCTCGTTTTCCATTATTGAGAGAGAGAGAGAGAGAGAGAGAGAGAGAGAGAGAGAGAGAGAGATTGCGAGGGAAACACGTAGAAAGCCCTAAAGTCTATTAACAATCTAATAAAACGTATAAACGTGTGTACAGGAAAGTATTATAATACAAATATAATACTTGTATTATACAGTAACTACAAATCTCACCGTTTGTACCGGCCTGAACAACTTCAAAATAATGAAGAATTTTGCGAAAATTTTATTAGGGTCTTTAAGTTTACCTTGCCTGCTTTCACTAAATTGTGTTTTTCGTTTAGTATTTTGAAGGAAATTCTGGTATTGCCAGTGCAAATCAAGTGCACGATTAGTATGTAGCTTTGTTAGCTCATGTCGCCTCTGTATTATGGTCTGCAGGCATCTACAGACACATCCCTAAACACTATATATCATACCTGACAATATTTGGATTGCCGAAAAGAAACAGATATCGAAGACACAAGCGGGTTATTATCGATATAGTAACGTTGTAGAATTTTCGTTGACCATGTTTTTTAATCTAAAATATACTTGTTCCGTCAATAAAATGTTAATTTAAATTACAGATAGTTTGTATTTCTTGGAGTTTTCATGTTAACCTAGCGACTCAAATTTTAAGTTAAAATTTTATATTTCATTTCCGAATGTTATTTACCTATACATGCATATAATAAATTATGTATCACTGTGAGTACTACATACATGTATAATTTGTTTCACTACACGTTTGTATTACTCTACGTACTACATGTACAGTGAATTACGATTAAATGTAGTGTGACATCGAAGTCATATACATGTGAATCTTTCTTAAAACATACATTCATTCTTTGAATTGAAAAGCATTCAGCATATAAAACGAAAAATGATTAAGCTAAAGAAAAAAGAGGGGGCATTTTTTATCATATACGAAAACTTAAGATTGATCTAATTCGGTGCTAGGCATCAAACATATGGTTACGAATCATGAAAATGATCAATATGTATGGCCATGAATCATTTATTATTTGTGTGAATCATGAAACTACACAATCTTTCTCTCCTCCATTTAAATTCATACCGTAGAATCAATCTGGAAATAATGTGCAAATGTTTACATTCCACTTCCATGCGATTTAAATATCTCCGCCCATTTGCGGGTACCTTAAATTCGAAAGTGGTCCAGTTCATATTTCCGGAATTTAAGGCTTATACATGTTCTTTTCAATGACGTTGTGTGGAATTATAGCAATATGTTTAACAAAAAATTCGAAGTATAAATATCAAAAGCATATGTATGCACAATAATCATAGATAATTTAGCAATATAGTCTAATTCAAGGCTTAAAATCGGTGGCCGAAAAGGCTCCAAATGACAATCTAAAGTGCACTCATTCTTGTCTTTAACACATCTTTGTATTTGTTGTTTGTTTGTTGTTTAACGTCCCTCTCGAGAATTTTTACTCATATGGAGACGCCACCACTTGCCGGTGGAGGGCTGCAAATTTTGACCTATACTCGGTACTCAAGGCCATTGAGCGGTGAGGGATCTTTTTTGTGTTAGTACCTCAGTTTATACCCTTTCATCCGAAGGACCGATCTCAACGTCCCACAGTAGGATCCAAACCCGCGACGTAATGATCAACTCCTTACACCGCGACTCTAACCACTGCGCCACGCCGATCATTGTATTTCACCACCTAATTTTATTATTGCGTGATTGTTCTTAGAAATTCGATACTTATATCGTGATAATTCTAGATATTTACATTCTGTATATTCTTAAATATCCTCGATTATACATCATTTTTCATATATTTCAGTCTGTGACAAACATATTCTTTTACGAAACTGAGAATATGAAAAGGTATATTTGCTTTTTGTATATGCTTAATTCTTTTCTGCTTTTTAATATATGATGGTTATAATTTGTTATCTACAGTAGACTTGTACTGTTGCTGGTCATGGTCACTACCGTGTTTGGTTCTATGAAGGAGACTCCACAGCAGATCGTTAACAAATACAACAACTACAGAAAAATCTGTATTGGACTTGGATATCAGAACCTAAGCTGCAAAGCTGACAACAAAGGTAAGGGATGTTTTTAACAACTTTCAAGTCGCTTTGTAACGAATTAGCAATTTAAAAGTGGACATTTTCCTTCTTTTGTTATCAGTTATTTTTGAAAACGGTATAGATAAATTGACTGCATCTAAAAGTTTTAAAATATGCCTTGAGGATGATGGGATTTAACATTGATAATATCTTATGTTGAAGGGAAAAGATCAATTGCTTTTCAATCGTCACTAAGCAGTACGTTGGAGAACATGGGAAATCAACAGACCGTGATATTTGACAAGGTGACCTTGAATGAAGGAAAAGGTTATAATAAAAAGACAGGTGTGTTTACCGCCCCTGAGGAGGGGCTGTTTAACTTCAGCTGGACAATGAAGTCAAAGGCAGGTCAATATTTTGTCAGTGAGATAGTACATGACGGTAAGCCCATTGCTTATAACCAAGCGGATGGAAGAGGCCTCACTGGTTATGCAATGACATCAAATACTGCCAACATCAAAATGAACAAAGGAGATAAAGCATGGATTAGAACAAAGGATAGCTACGGTAAATATGCTAGTGGTGGATACTGGTGCAATTTCTCAGGAAATAAGTTATAAATAAACCATGCATTTAGTGTAATAAAAAAATAAACAGACTTACTCGTTACTCTTTCATTTGCTTCGATTACCATTTCCAATACAATAATGGATGATGTTCTTCTGCGAACTCCAAACATACTTCTCTCTCTCTCTCTCTCTCTCTCTCTCTCTCATTAATTAATTACATGTATTACTTTTTTAAAAAGAAGCAGATGTCTTCCTTTTTTCCAATTATACCTCTGGCTACACGTGAGATAGGACTTTGAGGCATTACTATGATGCATATTTTTGTACAACTATAGGTAATCAACAACAGTAAATTGAGATGAAATCATTCAAATAAGCAGTGCAAAGTTGTGACCCTGGCAATATAAGTGTTAAGCAAGTCAGCGTGTAAGAATTCATTAAATATATGCCTATATCCATAATTTTTTTTATTTTATGCTCTTGATTTGTCAAATAATGTTTTTGAAATAAGTGCATATAAAACTCAATAATGTTATGGTTTTCGTTTCAAAACATTTAGTTCCCTATAAAGAGCTTCACTGAATCCTCGGGTTTTAGAAAAATACACACATTAGAATCCCATCGTATTGTATTGACAGGTAAAAAGAATATTCCGTAGTCAAAGTAGTGTAAACAGAGGTTAGCAATTGGCATGAAGTATTTCAATCAAAATACAACCAAATGATAGGTTATATTCGCTAAATTGGTCATTATACGACCATAGAATTTACGAAATGCAGAACGTAAACGAGGTGCTTCAAATCAAAGTAACATCAACTTATCTGTTAGTAGCCTGCCTAGGTTTAAAATTGATCCTACTCCGAACATGCTATTGAGTATCGTGTAAGTTGGGAGACATAAACACCATATGCAGATGATAGCGGAATATCACTACATAAATAAGTCATCTTGTTTGTCATGCAGTTTTGTTAGTTCGAGTTTATCGACTATAGTCAATAAAACGTCCAAATATAAAATAGATGTGGCAGACTCTGTGTCTTTTATTTCAAGCTCACTGGGATATATCGAGTCGACATTTGAATGGAAGTAACTATTGTTAATTGATAAATAATTGAAATATTTGAATGTTGAGTTGAAGGTCACAGCGTTTCCTTCTTCTCATGTAGAAGTTTTTGAATAAATTCTGTTTTATTCGAATATAAAAACATGTCAGCTAATAAAGAAGCACAATTTGTGTCCATCGATATTCCAACATGTTGGAAGACCTGGTCTCCGAAAACTACAAAACTCCAGCATTCTTTTAATATCAACTTCAGAGTACTTTTATGTAGAAACAAAGTAATTCTTTTGATGACCAATCACAAGATACCAAAATTTCCGAGTTCCATTTTTATTGAAGAAGCAGTTGTCTATGAGATCAAAATGCTAGCTTTTAGCTTATCTTCACGAATCCTGTATAAAGTGTAGAAAAATCGTACTTTGATAAATTGTTAATGTTTCGAAGGAGAATCTAAGGGGCACCAACTCTTCTGTCAGAGCCTGTGCCCCTTATGGACTCAACAGATTGATAACTTTTTACTGGGGGTTGTGTCAGCCAGTATGGAGTCGTTCATCTTTTTCAATATCCGTTGTGGAATATAAACCGAGCGACAAGTATCCTTGAAGACAGACTGTCCACCAGCAGATGGTTATAATGAAAACGATGATGATACAGAATAGTGATCGATCTCAAAAAATCAATAAATACAAATCAGTGAACTGGGCATAAAACACCGATCCCTTATTTTTGTTTATATCACAAAAATAGATATACTCTAATTATTTTTTTCCATATGAAAAGCACCTTTATTGCTGTTTTTATCAAATAAAACCATACACTGACAAAAAACCTCTTAACGACGTTGGATCCTGATATTTAAAGTCTTAAACTTTTTTGTCAAGTATATTTTTAGCTTCTACACACATAGCTTAATTAAAAATCAAAACAAAAAATGAGGGTCAATATGCTTCTTTTGGCGCTACAGTACATTTAAAATGACCTTTTTGCACTGAATTTGTGTCTTAATCAAAAATAACATCTTCGACGTTTTCCCTCCAATATTTTTTATCCAAATAAATCATGGGACAAAGTATGCTATTATTCTCTCTTAAAAAAGACACTTTAAAATTGTGACAAAGAAAAATTTTCAAATTGCTTCGCATAATCAATTATTTGACCTTTCTGCACTCACAAAATGTCATTTTTCGGGCATTAAAAATTTAAAAAGCAAGAAAATTTTTTTAAAGTCTTAAACTTTTGCTGAATTTAAGTAGATTAATCAGAGTTATCTTATATATTCAGAAAAGAAAATCAAAAGTGGAGGTCTATGATGTTAATTTTTAGATATTACTAAAAAACTGTTAATTTTATGATAAAATTGGCTCAATTTTTTCCTGGAGTTTCAGAATATATTTTCTATATTTGTCACAATATGATGATAGAATTCACAAAAACTGATTTATTTAATATTTTAGAACCAGCATTAAATATCTCAATGCACAAAATAGCTCTGTGTGCAACCAGCATGGAAAAATAGGAATCTAAATTTAACAGTGCTGTATAATTTCAAAAGGGAAAAAATGATCATTTTCTTCTAAAAAAATCTTCCGCCACAAAATATAGTTCCTGGCTTAATCCTATTTGAATGGGATTTAATCGCGTTTTTTTTTTCATTGGATATAGTATAATTTGCATTGTAGAATCCAGATTTAATGTTAGAACTTAAAAATAATGCAGAATTTTAGAAATAAAGCTCCAGACCAAAATCTGCTCAAAAGCTCAGGATCGAACGTCCTTAACTAAACTTTTTGGAACTTGATGGGGGAATTTTAAAATTTTTAAAAGATGGAGAGATACATGTACTTATATGTGGTAATTTTCCTGCAAGAACTTGAAACTAGACATACTCAAATATGACAGATAAACATTCGATGAAATTTTCAGCTAGTGCGCACATTTTTTTTCAATAAAAAAAAAGTGTTGTCGTTTTAACCGGACAACCCTCGTACGCGTTAGAAAGAAAATCTATGACCTGTAAAACGTTGCATTATTAATCAAATTTAGTTTTATATTTTATAAAACGTGTTATTTATATTTTAAATCTAATTATTCATTTTTGAAAACTTTTATTATTCATGTTCAAAACATTATTTTATAAATCTTATTATTTATATTGGATTATTGTGAATCCATGTTCATAAACTTGTGAGTTTTATGCGAAATTTTGAGATTTATATTCGAAATCTAGTAATTTGTATCAAAAAGTTATAGTATTCCAAGACTTAATATTTTTATGCTAAAAATTCGCTATTCATATTCGATATTCTGTGATTTATATGCATAAATATTATAATTCATGTGCGAAATCTTGTTTTTGCATATAAATAAGTTTTCGAAAATGAGTATCATTTTTGCATATAAATCACATAATCGAATATAAATAACAAGTTTCCGAAAATAAATATCATCTTTTTGCATATAAACCAAAAGATTAAATATAATATTAATAATAATTTATAAATTATAATTATATAAACTTTTCGAATTCAAATATTAATTTTTGGCATATAAAATACGAATCACATGCTTTCATATAAATAAAAAGGTTTTGAATATGAATATCAATAATAGTAGTGCACAGAAAGGGGAAATTGGGGGGGGGGGGTTAAGGAGACCCGGCTCACATTTTTAGAATAGTTTTTCTATGTAGTTGTAATATGTAAAGTGTCATTTGGAAGCTGCTTTGACCCCCACTTTTTGTTGATGAACGCTTTGACACTGGCAAATTCTGGGATCTGAAGAAAAAATTGTACTGAAACGTAAGACCCCCCCTCCACACACACACACACACACACACCCCCTCACACACACACACACACACACACACACACACACACACACACACACACACACACACAATAGAATTCTAGAGTTTTGGCGGTTTACGTTCTTTTTTCGGAGGTTGCCCCCACTTACGAGCCTGTTTTGGATAATAATAAAAAGAACTCGCATATAAATCATTAGTTTACGACTATAAATAACAATTTTCAAATAAAAATCAAAAGATTTAGAATGAATCAAAAGTTTATAAATATGTGAAAAACAATTATCAATTATAGCAGAAGATTTGTATAATAATGCACACGTTTTACACGAATTAGAAAGTAGAGTTTTTTCCGGACTATGTAAATGGATATTTCCTTTGACAACACTTAGTTCTTCGTTTGAGCAAAATATATATTTGATATATCTTCTTTGCAAAAGATTTATCATTCCTCTGATGAAGGAAATCATCTTGTTCACAACTTTTCAAATTATGTACAACATTAATGCTGCATAAGTTGGTTTGTGAGAAACAAATGACTAAGAGAATGTCACGATTCTACAGAGTTAAAGAGGTAGGGTTTGTTCTAATTTGTCCATAACTTTGGAATGATATGCGAAAAACCCTTCAGATTTCTCCGCATTTTTTTCAGATATTTCAGGTATTTTTCCTGACCAAAAATTCGTTTAAAAGTGCTATAGCAACTTAGCTTTTCGTCAGAATGTGGTACAACTTGTGAATTCCATTTCATTATACAATACTTAACTTAATAATTTTTAAGTTACGTTTGATTGATTGATTGATTGATTGATTGTATATTGTTTTACGTCCCATTCGAGAATTTTTCACTCATATAGAGACGTCACCATATACCGGTGAAGGGCTTCAAATTTTGACCTTTACTCGGCACTCAGGGCCATTGAGCAGTGAGGGATTTTTATCGTGCCAACGCCTGTCGTGACACGGGACCTCGGTTTTTAAGGTCTCATCCGAAGGACCCGCAACTTTCACTTCAAAGTGCCGAGCGCATGGCGTGGGAAAAGTTGCTACCCATTTTTTATCGGCTTAGGTCAGTCGCGGCCGAGATTCGAACTCACGACCTCCCGATCACAGAGCGAGCGCTCTTCCGACTGAGCTACCGTGAACGGTAAGTTACGTTTGAATTTTACATATAGAGAATTGTGTGCGTTGTGCTAATGGGTTAAGGTTATCTAGATTTTCCTAGCATATAGCTATTATGTGTAAAAACACGCCGAGAAAAACTCCTGGATATATGTTGATAATGTTTCTGACAGATCGATAGCAGACTATAAAAAAATAATGGAGAGTTACTTTGTAATGAGTGGTGAATAAAGCTGATTTATATGGCCATTTTGAAGAATAAAAATCCACAAAGTCGTTTCATTCCTTACGGAAATTTGGCTCTGGTCATTAAACCACCGGCTCCTCTAATTTAGATGAAACCTTAAATATTTGATCTTGGAGATAGAAGTCAAATACAAGGATAATTTATACATCTGTTATATAAATCTCAGTTTGAGCCAACAATGTCAGAGAAAACCTATTGCTTTAAAGGACAAGTCAAATATTGCACTGAAAAATTAGAATATAGGGCTGTCTATGTCAATGAAAAAATCTCTAGTCATTCCGTGAGCGTACGACGTGTTAAGTAGCGGATGAGCCCATGACACGCGTTGACTGATCGTAATGACCCTATGACTTAAACGTGTGGACACATACATAGCAGATTGAATCTATGACTTATACGTGTTGACGTAGCGGATGAGGCTAGTACCTTCGTTTTGACTTGCTAAGGAACAATTAAACTTTACCAGTCCCCCCCCCCCCCCAAAAAAAAATATGGAGTCCCCGACGTGTATATTATATCTCCTGAGCGATCGAAGAATAAGAGAAAAAATATGAAGTTTTGATCCTTTTTGACCCCCATAATCGTAATCCACGACGAAAGGTTTAGTTTAGAAACCTCATATTTTAAAAGAAATTTTTAACCTCGTTCTCTTAAAACAAAAAATAAATATTACATGTATCGTTTAATCAATTACAGAAATGTGTGGAGGAAGAGCTTGCTGCGAATATGCTTAGTGCCGTTTTTTTTTTCTTATATATACTTTGTCATTCTTTTAACAAACAAACGTGATATCAATGAAGACAAATATGGAGATAACGATTAGTATTCAAACTCAGAAGTATATTCAAACAATACAAATCAGGAGCAGAGCAAACACGGATCTCTAAAACATAAGAGGTGAGATCAGGTGCCATGAAATGTTAGCATCACCTGGCAACCGGTCAAGCCCGCCGTGTGCTCCTTTATGATCGGGAAAAACGGAATAACCCGAAGACAATTTAGTGTGTAAAGAATGGCAAACCATTAGTATGAACAAAGTCAGTCAGCATTTGACTTAATGATAAATTGTATTTGCAGACAAGGTCATTGTATCGACCATAGAACTTAAGAAATGGCGACTTTGAAGGAGACTGTTGATGTTCTTGTTTCATCAACTTGTTTGTCAATAACTTACCTCGTATTAGAAATTCTTCATTCGTAGAACATGCTCTTGCGTATCGAATCAACTGAGAGTCATAAACCCCATATGCTGGGGATGAAGGTATATTGCTGCATAAGTAAGGGAAATTGACGATTGAAGAGTTGAAGTCATCACGTTTATCATAAATCTTGGTTGTTAGGTAATCATTAACGTATTTTTTTTGCTTTTGTTTAATATCCGAATATGAAACAGATGTGTCAGAATCTGTGGTGTCTTTTATTTCAAGCCCACTGGGATATATCGTGTCGACATATGAATGGAAGAAACTGTTGTTAATTGATAATACGTCGTCGATAAACCTAAATGTCGAGTTGAAGGCCACAGCAAGATATTTCCTTTTCTCATGTTTAAGACTTTGAATAAATTCTGCTTCATATGAATACAAAAATAGGTCTGCTAATAACGGAACGTAATTGGTACCCATGGGATTCCCAACAGATTGTTGGAAGACCTGGTCTCCAAAAACCACATAGATATTGTCAATCAGAAACTCAAGCATCTTTTAATATCATCTTCAGGGTTAGTGTTTCTTGTGTGAGTACTTGTGTGTACAGTCAGAATGTTTTTTAATAAAATAATTTTGCAAAGGAACAATGACAAGTTAAGTACATTTAGAGTTCGATTTTTTTGGAAAAAACAGCCGTCAATGATGTCAAAATGCCTGGACTGTAATTTATCGTGGGAGTGGTTGTATACAGAGTTGACAATTGTAAGTGTTTATGCCATTGATTTTGGTAAAATTTTGTGATTTCAAATTTTACAAAAGTTCCTTGGAAACTTTAAGTATACACGTCTGATTTACACCACTTCTTAAATATAAATAATGTTTTGCAAACAACATTATCAGACTAAGACGAATGAAAACTGAGTCATAAAACCATGCGTCTTCTTCTACTTTAAACATCTACAGATCAAAGTGTTTTAGAACAACAAATAACGAAAACGTAACGCGAATGAAGAAGTGGATGAGCTTTATGTGAAAACCAGTAAGATGAAGGAGGGGATTTATTTGTTAGGGTATTTGCAAGATTTTATATCGTACAGAATACAAAAAAGATACATGTATGCATAATTTATACATTATTTACACACTGAATTGTCGACGGATTTTTCCGTTATTTCCCGATCATGACAAGGAGCACACAGCGGGTGTGACCGGTTGGCAGGGGATGCTCGCTTCTCCATGGCACCTGATCCCACTTCTGATGTTTTGGAGGTCCGTGTTTGCTCTGCTCCTATTTTGTATTGTTTAATGGACTTTTGAGCTTGAATACTGTTCGTTATCTCCATATATTTCATACAAAACATTGTCTTCTTTACATACTCACTTTAATTTTTATGTTTAGAATAATTACACTTTAGTCTAGGAATAACTTGCACTTTATGAAAATTTGTTGTCACATATCATTGTATTTCTCAACCAAATTACATTTTTGCGTGCCTGTTTTCTGAAATAAGATACTTTTATCGTGATTATTCAACGATATTTACGTTTTATTTATACTTAGATACTCTCTCTTACAAATCACTTTCATCTATTTCAGTCCATAATATACACAACTCAGTTTTTTCTCTTTGATGGAGAATATGAAAGGGTATCGCTGGAATTTGTTTCTCCTGTGTGTTTAATTCTTATATATAACTCTTAAAAGTTTTTGTGTGTTTTCCACGGTGTATTTTAACCGTTACTGATATATTCCACAGTAGACTTGTACTGTTGCTGATCTTGGTCACTAGGGTGTTTGGTTCTATCAAGGAGACACCGCAGCAGATCGTTACCAAATACAACAACTACAGGACCATCTGTATTGGACTTGGATATCAGAACCTAAGCTGTAAGGCCGACAACAAAGGTACAGAATTTTATTTCAAAGAATGTTACAGTTTTTATGAAAAAAAAAACTATTCATAAACCATTAATAATATACTTATTCATTTTTCTATTTTGCATCACTTTTATTTGTGGGAAGCGTATTTGTTTGATTATTGATCTATTTTTAAAACAAATATGCTTGATACATCAATTATATTTAAATGTATCATCAAAAAGAATTACTGATTTACCTTTTTTAAAGGAGCAATTGCATTTCATTCGTCACTAAGCAGTGACTTGGAGAACATGAGAAAGCAACAGACAGTGATATTTGACAACGTAACCTTGAATGAAGGAAAAGGTTATGATAAAAAGACGGGTGTGTTTACCGCCCCTATGGAAGGTGTATATACTTTCAGCTGGACAACCATGTCAAAAGACAGTAAATACTTTGTAAGTGAGATCGTACTTGATGGTAAGCCTATTGCTTATAATTACACAGATGGAAGGGGGCGCAGTGGTCATAATATGTCATCAACAAATGCCAACATCAAATTGAGGAAAGGCGACAAAGTTTGGATTAGAACACACAGAGACTGGGGTCAATTTGCTAATGGTGGAAATTGGAGTAATTTTTCAGGAAATAAGCTATAATATAATGTGCATATGCAGTGATATAAAGTAAACTGATAAAATTATGTGCAATTCTTTCATATTTTGTTCGAAGGGAAAAATTGACACTCATTATTTTTTTTTGCTTGGGTTCGAACCCCAAGAATACCACTTTTTTTAAAATTATAAAATGATTTTTTGCTGAAAGAAGTTTTGTTTGTCATAATTTCATACCTTTCAATGATAAGAACTCTCCTTTAAATACCAAATTCTCATACTAAATATGACTTTTATACATTTGAAGCTAGAGACATTTTGCACGCCTTGTTCACCCACCTTCTCTGTACTGACGTCTCTTCCGGACCTCAGAACAAAGCCTACAAAAGTGGATCGAGAAATCTTGCCCGAACTTCGACCGCTTGTTACGATCAAAATGAGCTGAATTGGATTCCCTCCCGGCTTCAATTTTTCGCTTTGGAATCCTTTTAACTCCCTGTCACTATGAAACTTTCGTTTCTTACTTTTACAAGTTTAAATCCAACTAAAAATCAACTTGTTGATTCTTCAAAACATTGTCATATTCGTTTATACCTCCGACGCCGAAGAGTTCCCGTCAAAGTCACAAATAGTCTGCTTCAAATACTTCATTTTACTATTGGTAGCAACGAACGAAAGTACGAAGTATTTGAAGCAGACTATTTGGGACCTTGACTGCAAATTTGAAGCAGAGCAAACACGGACCTCTGGTGGGATACGGTGCTGTGGAGGAGTAAGCATCTGCTGTCGACCGGTCACACCCGTCGTGTGCTCCTAGTCATGATCGGGCAAACGGAAAAATCCGTAGACAAATCAGTGTGAAAATAATGGCCTAACAATTTGTTTAAAAAATGTCAGTCAGCATTAGACTTAATGGTAGATGATATTTTCTGAAGCTCATTGTATCGACCATAGAAACTGTTGATATTTTTGTTTCATTAACTTATTTGTCAATTGTATCGTTTTAGAAATTGTTCATCTGAAGAGTATGCTCTTGCGTATCGAATCAACTTAGAGACATAAACTCCATATGCAGGTGATAATGTTTTATTGCTAGGAAAATACGGTAAATTGACGATAGAAAAGTTGAAGTCATTTCGTTTATAATAAAGTTTTGTTGTTATGTTATCATTAGCGTCTTTTTCAGCCAAAATATCTAGATATGAAACAGATGTGTCAATTGAAGGCTACAGCAAGTGGTTTCTTCTTTTTGTGTAGAAGTTTTTGAATAAATTTTGCTTCATGTGAATACAAAAATAGGTCGGCTAATAACAGGGCACAATTACTACCCATGGGAATTCCAACAGATTCCTGGAAGACGTGATCTCCGAAAACCACATAGATATTGGCAATAAGAAACTCAAGTATCTTTTTTAATATCAACCTCGGAGTATTTGTGTATACATGTAGGATAAGAGTGTTTTTAACAAAATAAGTTTGAAGATGGCAAATGACAAGGAACTATTTGCCTACAAAATAATATTAAAAAGTAAATAACCTACTCCTGAAAGAATATTTTAGGAAAAGAAATTAACTCCATCAAATTTTTCTTTCTTGATTATTATTATTATTATTCATCGCGTACATATTTGTGAGATGAATTGCAAATAAAAAACGAACTATCAGTATTTATAAAGTGGTCCCAGAATTGGAAGCTTCAAACATGCCGTCACTGCCCACAGTTAATCATGACCTTGACCCCTTGTCCACTTTTTGCCATCTCAAATGCCTCCAGGGTTTGTTCCAGTTTGTATCGGTGGGTAATCAATGGTTTTACGTCGATTTTACCACAGGACAACATCTCTATCAGCGTGGGCCAACTACAAATGTTAAATCAAAATCTTACTGCAGGCAACCCCATTAAGAACCCTCTATAGATACACTGCTGTCAAATTTCTGATGATATATATGTACCTAGAGTGAGCAGCCCTTAAATCTTAAAGATAGTGAATTGGAATCTACTATGTATTTCATAATTTGCAAACAACAGTGATTTCTGTTCATCAATACTCTGTTGTCTTTGAACTTTTTTCTTAAAGGGGGGAGGGGAGGGCACCCTATGATGAAAATTAAATAAATAAGCTCAGTATTTACACATTTATACGATATAATTTTCTCAGTGTCCTTCAGTTTACAGAATGTCATCTCTCTGTTTCTAAATTATGTCGCTTAATCGCTTCACAACTTTAAAAAATAATTAAAACTTATATACTCTATCGATGTGGGCCAAGTACAAGGTTTCAAGACAAGGTCTTAAATTGTTACTGCATGAGAAAATTAGGAAGAATTAAGCTTTTGAGGGGGTAAAGGGCCCTTTATACACAAAGGCAAAATGTATTTTTATCACTGAGAAAATTATATCTTATGAAGATATAAACTTTGAGCTGATCTATTTCATTTTCAACATATGGTAACTAGCATTTATCAACAGGAAAAATGTTCAAAGACAACAAACTATGGATGAACAGAAATCACTGTCGTATACTTAAATGGGGAAAATACACGCAAACAAAGTGATAATTCAATTTATCTTGGCCTATTTAAATGTTGAGAATGCTTGAATTGATTACAAATTGAGTAATAATCTATTGAATATTAGATCGAAGGGCAAATTACTCTAGCTGCATAAAAATACAAAAAAATTATCCGAGCTATTTAGTGTAAGGAAGATTTTTAAATAGATATTTCCCAGTATGAATTATATTAATAGCACTGCGAGAAAACTGCTCAGGAAACATAATTTGTAAGGGATTTTCTGATTAATTTTATGATAAATGGATTGTACATCATATCTGCTGTAGCCATTCCTGTAAATCCAAGACAGATACTGACAGGAATCTCTAATCATCCAGAGAACTCATGACACACATGTACATGTTTATTGTTGCCGTAGAAAAAAAAGAGCTTTTCTCATTCTAGTGAACTTATGACTTGCGTACTCACGAAGGGAAATGAGCTTATTTTATATTTCTTATCAGTCTGGCGAACTTATGACTTATGTGTTGACATAGCGGAATGAACCTATGACTTACGTGTTGACGTTGCAAAAACAACCTTTGACTTACGTGTTGACATAACAGAATGAATATATGGCATGTGTTAATGTTGCAAAATGAATTCATGTCTGTTGTTTACGAACCAGACTGAAAATATAACTTAACGTGTTGACGTAGCGGATTTAACCTATGACTTACTGCTTACGTAGTGGAATTAATCTATATGAATTGCATGATGAGCCATCATGAGGTACTGGAATGAACCTATGACTTACGTGTTCACGTAGCGGAATGAACCTTTGATCTCAATCTCCTTGGCAACAGTGGCCACAACCGGAAATGAAACAGAAGTCGGTCCGTGTCCAATTATAATGACTTGGCCACCGGGCTTTGTAGCCTAAAAAATAAGAAGATTTTTTTCCCCTGTAAATAGCGAAATATTGTTCTTCGCCTCAAGATATACGTCCAAACAGCATTATTCCACAATCTCTAAGGTATCATTTCTTGTCACTCATTTGACAATATCTTAAGTCCCAAAATCAAAAGACAGTACGCAGGTAACATGAATTCTAAGATTCCATTTCCTTTAAAAAGGTTGAACTGGGTACATGTACCTTTATGCAAAAACTTACGTGAACAGCGAGATTGACAGCAAACTGTGCTCCGCTACACTCAATGGTTCTGTCTGGCGTCGCCCCTATCAGATCCGCCACTTTTACTGCTACATCCTCCTCCTTGTCTTCCCGTGTTATCAGGAGTGTGTGGGTGGCGCCACACTTCTTAGCAAACTCAAGACGGGAGGAGTCTATGTCTACAGGAAACAAATGATTTGTTGGAAATATTCATTTTGCAAAGATTTCATTTCATGAATGTTTGACAAAAAAGTACAATAAACTTCTTTTATTTTCAAAGAAAAAATTATTGTTAAATTATTTATCTATGTAATCAAAATATGTTTGGTGTGTGAATTTTTGGAAAACAAATTGAAATATATTCCCAATGACAACACGTGACACCTTTTCGAGGGTGAGATTTTCTGTACTGACAAACATCTGCGATGCAGGGAAACTTTTAATTATTTTCGAAGGTGGTTTGTGTAATGTGACAAGAAATGATTTAACACATATAATTATAAAACAGGAACAATACCCCCCCCCCCCCAAAAAAAGAAGAAACATAATACATTTTGTATGCTTTATTATCTTCTGTATTTGTACCTGTCATGCAGATGGCTGAGGCGCCCAGCGCTTTTGCGCAAAGCATTGCACAAAGACCGATAGGACCTGCCCCCGTCACTAGGACTTTGTGCCCCAGCGTGATCCCGGCCCTCCAGCAACCGTGTAGACCAACAGAAAGAGGTTCCACGCATGCGCCTTCCTCAAAGCTGACGTTATCCGCAAGTCTAACAAAAGATCAGGGGTGCGTTCAACAGCATAGCTGCTACGTAGCCTCTACGTAAAGCTACGCTCTTGAGCGGAGAGCTAGCCTAGCCGCTACGTAGGGAGAGCAAGCATAAAGATTTGATGCTAAATACCAAATCCAAGATGGCCTCCTTCGCAGCACTTACGACTTTAACTAAATTGAAGATTATTTTGTACGACTTAGCATATTAAATGTATATTTACATATATATTTTCGCTTGAAATAAACTTTTTTGGCTCCAAAAAAAAGTTTATAGTGATATATTTATATTCGAAATTTAACACTTAGCGGCTAGGTTACATGTAGTTGTCCGTTCAATATCTACAACCTAGCTGCTAGGTTAGCCGCTACGATCTTGAACGCAACCCTGATTATTCTGGTTTTACTGTTAGAAGGAAGAACCTAAAATATTGCAAATGAACAAGGCACGGTCGAAGGTAAATTCAAATATGTGAGTGACAACTCACGGACAAGCTTAAGGTATATATTTTTCTTAAGGTTTAAGGAATAATTTTATGTACTGAATGATATGCACCTTGTACATGTAAAAAGATAAGAGGAAAATTGTTTTATAATGACTTCTCCACTAATTTCACTGTATAGTTGTTTGCTATTTTTTTTATCATTCAGTGAATTAAATGGCGGTCTGGTGATTTATACGGCATCAATAAAGTGCTTACTTGAACGTGAAATCTGCGGCGTGAACAAAGTACCTCGCCAGAGCCCCGTCGTCAGGGGGCGTGGCCAGGAAGTAAACTTTAGGACACATGTTGTAGCGGCCAGACTTACAGAACTCACATACACGGCACGTGATGTGTGGGTCCACAGCCACACGGTCACCTGAAGATTAAACAATATACACTGTATATTATAACTAAGAGTATAAAAAAATTCTTTTTTATAAGATTATGGTAATAAAGCATATATGCGTCAAATTTAATGTGCTGGGATAATTTCTTGTAAAAGACCTACACACCAATTTCATTTTTTTTTTTATCAGCAATACTAGAAAAATGTGATTTGAAATTATCGAGAGTGTTCAAATAAGGTTACCTATTTTCAGGTGTGTAACTCCCTCCCCCACTTTACTGATGACCCCGCTGATTTCATGACCTAGCAGTAATGGTCCAGTGACCACAAAGTGACCAATGGCGCCATCTTTCCAGTACTTAACGTCAGAACCACATATCCCCACTCTTTGGACGGCGATTTGTACTTCTGCAAAAACAATCAAAGTAACAAAACGATTAATCATACATAGGGATGTCAATTTTGTCCATAATTCATATTCGAATATTCAATGAAAGTATTCGAATATATTCGAATATTCGATAAAATAAATAAAATTTAGTTAATTTCAAATGAACATCATTATACTTTCATGGCAGGTTTGCGTCGGTATTTGGAAGTAGACTTTTGTAGGTGCACAATAAGGAATTCTACATTTGATATCTGTCAATGTTTGAAATAAATGATTGATTTAAGTGTATACAACCGAAATATAAATGTAACAAATGATATCTGTACAAATTCAAACCAACGAACCAGTCGTTTAACCAGGGGCAAGATTGTCGTTTACTCTTCAGATTCAAAAACACGTAATTAATTACAATTATCTGCTTAATAAAAGATATAATATAATCTTTGATACAATGTTTTGACAATATAAACAAACAATTCCATGGACAATTTTCCTAGGTCATTAATTTCCCGATAATGATTTTAAATTTTTAAAATTATATTTAACCCGAGATAATCAAGTAATTGATGCATTATTCTGAAATTGAGCCCTTTACAATATTACAGGCTGATTCTATCAAAGATGTAATTCAATGATCAATAAAAATTATTTTCATAAGTACATCCTTCACGTCTCTTAGACATTCAAGAAGGTTTCATTTCGTTGTCCTCGGTTCTAGATCTGATCATATTAAACTACTGAAAGTACTTTTTGTATCATATATTGATAGTTCTTGTTTATTTCTTTTATACCTTACTCAAAATGAAATAATTTAGAAGATCTATAAGATAAGAAAGTAGCGAAAGGAATCAGGGGATCGCTAGTAAATAAAACGGGGATAATTCCAGAACTGTTCTAATTAAAATTTATTACCTTTTTTGTGAAATCTGAAAACCACCGAATATTCGAATCTCAAATTCATATTCGAATATTAACTCATCGAATGAATATTCGAATGTTCGAATATTCGTTGACATCCCTAAATCGTTGAATCATACAATAATTATTGTACCAATAGAAGTGTCTAACATTTATAAAATCTGCGTTGCTCGATGAACAAGAGTCCTTCTATTTTTTTTTTAACAGTACCCCCTCTAACCTATTTACTAGTGTAGGAAGACACGATGACACGCTAGGTCATTCTGGGAGCTACATTGTAGCAACAATTATATTTTGTCTATCTTAACTTCTTATGTCTTTCGAAAAGATGTTGTTCCCTTGCATTATTTGCATTATACATCAGTATGGGAATTCTATGTAGAAATGGTTCTCTTACCACCAGGTCCTGGCTCCTTAATTGGAGAATCCACCTACAAAACCAAACCAATACAATGACACTACAAAGCAAAAATCAATATCATACATTTATAGACTGGGTTTGAGGGCAAAATGTTTGCCTGAGGCCGTTAGGCCGAAGGCAACCAGTTTGGTTTGAGGGGTCGACAAAACGCAATTTGCCCGAGAACACTGTCAATAAAGCTTTGTTATACCTTTTATTTATTTTTCTTTTTAACATACATGTTTCCTTTACCCGCAATGTGGTTAAACTCGGTCAATTCTGTCAATGTCGAACACCAACGAATGCAAATGAGATTGAGCTGATCCCGCCCACAGCGTGACGTTTGCGGTCCAATATCTTATCGACAGGTCCAATATCTTACTCCGCGGTCAAACATCGAAATTTTTATGACCGCTCAGTAACACATTCGAAATGAGACATTTTTAAGTATAGATTTATTTAGGAACCAATTCTTAAAGGTATAACAATACATTTTTACTGGTAGTTTGGATTTTTAATATAACATTCTTATCAGTAGATTGGATATTTGGTTGCTTCGACAAATGACGAGATGAGTATAAGCTTCATGTAAACATGAAGGACAAAAAATGAATGTTTGTACCGACTTTAAAACGATTGTACCGACTTTAAGACATTATCAAATGTACGATGTTAAATGTTTGTACCGTCTTTAAGACATTGTCAAATGTACGATTGTACCGACTTTAAGACATTGTCATATGTACGATTGTACTGACTTTAAGTATTTGTTAAATCACGATTTCTGAAATGTCATTACTTGTACTGTTTACTAATCGTAAGTTTAGTGAGCATCACGTCAGCGCGTACTGAAAGTTCAAACTAGCGATGAAAATATATCATCAGAATTTATAACACAGATGATATCTGCATGATAAACATGATATATATCTCCAATATGTTATTTTACAGATATCTTTTCAGCACAACGAGCGTCCTAATTGGGACAGCTCCAGGTCACTATGACTGTAGCTACAGCAAAAATCTAGGACACTTCATAGATAATTAAAATAGTGATAAAATAAGAAGAAAATAGTTACTAGGCAATTCTTCATTCACCATGAACCTTGGAAATGTGGAAAGGATTGATCAAAAACTGAACAGCTAGTAAACTAATGCACAGTATAATTTTACACCTACCAATCGTAGATCCCCTTTCTTATACAACACGGCGGATAGATTGCTTCCACTCATATTGTCTATACAAAAAGTCAGAAATGCATTTCAGTGAGAAAAAACTAAAATAAACATGACGTTTTTATCGAGTTGCATTATCAATTCATTTGGATTAAGACAGGGAATAAAATGAGACCCAGTTTTAGTACTTACGCTTCTTTACGAATAAGACAAACAGAATGAAGCGTCTGACCTAAATATTGCAAGATAAATAAACTGCAGGAATGTCTGATATAATCTCAGATGAAACAAAATTGGCGGATCTAATTTTTAAAACTATCTCAATCGCACAAAATTGGTGGATCCAAAGTGGAGTCAGGTGATTTTTTTTTTGGGGGGGGGGGGGTGCATGCCTCAAGAAAATTGCATGATCAAAGAAAATATTTAGAAAAGACAGATTAAATGAGGATACACTTCGCGTACACACTACCCCTGCTCCCCTTCAATTTGTCTGGATCTAAAAATTGTCAAATATAAAGAAAATAATTTTGGAAGTATAACATGTATAATAAAACTTCTAAAAGTGTTATTTATAAATCTCTTCAATAAGTTGCTCAAAGTTCTCTGAATGAGTTAAGATAATAACTTAAAGTTTTTCTATTGCTAATAAAAATATTAAACAAATGAAGAGGCCAGACAGTTTAATATGATATATATATATATATATATATATATATATATATATATATATATATATATATATATATATATATATATATATATATATATATATATATATATATATATATTAAAAACTTGCAAGACCGGGGGAATCTAGCTCAAAGTAGCCTTATTTTGGAAAGAACGGAAATTAAAAGCTTGAAAGAAGCACATGTTCGCGTTGAATTAACTTAAAATTAGTATCATATAAATTAACTGTTGGTATCATATAAATTAACTGTTAGTATCATATGAATTAACTAAAAGTATCATATAAATTAACTAAAAGTATCATATAAATTAACTAAAAGTATCATATAAATTAACTGTTAAAATCATATTAATTAACTATTAGTATTATATAAATTAACTGTTAGTATCATATAAATTAACTGTTGGTATCTTAAACAATAAAATGCTTTCTTTGGTTGTTAGTACTGGAATTAACGTCGCAGCTGTTGCAGAAAAAATACATAACCCGCGTAAGCGGGTTATGTGATTTTTTTTTCTGCAATAGCTGCGTCGTTAATTTCCGTACTAACAAACAAAGAATGACATTTTATTGTTTATATTTATATCTTTTTAAAAAAAACATTCAACGTAAATTAAATATGTTTAATATTGTATTATAGCTGTGTATGTCATTGTATGCAAAATTGATGGAACAGCCATTGCTTAAGAAATCTATGCAGGTGGCTTGCTAAGTGTTGTTTATGGACTGATCAATGGCAATGGTTTTTATAAGAAATAAAGGAAATAATATTCAGTGTATGTAAATATATATATATAAATTAACTATTAGTATCATATAAATTACCTGTTAGTGTCATATAAATTAACTGTTAGTATCATATAAATTAACTAATAGTATCATATAAATCAACTGTTAAAATCATATAAATTAACTGTTAGTATCATATAAATTAACTGTTGATATCATATAAATTAAATTCATACATGTCATCAACATAAGACCAAAAAGGGCAGTTCTCAGCATAAAATGCTACTTTTTTTAAAGATAAAATTAAAATAAATTCCACTTGCAGAATGAAAGCATAATGGCTGGCAGCAAATAATGAAGAAATTTCCGGAAAAGGGATATATTTTGTTTTTCCGTTTATTTGTTCAGAATTTTTAGCCAAGTACCGAAGTTCTTCTTGCCAATTTGCTAATGGTGTTTTATTTTGTAGGTACAGGAAACAATGGCGATCAAACTTTCCAGAAATTTTCAATTGGGTCTTGACTACGGTACCCTAAAATACTGTGTCGATCCGAAGTCTGATTTGAAATAGAGGCAAATATTTCGTTGAGATGGAGGGGGGGGGGGGGGGTAAGTAAGTAAGGCATATTCAGATAAATAGAAGGTTCCTTGAAACCTGAAGGTCATATGTCAGGATAACATCATATTTCTATGTTTACAAAGACCTTGACCTTTGACATTGACCCATTTTTAAAGGTCAAATCCAAGAGTTCCATTACAGGTGCTCCAATATTTTTACCAATGTTCGCGTTGAAGTTTTAGGTTTTAACTAAGGAAACTGAGGAACTTTGATCCATCCCTAAAAGCTGCTGCAATTCATCAATTACACTTTTATTTACTCTCAAATTGATGGAAATCGCTGTCAAAACTAGTTAGGATTTCATGGGTTTCCTTAAAACTACATGGACAAAGTAAACTAAAGACTTAATTTTATGTTAAGAAATATTTGATTTTAGAATGCGGTCGGCATGGTCAGTTTCTCTCTCTCTCTCTCTCTCTCTCTCTCTCTCTCTCTCTCTCAACTTTTGTCCATCGTCTTGCTTTTTTTCATGGCCATGCAAATGCAACAGTTGTCCTGAAAGAGATGCGAGTCTAGCTGCTGTACATGTATATCAGGTAGACAGACATCTCGGCCCAACGACACCTCGGCCCGACACGCTTGACATCTCGGCCCTGACATGTCGGCCCAATATTGTCGTTGGACCGAGGTGTCTGACATTCGTATATCATTATATTAAACGAATCATTCACGTAAGCATTAACATTGTTTTGTGTAAGAGCTCTTTTGCGTCGAAGGAAAGAATGTGATTCCCGCAAGTTTTTTTTGTTGAATAAGTGAAAAGAAAATCCACTGAGTTGATGAAAGAAGACCAGTTGTAAGGTAAATATGTAAACATGATTACACTAGTCTTGCATGAAATTTTTCTTTCAGTAGATCTCGATGTAAAAACCAATGTAAAGTCTGAGTACTCGCCTGATGCCGTAATTTTCTGTCATCTACCCATCTACCTATATACGGGTATCCGTTGAATGAAAAAAAAAAAAATAAATAAATAAATAAAGGAAAAGAAACGTAAATAAATGCATTCGATGTAAGATGAATAAATATCAGATTATAAAACAAACAGTTCCTGATGAAAGACTTACGATTCTGAAGACTGGCAATTTTTCATTATTAAGAATTTTCACTTGCCTAACGCTGTATCGTCGTTGTTTTTTAGATGCAATCATGGCGACTAAAAGTCCAAGCTTAAACTCCCTGATGAATTACCGTTTTGTCAAGAAGCAAGTTCCTAAACTAACGAGTGGAAGTGAGAGCTTATTCAGCTCGGACACTAATGGCATTGATAGTCCGCAGGGAGTTAAAGAAATGAACAAACAGACAGACAGTCAAACAAGCAGCTGTTCCTCTGCCACAATTCTCTACTCTGATCAGGAAGGCGGGAGTCAAAACAGTGAAACTACCATTCCATATAATCCAAGCCAGAACTTAGGAAGTCAGGATCCCTTCTTACAAAATACAGATGGTAAATTAATTTACTTACATCTTGTATACTAATTAATTTTCCTTTTCATATAGACATCGTAGATAAAGAAACAGGGACATTTAATGCTCAGCAAAGAACTCAAAACCTTATCATGCTTATATATATTCAATGTAACATTTGAAGACACGAAGTAGAAGACTGGTGAGACTACCCAATACTTCCATAAGAAGATATAAAGATCATGAATTGCTTTGGAGTTTATTTACAAAGACTGTCACTCTCTAACTTCTCTACCACCGGTTCTTAATACATTCACAGCTATTGGCTGGAATAAATCACAGTGATTAGCACAATAAATAGTGCATTTGTTTTAATACATTATAATTAAATGTGTGAACTAATGATGGTCTTTTAAGGAATTACTAATTCGATGTAGGATTTATTTTATTTGAATTAATCCTTCAGTTGGAGTATCGTCTTTTTTACTTCATCATGTTCATGTCAAAAATCTTTTAAGTTTAAGTTAAGTTAAGTTAGAGGAAAGAATGCAACTCTGAGATGGAGATTGCTAATCTTTGCGTGTTGATTTCAGAGGAGCTGACATGTAGTCCAGAGTCCCCAATATTTCGTGGAAAGGTCAAAGGGTCAAACAGGAATTGTATAAAGGATGAAGACACAGAACCTGGATCCTCTCCTTGGCTTTCTAAAGAGCAGGGCATAGTAAATGGTGCAGCTTCTACCTCTAAACAAAGGTAAAATGATAGGTTTTGGTACTTAGTTCTATCTTCATACACTGTAAACCAACTATATATTATTCACATCAACTTTTATTCATGATTCGTCAGTTTGAAATGAATACGTGATGATTAATTTTTGTGACTGAGGAAACATTTTCTACAAATACAAAGCAAAATAAATGGTTCGCAGCAATTAATATTCGCAAATTAAAGTAGGTTGCAAAACTTGGTTTACAGTAAAGGTAGATAGGTTCTCAAGCTGTGTAATGGACAGGGTTGTTCCTAAAGACCAGGTCACCAGCAGGGTTGGCCGGGAAATACCAGTGGTGGGAATTATCCAGTGGTAAATACCGGTATTTCCCGTCCTGGGAAATACTACAAATTTTCTCTAAACTGGGAAATACTGGGAAATACAAAGTTTTTTATTTTTTTAATTCATTCAATCTTATACATGTTATACAAAATTCAAAAATAAAAGAAACATAAAAACAGAAGAAGAAGAATATGGAATATGTCTCATATTGCAATCTACAGCTGTAGCCTATTCAGAATGTATCACTACTCCAGGTCCCATACCCATAAGCATACTGATACATTTCCCTGACTGTATAAAACTGAAGTTTTCCAATTCAAGTTATTTTTCAGTTTTGTAAAATTATTAAGTTTATTAATTATAAATCCAAGAACAAAAAAAATTGTTTTAATCCTTCTATAAACACTGTAGTTATTACAATCAATCATGTTGTTTCAACAAATTGCTCTTGACAGTTTTGTGCTCCTGTTTTGAGAGATAATACCTTGAGTAGAACTGAAAGGCTTCTTCTTAGCTTTGATATTTATACCATACTCTACATTTAAGAATTTTCTTAGATCCTTCTTTAGTTACATACCCAACTGGGATCTTTGGGTTCATTTGATTATAGTGTTAAATCTAAAGCAAACTAGCATGGCGCGGCGCCATGCCCTTTTCTCTCGGCGCCATGCCCTTTTTTCCAGCGCCATGCCCTTTTTTCCTTGCAAAAATAAATAAATATGCCTAGCAGAGGCAAGATGGACTAGCGGCTTTGTTTATTGAGTGCATGCTGATTAGCCCCTTTGTTTCTTTAATGCACCCAAAGTGTGAATTCAGGACAGGAAATCACTTCTCGCTTGAACGCACACAGCCACCTGGCCAGGTAACATGCCTCAGGCTGTCAGGGTACAAGAGATAACACGAGAAAATATCATTTGATTGCATTGATTATGCAAGAATTAGCCCAATGTCAAAGATAGATTAATTTGTAAATTAAAATGTTACACATTTTAAATCAGGATCGTTTTTTTAAAAATTGAAAATAGAAAAAACAGAGTTGATGAAGAAATGTGAAAAATAAAACTGCTGATGAATTAAGTCAACATACAATGTACAGTACCAAAAAAAACTGAATATTATGTGTGAAATGGACTAGGAAACAACAAAGTATGACGTTAGTTTCTTTCAACATGTTCAATGATTCTGTGTTCTAACTTTTTGAGTTGACACCCAGAGGCTCAATGTTTCTAAGCCAGAAAAAAAAGTTTTAATCAGTTTATATATTATTTCAAGTTTAATTTTTTGGTATGATCAGTTTTCACTTGATTTTGTTGGTAGATTATTTTCAAAATAAAGAGAATGCCCTCTACATTTACTATCCAAGTAGCCCCCCCCCCCCCTTTGCAATTTTGTTCTGTTATTTACCTCATACACAAATAACAATATTAAAGCAAGGAAAAAAATTCATACACCAAACTATAATAATTCTTTTTAAGCATAACCTTGATAACCATACTAATTTCTTGATTAAAAAATTTGAATTTAAATTTTGGCAATAATTGCCCTCTCAGTGTGTATTAAGGGGATGAAGGACACATGGTCACATGACTCTGTTTAACTACGTCATAGTCTCCGTTTATAGAAGTGCAAAACCTGTAAAGCATCAGTTCTTGTATAAATTTTGACAATTTTTTATCTTTAATTACCATCTTATACAAAAAATAAAAAAAAGTTTTAACATTCTTGTAAACAATAACAAATTATGAAAAAGATTGATCCACTCCTCTGTTTCCCCAAACTGCGCGTACAGCAAGTAGGTGACGTCATACACGATCCGTTAGTACAGCAAGATCATACTCGGTGAATACAGGGGCGGCATTATTATGTAAAAACAGGTCATAATCGGTATATGATGAAATATTTTTAGAAACGGGGAACACAAAAATTATTTTTGCATGGCTGATGACGGAAATCTTGTGTAGGTATATCTTTTTTCGCTTTGTTAGCTTACGTGTGACGTCATAGTTGGTTTTTCCCGTACTCGAGAAATGTAAACATGACACGTTTTTGTCATGCTTATGTCCTCTTTAACGATGTCCTGTGCAATATTGAGGTCAGCTTCACCATTCAAAATTTTTACAGTTAATCAATATTTTGAAAAACTTGCATTTCAACGTAAATTTAAAAATATTGAATGATAGATTTTTTTGTAAATTACGTCTTTTGTTGTTGAACTTGTCTTAAAAAGCACGTAATTTTCCCTATCCAGATGCAGTTTGATAGAAGAAACTTGCTTTTTCGAATTTTAAACCCTATTCATACTCTGGTATATTTTAAAAGAAACATATCCACTTACATATTTTTAATATATGCTAAAAAAAAACTTATTATGAACGGAGTAATGAGCCCGGAAACATGGAGAATTAAACTCCACTTTGATACTGTAGGGCATAGTATTTGTCAATCAATATCTCTAAAATTAGGTAAGAAACCTAATGATATAACTGCTTTAAGATATGTAGGACATACTTAATTAGAAATATACAAAATATGAAAAAAATTGAATGACAAGTATTTTTTCAGCTCAAGGTCCTTCTTCCCCTTAAATGAATTAAGCTGACAGATTTATAAATTTTTCTTTTAGATACTTGTATAACTAAAGATTTCAGTATTAAATAATAATTTAAGTACATAAACATGATAAAGAAAATATTTATAATTTCAAAGACGTTAAAAAAGTGCCCTTATGAAAACTTGTCGCGGCGTAAAGTGCCCTTTTGATTATTAGATTACCATGCCCTTTTTAGGGTCTGGATTTAACACTTAATTTTCATGGACCTTTATAGACTACATCTGACTCAAGCATGAAACATATGACACTCGTGACTGGTATAATATAAGTATGCTGTTTTATGATTATATAAAATGAATTACTTGGAAACCAGAACTTTTTAAATCAGGGACAGTGATACCAGGAAGGTATCTTAGCCAATAAGGTATACTACATGTCAGTATGAATGAAATATGTAGCTATTTCTTATTTCCCAGTATTTCCCGGGAAATACCAGTAATTCCCGGTAATTACCAGTATTTCCCACCGTCCTGGGAAATATGAGTATTTCCCAGTTTTTTGCCAACCCTGGTCACCAGTGGGCTGGGGAATTTCCCCGTCTATAATGATGTCACCCCCTGGTTATTTTGGTATTCCTCCTAAACTCCCCATTACAGGAAGAACCCCAGATCCCCTTCTACTTTTTAAATGTCCTTTCTATTTCAATTCATAGGGACAACCTTGAAAGGAGATCCCAAAATTTGTATAAGGCTCTAAATATGCTCTTGAATACATCTGGGAGGACAAATAAAGAATTCTGTAGACACGTTTTTTTCTTTGATTTCTTTATGTGTATTTGAAGTTTTGACTCTAAATAGGACAAAAAAATGTTTGAATAGATAATCAAGTCAAAAATAAATATTTTATCAATGTTTGAAATGTGTGTCACGTAACACATGACAGACATATAACGTAACATGACAGACGTATAATAAAACATGACATGATTAAATTACATTTCTGCAAATTTTATCCTTCCTAAACAGTAGTGAATGAAGATATTCTGTGTACAGGGTATTATTGCCGTATATTTTTCATTTATTTTGACATGGTTGAAAATGTCCCCCTACACATGCGTGATTCTAGTGGAATTATCAAATTCATTTCAAGAAAAAAAAGTAAGTTGATGAAAAAATCTGCTTATATCATCTTTTTTTTTTATATTTGCAATATACTTTTCAATATAAAACATTTCTTAGGTCAATTTTTTAAATAATTTAATTTATATTCCTCTTGTTAAAATCATAGGTCAAGATGTACTCAAGAGCGAATTAAGAGCCAAAATATAATCAAGGTTTTTTTTTATAACTTGTGGAAGCTCGGTTAAACCTTAAAATATCCCAGATAATTTCACAGTTATATAATCATATATCTGAGAAATGTGTATACAATTTCTTTAATGGTAAAGATCTGTATTGTACAATCTACATTTTACTGATTTGTAGAAGGAAATCCAAGCAGGAGGTGAGGCAGGGGTTTGGGGACGACTTGACCCCAGACCAGACGGAGGCGGTCAATCACTTGAAGGCAATGTTCCCAGACAGAAGTATGGACATTCTACAGCAAGCTCTGGAGGCACAGTCCTGGAATGTTGAGAATGCTGTCGATCAAATGATTGATTCATGTAAGTCACATGATATCTATATATAGAAAAAAGTTATACATGCTGTATAATGTGGAAGAAGGCCCTTAAAAATGAATAAGAATGTTGAAAAAAACCCCAAAGTATCTCTGATTTTCCAAGCACCTTGTATGAATGATTCTATAGACACTGTGAGATAAATAATATATTTTTCTTCAGAATATATTTTTCAAACAATTTCATTTTGCTTGTTTTTGTATAGTAGCCTATTAGTAAGACAAATATTTAAATGTGAATGAATTGCATGTACTTTAAACTAGTGGCAAAATTAACAAAACTGTTGACTACTTGTAGCCAAGGCCCTCAAAAAGAAGGGTGCCAAAAAGCGAATTATACGTGTGGACAGCAGTGATTCCGATGGGGAAGGAGGGTCACCAATCCATCACCCCTCTAAAAGGGCACGACCTCTAGACTCCATTGACCTTGACCAGACTCAAATCTCAGAAGAGGAGAAGAATAAAAGGATCGTCTTCCTTCAGGAGGCATTTCCCGGGAAAAAACGAAGGGTGAGTTCTTGTCTGAAAACAGATGAATGAAATAGTTATTCCATGCTGTGTTTTTTTTCAGTTTAATTTAATACTGTTAACTGTGTTTGCCATAAAAAATTCTGTTAATTCTCCAGCTAGGGAATACATGACAATAGATTCAAGAGACAAACCTCATGCACAGCTATTTTTAAACTCCATGAGATAAAATGTCATGTAAATAAAATGTCATGTGTGATATTTATTCAGGATCTACAGAGAGCTTTGGAGAATAACAATTGGCAGACAGACGACGCCCTCCTGGAACTTAGTAACTTCATGGATAACGGCAAAGAGAGACAAGGTATGGTCCTACTAGGTGTTCTGTACAAGCAGAGTGGCCAAAAGAGTGAATGAGTTTTTAAAATATTAAGAGGGATTGATAAAATTTAGAGGTTTTAAGAATCTCTCTCATTGCAGGATAAATCAGAATGTCTTTTATGTGTAACATTTAAGTAGCAATTTGCATGTGTAAAAAAGGCTGATTTCTCCTTCCAATCCTAAACATGTGTCAGTTACCCGTAACATCTGATTTTTTTCGGACAGCTGCACTGGAAGATGAAGAGGAGGATTTTAAGAGTGAAGATGAAGAAGTAGACAGTGATGATAGCATTGAGGTGAGTTTAGGGGTGAAGATGTAGAAGTAAACAGTAATGATAGCATTGAGGTGAGTTTAGGAGTGAAGAAGTGGACAGTGATGATAGCATTGAGGTGAGATTAGTAGTGAAAATATAGAAGTGGACAGTGATGATAGCATTGAGGTGAGTTTAGGAGTGAAGATGTAGAAGTAGACAGCGATGATAGCATTGAGGTGAGTTTAGTAGTGAAAATATAGAAGTGGACAGTGATGATAGCATTGAGGTGAGTTTAGGAGTGAAAATAAAGAAGTGGACAGTGATGATAGCATTGAGGTGAGTTTAGGAGTGAAGATGTAGAAGTAGACAGTGATGATAGCATTGAGGTGAGTTTAGGAGTGAAGAAGGAGACAGTGATGATAGCATTGAGGTATTAATAAAATGAGTCTAATATATTTGAAATGACATGTCAAGGTTTTACCATCAGTAGAATATATTTTTTTTACTAGTAATAGGCTGCATTTCATAATTTTTAGCTCGTACGTAACTAAATCAATTTGTAATTCTGTGTTCAAAAGAGGAAAATTTAATAAAAGTAGTTTGTATATATTACATGTAGATGTTCAACTATTAACATTTAGATATTTTGCTTTTGACCCTAAGAAGTTTAACATTTGACCTTAATCTGTTTAATCTTCCATTTTTAGATGGACACAGAGACAGCTCGCACAGAAAGAGAGAAAATTCTGGCTTTCTTTGACGAAGCAACAATTGAGGAACTATCTGCAACACCTGGATGTTCCAAGAAACGAGCTGAAGTCATCATATCACTAAGGCCATTTAAAAACTGGAATAAACTCGTAAGCTATTATGTTACTCTGTTAGGTGGTGGACTATTTAAATCTGGAATAGACTGTTACTCTGTTAGCTGGAGGACTATTCAAAATTGAAATAGACTGTAACTCTGTTAGCTGGTGGACTGTTTAAAATTGAAATAGACTGGTGGCATTGTGAGGCTAATTTCTTTGGAAATGATTATGAAGTAGGGTAATAATGTAGAAGATTTATGCATTTTTAGAGTTTTTAGCTCACCTGAGCTGAAAGCTAAAGTGAGCTTTTCTGATCACCCGTTGTCTGTCGTCCGTCCGTCTGTCCGTCCGTCTGTAAACTTTTCACATTTTCAACTTCTTCTCAAGAACCACTAGGCCAATTTCAAACAAACTTGGTACAAAGTATCCTTGGGTGAAGGGGAGTGTAAATTGTTAAAATAAAGGGCCAAGTCTCCTTACAAGGGGAGATAATCAAGAATAGACAAAAATAGGGTGGGGTCATTAAAAAATCTTCTTCTCAAGAACCACTGGGCCAGAAAAGCTTGAACTTATGTGGAAGCATCCTGGGATAGTGTAGATTATAAATTGTTAAAATCATGACCCCCGGGGGTAGGGCGGGGCCACAATAGGTATATTAAAAGGGGGGAAATCTGGTAAAGAACAGCATGGCCAAAGTTACTCAGGTGAGCGATGTGGCCCATGAGCCTCTTGTATTAAATAGATTTACAATACATCTTTGATTCCTGACATTTATATTCTTTAAAGCAATACAGTGTTCATCAGACATAGTTGAAAATTAATTTCAGACAACAGAATTCTATAACAACAAAGCCTTGTCCTATGACATCATCAGTGGTTGTACTTGATAATTAATTTCAGACAACAGAATTCTATAACAACAAAGCCTTGTCCTATGACATCATCAGTGGTTGTAAGGACATTCTTCGTGTGCGACAAGTTATCGTCAAACTAATGCAGAAGTGTGAGGGGATCTCTAAAAAGATGGAGACTGTAGTGTCCTGTCTGACCAAGAAAACAGAATTTGATGAAAGCAGTGATGATGATTCGATACAGATTACAAAACAGCCACAGAATCTGTCACCTGGGTAAGTCACAGATAACAAAACAGCCACAGAATCTGTCACTTGGGTAAGTCACAGATTTTATCACCTCAGTTAGTGCTTGTGTCTATACAGAATCTCTGCTTTCCTTTCCTCTGAACCTGTTTATTTGATGTAGATGTACACGTATTAATGCTGTTGTCTGTTTCTGTATAGCTGTCAGCTGAAGCCTTTCCAGATGGTGGGACTGAACTGGCTTCGTATCATGCACTCCCAGCACCTGAATGGCATCCTGGCTGATGAAATGGTAACATGAGTGTTAATGCTTATGTGTATTGCCAGCTCACAAAGTTATTTGTTTTTTTTAAATGATATGAGTGGTTCTGTTTACATGTATTGACAGCTCAAAGTTATATGTTTGTAAATAAACTGATTACCTTTCATGCAAATTTACTGTGTGAATGAAAAGAACAACAGATTATATTGTGGAATATATGTACAGTAAGTTTCTTTTGAACATACGTTTTTAGCAAAGTTGACCTGTTTAGTGTACAATATATGACATTATTTTTATGTACATCATCAGGGACTTGGTAAGACAATACAGACAATTGCTTTTATTGCTCATCTGCTGGAGGAAGGAGAGACTGGGCCCCATGTTGTTATTGTTCCCTCATCAACTATAGGTAATATCTCACATAGGTAATATATCATACAGGTAATATATCACACAGGCAATATCTCACACAGGTAATATCTCATATAGGTAATATCTCACACAGATAATATCTCATACAGGTAATATCTCACACAGGTAATATCTCACAGGTAATATCTGGTAATATCTCATACAGGTAATATCTCACAGAGGTAATATCACATACAGGTAATATATCACACAGGCAATATCTCAGGCAGGTAATATCTCACATAGGTAATATCTCACATAGGTAATATCTCATACAGGTAATATCTCACATAGGTAATATCTCACGTAGGTTATATCTCACACAAGAATATCTAATACAGGTAATATCTCACGTAGGTAATATTTCACACAGGAAATATCTCATACACAGGAAATAACTCACACATAAAATATATCTCACACAGGAAATATTTCACACAGGTAATATCTCACTTAATATCTCAGCAGGTAATATCTCACACAGGAAATATCTCACACAGGTAATAGCTCAGGTAATATTTTTTTACATACATACCATAGGTTAAATCTTGCATACACACCAAAGGTAAGAACAATAACAATGTCTTATGTACACACATATACGCACATGATCCAAAGTACAGTGGTGCTAGTCTACTTCAGAGGCCATCAGTTTAACTTTGATCCTAGAGTGTATGAACCTGTATATTTTATGTTTCAATTCTACAGAGAATTGGATTACAACAATTCTTATAGTAGCCTATACATTGTGTTCTACAGAGAATTGGATTACAACAATTCTTATAGTAGCTATAAATTGTGTTCTACAGAGAATTGGATGAGGGAGTTTGAAACTTGGTGCCCTGAGGTTAACCTCCTTGTGTATTATGGTTCTGTGGAGGATCGTCGTCAGAGTCGCATGTCACTTCTTTATGATTCCAGCTCTCGGTACAATGTCGTTCTTACAACGTAAGTATACAATTCCAACACTCAGTACAATGTCATTTTTACAACGTAAGCATACAGCCCTTTTGTTATTCAAGTTACATTGTGATGTCACAAATCGAAGTTTAAAATGTCAACTTTTATTTGTAAAATTGAGTAACAGCTAAAGTCTATTTAATGGACTTGCCAAGTTGATTTTATTGTTCATGGCATATTTGGATAATTAAAGTCATTTTATTGAGGAGTCCTATGTGGGATTTATGTAAGCAATGTTATCGCTGACTTTATAATTTTAGTCCTATATATTCAAGAGACATTTTACTTTAATTTTTATACTACATTCCAGCACATCTTTGTTGTTTTCCAGATACAACATGGCCACTGGAAGTGTAGAAGACCGGGCATTGTTTAAAAAAGTGAATTTCCATTACGCAATCTTTGATGAGGGTCACATGTTAAAAAACATGTCCTCTTTACGCTACCAGAACTTAATGAAAATAGCAGTAAGTTTCAAGTACAAGATTTTTTTTCTGGACACTCTGACTGTATACTGTAAACCAACTATTATTCCTGTCATCTTTTATTCATGATTTATCCGTTTAAAATTAATTTTCACAACTGAGGAAACATTCTCTACAAATACAAAGCAAAATACAGTACTGGCCACGAGTTTTCCCCGTCGCACCGTGGAAAACACACCGTGTGAAATGCTCTGTGTTACACCGTGTACACGGTGTAGCATGGTGTGTGTGGATTTGAAATACACAGGTAGGCACACTGTGCCGCACCGTGTCTAGAAAAATCCCTGCTAATGCACCCTGTGTTGCACCATGCCCAGAAAATTCCCTCCGTGCCGCACCGTGTCCATAACATTACAGAGAAAAACCATTTTGTTCTGATATAATATTTTAAGATTTCAAAAGAATTAGCACATTGATTTATATGTATAATTATCATTTTCTAATCTAGAAGACGTTGAAATGTGTTCTGAATCGTTCTAATGATACATGTAGTAGGATTAAATATCAGTAACAGAAAAATTAAATGGAGTTGAATTTACCGTTTGCCCAGAAGTTCATATTTCGTAAAGTTGTTTAGTTACTTTTTAAAATTATTACTTGGATTGAAATTTTTAATGTCTGAAGAATTTTATCCCACGTAATCACGTAACGAAGAAATGGCATGATCAGTGTTACATGTGATATACGATCCGAGCTGCATGTATTTGTTTTAGTGTACAAACCAAACATTTATATTCTTGTGTAGAGCACATTTATTTTGTTAATCTTATATTATTCTGAATTTATAAGCGAGAATCGAGAGCAAAATTCCTGTGTACAATAATGTGCGTATTTTTCGTAACAGAATAAATTCTTTACATAAACTAGTACGAATAAGTATAAATTCTGTTTTAAAAATTAAGAATTTAATATGTTTTTTCCCTTAATACGTAAAGAAACAATGTCAGAGAGAGAAAGGAGAGAGAGAGAGATGCTCTTAACCCCCTTTCACATAAGTCTGAAAAAAAAAAATCATTTAATTCTTTGTTAATTGAAAAGTGTGTAAAAAAAAAAAAATTCAGAGAGAGAGAAAGAGAGAGAGAGATTCTTTTAACCCCCTTTCACATAAATCTAAAAAAAAAAATAATGTTAATTCTTTGTTTTATTTACATTACCAAAGTCATGATGAACCATTCTATAATACTATTTAAATTCTGTAACATTGTTTCATAGTCAACCCAGTTGCAACATGTTGTTCTCGGTTACACATGAAATCCTCGTGCTACACCTGTCAATCAAAATCGCATGACGCTAGATGGCCCAGAAAGTCTGTTTACGCGGAAAGTCTTGTGATTTGAAACATTCTTATGGTCAGTTCCGAGTTCACACCTTTCTTAAAAATATATTGGGACACAGCCGGAGGGCCGGGGGCGCTGTGTGTTTATCACACCTTTCGTCTTTGACCACATCAAGTGTATAACACACTCAACTGACTTTCAGCGAAATTCATCTACCGAGTTACGCCACCACACGTGTACTTTGGCTTGATTACAAACTTACTTTGTAAATTATTCCTTTTCAGACACATATAAACATGTAACCTGTTAGATTATGGTTGTTTTATTTCACAATAGTGTAACATAAAAAAATCTTCAGACTCTCGATTAATTTAGAAGGGGGGTGGGGGTGAGGGTAACAAACCTAATAGCTTGAAAGAGGCCAGGGATTTTACTACATGTAACTACATATTTTTTTTCTCTAAAACCATGATAATAACTTTACAAAGACTTTGATCATAAGAGAAGCTTTATTCTATGCATGTACATCCCCGAACTACATTCGCTACTTGTAATTGATTTTTTTCTTTTCGCAAACTGTTCGACACATTTTTCATTAAATAATTTCAGGATAAGGTAATATTTGTACAGTATACCAAAACTCAACTTTTTTTGTGTGTGATATATATTTACCTCCATATTTTACAAGATTACAGACTGCAATAATCCTTAAATTATCAGAGAGTTTTTGAATTATGTGCATGTATCTGACACGTTTTAAATTTTATTTTAGATATTTTTTTTTTAAATTCTCTTTATGTAGAAATGATTTATAAAATAAAATATGCATCTGATAAATACTACATATGAATGCATACGTGCCCTCACCCCCCCCCCCCCCCCCCCCAAAAAAATTATGAAAATGACTGTAATTAAAATGAACACAGCTATAATCGAAAGAAAAGACAACCATGTAATTTATTTACGAAAGTGTAATCACTATTCCTTCTAAGCGTTATAATAGTTTACCGAACATATTTTTTCTCTCGTATAACTAGGTTTTGAAACACGACTTACATGGATGTGTGTACACATTTGAAGACTTTGTCTTTTCGATGCTGGGCAGGAGCAAGTGAATCTTAGATTTTAGGACATCTTATTTGTTCAAACATCTGTATATTGATAATGAAGAACTAATATTTAAGAAAAAAGTAAAAAAAAAAAAAACTTACTTCAAAGGAAATTGATATAATTGATTAAACAACGACAATGAATATTTTTTTTTAAGTTCTGCGTGATATCGTAATGGGACACTGTGATACACCGCGCGTACACACCGTGTTACACGGTGCGCAGATATCCTAACTTCAAAGACGCTGACATTGATCGAGGTCCAACCAAAAGCGTGGACTTGCGGTCCACGGGGCCCCGTGTTTTTTGGGGGAAAACTCAAGACGAGTACTGTAAATGGTTCACAGAGATTAATATTCACAAGTAAAAGTAGGTTGCGAAACTCGCGGATATTTCTCGCATGCAAATAAAAGTTGGTTTACAGTAACTAGAGCTGAATGTAAACATACACTTGCATACAAATGTAAAACCTATTAGAATTCAGTGTCTACATAAACAAAGGCAGAATATTATTGAACACTCATAGCCTTATTTAAGCCAATAGATTATGTCTAAATTTAAAGTTCCTCTGTAAATACACACATACAAACCTTAAAAAATGAAACAAATTGGTATACATGTATTAATGATAATTACAATAAATAGAAATTCTTTCATCACAATGATTTTTTTTCCAGGCAGAACGTCGTTTGTTACTGACGGGGACGCCCCTACAGAATAACCTGTTGGAACTGATGTCTCTGTTGTGTTTTGTAATGCCAGAAATCTTCAGTGGAAAAACTGATCAATTAAAACAGATGTTCTCCATGATCAATGTAAGAAATAAGTGCATTGTCTTCATCTTGAGTTCTGGCCCCAAGACCATAAACTGAGAACAGACATAAGGTATTCCATCCCTAATAGCCTCAGATTCAATGAATTTGAAAACATAAGAGATGTGTACGGGTGGAATACTTAGTTTATTTAGACATAATTCCCATTTATTACCATAAGCATGTAAGAATAGAGCGTGTCCTAATTTATGACCTTGACCTTTGTTGAAGAGTTATCTCCTTCTTTTTTTAAGTAATAAAAATCAATTTTAAAAATTTATACGGTAGAAAAACTGTTTTCAATTGTCACTCTATTTCTAATGATTTAATCTGCATCTTTCCACCACTGTATTTATTGATATTATTTGAATTTTTTTTTAAAAAAAATTCACTTGTCATGTCTCCATAGACTTCAATGCAATTTCTGTTAATTAATTACTGTTTAGTTAATTACATTTTTGAAACTCTCTCTTGGTAAATCCTTTTCTACTGTAAAATGCTTTGAATCAATATCAGAGTATTATATACATGGTGGATATTTAAGGATAGAGAATTAGGTTCTATTAGGGATGGAAAACCTTAAGTCAAAATTTCAAACCAAACCAATATAACTTTTGAAATAATTTTGATAATGAAACGAAATTTTCATCATATATTTGAATTTAAATGTTATATAAAATTGCAAATTTTTAAACATTAAATAAAACTCAAGATATTAGAAATCAAATTTTTGACTGAGGTCTGTTCTCAGTTTATGGTCTTGAGGCCAGGCCTCAGAATTGATTCCATATTTTAAGGTGATTTCTCAATATTTTATCATTATTAATAAAGATATGTGTGGTTTCTTTATACAGAGAGGAGTTGATGATAAAGCCAAAAGTAAATATGAAAGGGAGAGAATTCAGCATGCCAAGAGAATCATGAGACCATTCGTTTTACGAAGGCTTAAGTCTGAGGTTAATCTCTTGTTATATAGAAAATCCCTTAGTTAGAAGAGCTTATTTCATGAAAAGTAATGATTTCTGATTTGCTTCACTGTAATAGATTGAAGAAAGAAGTACATGTATATGTATTTTAAGCATTCATGTTTGCTGACATTATTTTAATCCATGCTACTTCAAACTTCTTTACAGCAAAATACATTTACAGCAAACATGCATAAAACAAATACATAATTATCAGAAAGTCACATTTTTTCACCAAACTAATGAATATATGAATAGGATATTGTAAATGTAGAATAAAGCAAAGCAATTTTAGAAATTCTGGATCACTGTGGCAATTCCCTATATGTTTTACTTTACTGAAATGTACATGTATGAGTAAGATATTCATTAATTGAAAGCAAATTTAGGCAGAAGCAGAATTCTCCTTTGTAGCATAAATTGTCCTTTGAAAGAAAGCTTTGATATTGATAACCTAGAATTGACCTGTTTCTGTAGGTCCAGCGACAGCTACCCCAGAAGAAGGACCGGGTCCTGTATTGTGAACTAATTCCCCAGCAGAGGGCGCTGTACCAACAGCTGATCACAAAATTCAAACAGGTCATAAAGGACGACCAGGTCAAGGAATCGCGGGATGGAGCCTCCATGTTGATGCAGCTGAGGAAAGCATCCAATCACCCGCTTTTGTTACGGAACCATTACACTGAAGATAAACTGATGAAGATGGCCAAACAACTCACAAAGGTAAGGGTTCTTACTGCTTATCGTAACCCAAAAAACTTTTTATAACAGCACATCAAGGTAAATTATATAAAACTACAGCCAATAATAATGACTGGTACTATTTATAGAAGAACTCGCCCAAGTTTATAAGGATAATTCTCTTGCCCACATGGATGAGAATCGATTTCCATTCGTAGAACCGCTCACAAAGATGAGATTTATAAATATTTAAAAAAAAAACTGCATGTCAATGTAAAGATTTTTTTGTGAGGTACATATGTATTGGTTATAGATGTGGTCATTAATGTGAGGTACATTGTCTCTGACATGTAGATAAGAATGTCAGTATTTTGTTACAGGAACCTTCCCACAGAGAGAGAGGGGCGCTGGCTGAGCTGATTCATGAGGACATGATGGTCTTAAATGACTATGACATCATGAAGCTGTGTGACCAGTACAAGGTAGGAAGTGAGGGGAACTAACAAAATCAGACAAGGGAGGGAACCAGTAATAGTCTGACAAGGGAAGGAACCAGTTATAGTCTGACAAGGGAGGGAACCAGCAATAGTCTGACAAGGGAGGGAACCAGTAATAGTCTGACAAGGGAGGGAACCAGTAATAGTCAGACAATGGAGGGAACCAGTAATAGCCTGACAATGGAGGGAACCAGTAATAGTCTGACAAGGGAGGGAATCAGTATTAGTCAGACAATGGAGGGATCCAGTAATAGTCTGACAAGGGAGGGAACCAGCAATAGTCTGACAAGGGAGGGAACCAGTAATAGTCAGACAATGGAGGGAACCAGCAAATGTCAATTTAGAGAAAAAGGGAATAGGAAAAAATACATATGGAGATTAAGGTGCATGTACATGTAGTACTGTAAACACACTTTTTTCATGGGGCCATAATTCTGCGGTATAACAATTTCTGTTCAGTCCATGGGTAGAAAATTTTTTGCTGATTTGTATGTCTTCAGTGCACTATTAGTATGCTGTAACAAATTTCCTGGTATATTTGTGACTGCATACATAGTAATTTCAAGAGGAAAAATATATAGGTCTTCAGTATTTGAAGAAAAGTAGCATTAATTTAGAGATTAAGCCATGTATGAATTCTCTCACTATTTTTATGCTATTTTCAGAAATATATAGGAAGTTACAAACTAGACTCTCAAGTCATTATGGAGTCAGGGAAATTCAGGGAACTGGAGAAACTTCTGGAAACTTATGAATCTCAGGTAACATACAGGTGTTCTTATGTAACATAAAGGTGTTCACAGGTAACATACAGGTGTTATCATGTAACATAAAGGTTTTCTTAGGTAATGTACAGATGTGTTCAGCTAACATACAGCAGGGGCGTCGACAAAGAGTCGGCAGGGGCGGCATTCGCTGCCCCAATGATTTTGCCAAAAAAAAGAAAGTTTACAGATTTATTCTGTTTTAGGGAGACAGAGTTTTACTCTTCAGTCAGTTTACAATGATGATGGATATAATGGAGGATTTTTTAAAGACCAAGAATTACTCCTACCTACGTCTGGACGGCTCTACACCGGTACCAGAAAGGTTAGTTTTATAGCTCGTCTATACTGGTACCAGAAAGGTAAGTTTTATAGCTCGTTTACACTGGTACCAGAAAGGTTAGTTTTATAGCTTGTCTACACCGGTACCAGAAAGGTCAGTTTTATAGCTCGTCTATACAGATACCAGAAAGGTTAGTATTATAGCTTGTCTACACCGGTACCAGAAAGGTCAGTTTTATAGCTCGTCTATACAGATACCAGAAAGGTTAGTATTATAGCTTGTCTACACCGGTACCAGAAAGGTTAGTTTTATAGCTTGTCTACACCGATACCAGAAAGGCTAGTCTTATAGCTTGTTTACACTGGTACCAGAAAGGTCAGTTTTATACCTTGTCTACACTGGTACCAGAAAGGTAAGTATTATAGCTTGTCTACCCTGGTACCAGAAAGGTAAGTTTTTAGCTTGTCTACACCGGTACCAGAAAGGTCAGTTTTATAGCTCGTCTACACTGGTACCAGAAAGGTCAGTTTTATAGCTCATCTACACTGGTACCAGAAAGGTCAGTTTTATAGCTTGTCTACCCTGGTACCAGAAAGGTCAGTTTTATAGCTTGTCTACACAGGTACAAGAAAGTTTAGTTTTATAGCTTGTCTACATCAGTTCCAGAAAGACTAGTCTTATAGCTTGTCTACACTGGTAACAGAAAGGTCAGTTTTATACCTTGTCTACACCGGTACCAGAAAGGTAAGTATTATAACTTGTCTATACCGGTACCAGAAGGTCAGTTTTATATCTGGTCTACACCGGTACCAGAAAGGTCAGTTTTATAGCTTGTCTACACTGGTACCAGAAAGGTCAGTTTTATAGCTCATCTACAACGGTACCAGAAAGGTCAGTTTTATAGCTTGTCTACACTGGTACCAGAAAGGTCAGTTTTATACCTTGTCTACACTGGTATCAGAAGTCAGTTTTATAGCTCGTCTACACTGGTACCAGAAAGGTCAGTTTTATAGCTCATCTACACTGGTACCAGAAAGGTTAGTCTTATAGCTTGTCTACACTGGTACCAGAAAGGTCAGTTTTATAGCTTGTCTACACTGGTTCCAGAAGAGTAGTTTTATAGCTCGTCTACACCGGTACCAGAAAGGTAAGTATTATAACTTGTCTACACTGGTACCAGAAAGGTCAGTTTTATAGTTCTTCTATACAGATACCAGAAAGGTTAGTTTTATAGCTTGTCTACACCGGTACCAGAAAGATCAGTTTTATAGCTTGTCTACACTGGTACCAAAAAGGTCAGTTTATAGCTCATATAGCTTGCCTACACCGTTACCAGAAAGGTCACATTTGTAGCTTGTTAACACTGGTACCAAAAATGTCAGTTTTGTAGCTTGCCTACACTGGTACCAAAGAGATCAGTTTTATATCTCGTCTATACTGGTACCAGAAAGGTTCGTTTTATAGCTTCGTCTTCAGTTTGTCAGGACAGGAGATAGACCTATGGTGCTCTGTAGAGGGGAAAAGGGGGAGTCAAAAGAAATTTTTTAAAATTGTAAATATGTATCAATGTATCATTTATCTTTTAGACAAGAATTGATAGACAAGTTTACCAAAGATGAGAGTATATTCATCTTTATGTTGTCTACACGAGCCGGTGGTTTGGGGATCAATCTAACAGCAGCTAATGTGGTCATCATCCATGACATCGACTTCAACCCGTACAATGATAAACAAGCCGAAGATCGGTGTCACAGGGTGGGACAGACCAGGTCAGTTATATGCAGACAGACAGACTAATGTAGTCATTATAAACAATCTGTACAATGATAAACAAGTCAAAGATCAATGTCACAGGGTCGGGCAGACCAGGTCAGTTATATACAGAGAGACAGAGAGACTAATGTAGACATCGTAAACAATCCGTACAATGATAAACAAGCTGAAGATCAATGTCACGGGGTGGGGCAGTCCAGGTCAGTTATTTACAGACTCACGGGGTTGGGCAGACCAGGTCAGTTATATACAGAGAGACAGACTAATGTAGTCACTGTTAACAACCCGTACAATGATAAATAAGCCGCAGATTGGTGTCACAGGGTAGGGCAGACCAGGTCAGTTAAAATACAGACTCACTGGGTGGGGCAGACCAGGTCAATTATATACAGACTCACTGGGTGGGGCAGACCAGGTCAGTTATATACAGAGTCACTGGGTGGGGTAGACCAGGTCAGTTATATACAGAGAGACAGACTAATGTAGTCATTGTTAACAACCCGTACGATGATAAACAAGCTGAAAATTGATGTCACAGGGTGGGGCAGACCAGGTCAGTTATGTACAAACTCACTGGGTGGGGTAGACCAGGTCAGTTGTATACAGACTCACTGGATGGGGCAGACCAAGTCAGTTATATACAGACTCACAGGGTCGGGCAGACCAGGTCAGTTACAGACAGACAGACTGATATTTACATCCAGTTCGTTATCTTTACATCAAATTAAAGGGTGAAGGGAAAGGACCTGAGAAATATTTTTCCAATGTTTTCCTTAATATTTTGTTAGGAAATTATTATGAAAAAAAGTACATAAGATTGAAGATACACTGGTAGTGAGACCAGAGAGGTGGTTTTAAAGCTAAAGTGATAATATGAAGTACTGATATGAAATCCTTAATGCCAAACTCTACCTCAATCATACTCTCCTTATATTCTATAGAATTTATACATACAGTCAAACCTCGTTATTGCAAACTCGATGGGACCGAGAAAAAAACAATTTGAGATATCCGAGGGTTTGAGATATTGAGGGTAATTTACTTAAGAAATACGTGGTTAGGACTTCTCATTCACTTTGACATATCCATGGTATTCAAGATATCTGTGTTTGAGATACCGAAGTTCAACTGTATTTGTATTTTAACTATGGACCTACAGTTTTTATATCTGGAATGCATATGCTTTTGGAATAGACTTATCATCTGTCTGAAGTTTTCTTCGTTAGAGAAGAGTCAGAAATTCCATTTTATTTTTCTTAATTTTGATTTATTGTGACAGGGAGGTGTCAATAATTCTTTTTTATTGTGACAGGGAGGTGTCAATAATTCTTTTTTATTGTGACAGGGAGGTGTCAGTAATTCTTTTTTATTGTGACAGGGAGGTGTCAATAATTCTTTTTTATTGTGACAGGGAGGTGTCAATAATTCGTCTGATCAGTAAAGACACGGTAGAGGAGGGTATGCTGAGATGTGCTCGAGACAAACTCAAACTGGAGAAGGACATAACAACTGATGAAAGTAAGCTATACAAAGTAATCACTACATACTCCTCAGTTTATTTATTTGTACTGATGTGTTGTTCAGGGGGAATGTAAAGATGAAATTCTCTTTGTGAAAAAAAATTCTCTCAGATTGTGATTGAACATTATTAAAAGTAAGTTATGATTAGCCTAAAACTTTTGTAATTGTAAAATTAAAATTAAAATTGTGAAATACACTGTATTGAGAATGTTTATAAGATTACGAATCTCTTACAGGCACAGATAAAGAAAATCCTTCAGATGTGGCATCTCTCCTCAAAGGTGCTTTGGCCGACAGTTCTTGACCCCAGTTGAACTCTAGTCTGCCAATCATATTATAACGTTCACAACCTCAGAACAAACTCTCATCAGAAAATCAAATGTCCAAAAAAAAAAACAAAAAAAAAAAAAAACGAAACATTTTACATATCGTTGAGCCATAAAATGTGAAGGCTGATTGAGGAGTTATATTTGTGTATGATGGTAGTAATGAATTTGAAGACATGAGAACACAGGCAAGGAATCATGGGAATATAATCCGACAGAGCCATTTTATTTCTCTTAAAAAGATTGTAAAGGTCCAATTTTGTGCTTTAGTCACAGAAGAAGGAAGAGTGCAAGGATTTCTGAGATAATTTTGAGACAGTGAGGAATGCTGGGAAAACTGTTCATTGTCAAAACTGTTTATATGATGATGCATGTACAGTGTTGTGTATGTAAAACAGTGGCTGTGTAGAGTGAGTTGTTGTCACATTGAACTTGCCTGAATCTAAATGTGTGTACATAACTTCAGATCTTTCAGAACAAATCAGGACTCTCCCCTGCAAGGGATATACATGTAGGTAAACCCAGTACTGTATACAATGATGGTATACCATCTTAGAAATGTCAAAAGCAGAGGTGTGCAGAGCCCTTATCAAGAAACTCTGTTTTAATTGAGGTATAGAACAAAATAAAAGTGCTATTTGATACTTTTGTTGACATTAGGCCATTCCAAGTTTTTCTTTTTAAAATATCTTTTGATTTTGGACACTTCATACCAGGAAAAGGCATATTTCTTATAGTCAGTAGATATTTTTTTATTTCAATAACCTTCTGAATAGTTATTTCTTTTGTATTGAAATTAATAAAATGATTAATTTTCTTCTGGTAACTGTCTCATAAAATTTGTATATGATGAAGCTAAGTTATGAATATGATTGATAACTAAACGTTAAATACATAATATGTGGCATAAATGATTACAAAATATTTATAAACACATGTATCTTGTGTTCTGAAACTGCCAACTACTTGATTAAATTTATACTTCTTAAAGAAGTAGGTAGGGTTTTGGCTTTATTGTACTCTAAAAATTAATGTTTTCAAAAAGTTTTGAAATTGACTTAAATATGAGTTGAGTGTATGAATGTGATAAAACATGAAAGAATATGGCATGAAGGAGGACCATTCTGGAAATTGATGTCAATAATTTGGTACTTTTTTAAGTTTTAAACAGAAAAAGCCTTAAATTGACTCATTTCAGGGATTATTTTCCTCAATAAAATGGTGACTATAGCTATCACTCAAATCAATTTTTTGATATGTTGTGTAAAATTCTTTGAAAAATCACATTTTTTTTCAATATCTTTGTGGGCGATGCATGTGGTCTTACTATCATCAGAAAGTAAATTCCACTGAAAATTGATCTCTTCTGCAACATCTTAAGAAAAAATGGACATCACGATTAGCATTTAAGAGGTCAGATAAGAAAAACTGAGTTTTATTTTCCTTCTTCACTTACATAATTTAGAAAAATACAGGGCCAAATTTGTATTGAAACTGTTCCATGTTCTTTATCAAGTTCAGACACCCGATGAAATATGATCCTTGAATGTGACTTCATAGTTTGTGTTTTGTCAGCCGGTGGGTAATTACGGTGCTTATCAGAGAAGAAAAATTGGAATGGCCTTATCTAAGTTATGATGTCATAAACATTCCCTAAAATCTGAATTCTAATAATTGACAATATGTTTATCAATATAGTAATATTGCTTATATGTCAGCTGTTACATTTCTGATATAAAACATACTGTCAACCATCCATCAAACAGCTGTTATTCAGGATATTTCACTGAAATCCATCCCTCACTATGACATTTTGGTGAGTAGAGGAAGATCTATTTCTTGCACACAACAGTTGGTTAACAGTATGTATTGTAGATCAGTGACGTGTTGCCAACATTAACATGAACGATAAACTGTTTCAATATGTGAACAACTGTTAAAAGTGTAGATTTTTTCAACATGTAAAAAATGAAAGTCTGTAGTAAAAATTTTGGATGGAGATTACGGAATGTGTTCTCGGTTTCAGTTTATCAGCAAAATATCTTAGTGTATCAGCAAGATATCTCAGTGTATAAGCAAAATATTTCCGTGTATCAGCAAAATACCCAGTGTATCAGCAATTTATCTCAGTGAATCAGGTAGATATCTCTGGTCACTGTATCAGCAGGATATCTCAGTAATTCAGGTGGAGATCTCTGATTACCGTATCAGCAGGATATCTCAGTAATTCAGGTAGAGATCTCTGATTACCGTATCAGCAGGATATCTCAGTAATTCAGGTGGAGATCTCTGATTACCGTATCAGCAGGATATCTCAGTAATTCAGGTGGAGATCTCTGATTACCGTATCAGCAGGATATCTCAGTAATTCAGGTGGAGATCTCTGATTACCGTATCAGCAGGATATCTCAGTAATTCAGGTGGAGATCTCTGATTACCGTATCAGCAGGATATCTCAGTAATTCAGGTGGAGATCTCTGATTACCGTATCAGCAGGATATCTCAGTAATTCAGGTGGAGATCTCTGATTACCGTATCAGCAGGATATCTCAGTAATTCAGGTGGAGATCTCTGATTACCGTATCAGCAGGATATCTCAGTAATTCAGGTGGAGATCTCTGATTACCGTATCAGCAGGATATCTCAGTAATTCAGGTGGAGATCTCTGATTACCGTATCAGCAGGATATCTCAGTAATTCAGGTGGAGATCTCTGATTACCGTATCAGCAGGATATCTCAGTAATTCAGGTGGAGATCTCTGATTACCGTATCAGCAGGATATCTCAGTAATTCAGGTAGAGATCTCTGATTACCGTATCAGCAGGATATCTCAGTAATTCAGGTAGAGATCTCTGATTACCGTATCAGCAGGATATCTCAGTAATTCAGGTAGAGATCTCTGATAACCGTATCAGCAGGATATCTCAGTAATTCAGGTAGAGATCTCTGATTACCGTATCAGCAGGATATCTCAGTATTTCAGCAAAATATCTCAGTCTATTGTCAAGAGATTCAGAGCTTATCAACAAGATATCTGTCAGTAAGATATCTCGGTCTCTAAGCAGATGTCTCGATATATCAGTAGGATACATTCAAACCACCCTGGACAAAGATTAAGCGAGATATCCGAGGATTCTATTGAACAAGGGTAAAAAACATAAAGAAAATATCATTGGGACTTCCAACTCCTTGGTATTGGAGGTAGTGTTTGAGGTGACAAAGTTCAATTGTTTATTAGTGTATCAGTAAGATATCTTGATTTATCAACAAGAATACTAGTCTCTAAGTAGATACTCAGTCTTTCAGCATGATTTTCTCAGTATATCAGCAATATATTTGTCTATCAACAAGATATCTCAGTCTTTCAGCAAGATCAGTATATCTACAAGGGGCAGTGAAGCAACATGATATCTCGGTCTATATAGATATCAGTCTATCAGCAAAATATACCAGTAAGATATCTCAGTTTACCAGCACGATATTTCAGTGTATCGGCAAGATATCTCAGTTTATCAGAATGATATTTCAGTGTATCAGCAAGATTTCTGTCAGTAAGATATCTCATGTAACAGCAAGATATCTCAGTTAATCAGCATAAAATTTCAATGTATCAGCAAGATATCTCGGTTTATCAGAAACATATCTCAATGTATCAATAAGATATTTTATTTACCAGCAAGATAGCTAAGTGTATCGGCAAGATATCTGTCTGTACGATATCTCAGTTTATCAGAATGATGTTGTATTAGCAAGATATCTCATTTTATCAGCATGATATTTCAGTGTATCAGCAAGATATCTCAGTTTATTAGAAACATATCTCAATGTATCAATAAGATATTTCAGTTACCAGAAAGATAGCAGTGTTAGCTCAGTGTATCAACAAGATATCTGTCAGTAAGGTATCTCAGTTTATCATTAAGACATCTCAATGTGTAACAACAAGATATTTCACTGTTTAAGCAAAATATATCAGTCTTATCAACAAGATATATCAGTTTATGAGCGTAGAATCTGCTAATTAAACAGTTGCTACATAAAAATCCTTACAAAGATACATTGTGGGTTCCAGTCAATGTTCTTCCAAGCCTCTTTCTTTATACTCACTAAGTGAAGAAGAAACTTCAGTACTGTACAACAATATATTCAAGAAGTGGTGTAAATCAGATGTGGATTTAAAAGCTCCAAGGAACTTTTAGAGAGTTTGAAATCATAAAATTTGACCAAACTCAATAACATATCAAAACGTTTGACTGTTCAACACTTTATACAACCACTAGATGAAATCCCGCGCAAGCGCGGGGAATTGAATTTATACCACTACCGAGTACCGACAGAAAAAATCCAATAATATTTATATTGTAGTTTCTACTGACAGCCTAAAGGCTTATAGCAGGAAGAAATACTTTGTTCAAAATCCTGCATAAAGAAGAAGTACGTCTCCACCTCAACCCCCACCCCACCCCCTTTGTTAAACTTAAATAATTTCATTAATTGACGTTTATTGTGAAAAATGTTATATACTATGTTATGGATATTGTACATGTATATACTGTGTTATGGATATTGTACTTCAGATACTCTTATTTCATTTCCGTCAAGAAATTCTCATTTTACTGAGAAATTGATTTTCTTTTTTTTGGTAAAAATTCGCAGGTACTTGGGTCTTGGTTTATAAATATGTATGTACCTTATTGATATGTAAAAACTGTACCTTACCTCTTTTTTTTTTTTTTTTACATATCAATAAGGTACATCCATATTTATAATCCAAGACCCAAGTACCTGAGTAAAAAATAGCTTTTATATAACGCGCTTTGAATACACTGGCGGATTTAGAGGGGGCAGCCCCCCCTCCCGTTTTGTGTCCAAAATATACATAAAAGTTAATATATCAATTTTTTGTGTGTGTCTGTGGGCCCCTACCCCAACCCAAAACTGCCCCCCCCCCCCCCCCCCCTCCTTTCAAAATTCCTGGATTCGCCACTGGAATAGGCCGAGTATTTGATACAAAAGACTATTCAGAAAAAAACTGAAATGTATTGATTAAAGCACAAAATTTTACAGCATTATTGTATTTGAACAATGCCTTATTCATTAATTTTCTCTTTTCATGTAAGCAGGTTTGTTACGAAGTCCAAATTGTACTTCGGGTTCGTTTGCCACGATGCTCTCAGTGAGGAATATATATACAAATTTTACCGATAAATTTATTAGGAAAACCTACTAAATATATGTAATAGTCTTTCGATATATAAATATATTCACAACTTACAATGTTATCAATGATTTACCATTATTTCAATGACCATTCACACAAAACTTTTTTAAGTTAAAGCAGCTATTTTCTTTTTAACATCGGGCTCGATGCTCTATGATGTTCTAGAAGCTTCCGTCAATATTACGATCGGTGAATGACGGGAATAATTTGCACATTTTCCTTTTTAATCGGTTATCACAACTTATTTCTTTTATATCATTTAAATAAAGTTTCGATTGAATAATTCAGTAATGACTTTTAATGAAATAAATAAACGATTGCTTGTTGCCAGTTTCATTAGAAATTGCCAGTAACTTAGATCCGCCAACCGGAAACGCCACCGTACTCATGTTTTTGCTATTTCATGGCTGTTTATAGAAAATAAAAGTACACTTTCAATTTAATGTATGATACTTACAATGCAAGTGAATTCTAAATATAGTTTATGGACATCATCTTGTATCGTGTGTATTGTTAGAGGAGTAAGTAAGAACTCTGGTGCACCCGTTTCGGAGTTTATTTGCAAAATTTATTAATTTATAAGTATAGATTCCCCATGATATATTAAAGTCCAGGCTTTTTGATATAGATAACTGCTTTTTCAAGAAAAATGGTACTCCTAAATTTACTAACCTTGTCATTACATTGCCATTTGCAAAATTATTTTGTAAAAAAAAAAAAAAAAAAAAAAAAAAAAATTCTGATTGTACACACACGTACTCCGAATATGATATTAAAAGGATGCTTGAGTTTCTGTTTGACAATATCTACGTAGATTTGGAGATCAAGTCTTCAACAATCTGCCGGAATTTCGATGGGTACCAGTTGCGCCTCTTTATTAACAGACCTATTTTTATATTCATATGAAAGTGCATATATGTATATGGAGTTAATGTCTCCCGGTTGATTCAATACACAAGAGCATGTTTTACATAAGAACAATTTCTAAAACGGGGCAAATTATTGCCAAACAAGTTGATGAAACAAGGATTACTCAAATGTGTAGAATCTGCTAACTAAACAGTAAGTAGAGCATCTAGAGTTTGGAATCTGCTAGCTAAATAACAGTAATTAAGTCAGGGGCCCGTTTTACAAAAAAACTTACGACTAAGATCAAAAACTTTAGATGATTGTAAAATCTTGTACAATTAATGCTTTTAATACAAATTGCCTGCATAAATGCATCTTTCTAAATTCTTTTGAAAAAGACTCAAACCATTTTCTCAATGAAGTAAAAAAAAGTTATTTGCAAAATTACATTTTGCTCTTAGTCATAAGTTCTGTAGTAAAACGGGCCCCAGCAGTGTACGTAGAATCTACTTACTAGAATCAATTTAATAGTAATTCAAAGGTTTTTCCTACTGATTAACCTTCTATCATGCACTGTAGAACAAATCGTTACTGATATATATAGAGTATAGGGTGTGAGGTACAATTCTCTGATTATGCGTTAGATGTCAATTATAACTCAGCTATTCCTACATTTTGGGAATTTCCAAATTCTGCTTGTTTTTCTAGCATTTCCTCCCCAAACATTTTTGATTCTATTATCCAAGGACCTTCATTCTTTCGACCTTGGAATAATTATGGTTGATATTTCTGAATAACAATTATACACTCATGGTTTCTACACGATCCTGTTATAAATGTAGGTTATCAGTAATCTTGTCTGTCTTCCCTGTAGGTCTATTCTGGTATATAAACTCCAGTCTTGTTTGACTTTTTCATAAGTTATCGTATACATGTCGACCATGTTTCGTGTGGCCTTGGTTTGTCTTTTAGGTGAGTTGTAAACATTATTCTTGATTTATGTTGAATACACATATATGATTTAAGCACAGTGTTGTGTGCGGTGTCGCGGCACATATTGGAAACTAGAGTTTCTTTGTTCTTGGGGCGAAGGAGCAACAAAGAGAGAAAACGGGAATACAGGGCGAGATTTAGGGAGATCCGTTGCATTAGTTGTCACCCTTGTATTCTTGCCCTAGCGTTTTCGCCCTAGCTTGTTCGCCCCCTGCAATTCCACTGCCTCGCCCTCGTCTTGATCTACTCCGTCGAACTCAAGTGAACCTATACATCTTTGTCATGACTGTGTGTTTGTATTTTTGTTTTAATTAAATTGTTTCTTTGTTTTGAAAATACAAGAGGTGCAATTTGAATAGATATTATTAGAAAATAAACCAGATGAAACATGCTGTCGGCCCTCGGCTGATATTAAGTTCTCGTATTGCTGTGGCAAGCGATATATATATTTATTATACCTCTACTGGTATTTTCCCTATATAACATAAGATCGTTAGATGTGACTAATTCCCCATAAATCTTTATGAATGGACTAATCCCCGTGCGTTAGTCAAGTGAGCTAACCCCTGCTTCGAAAGCTAATTCCCGGTTATCCGTAATTCTCTAGATTTTACTTTTACATTGGTATGATATATGGACTAACCTCCGTGTGTTACATGTAGTTCAGTGAGCTAATCCCTGCTTTGAAATCACGCTATCTGAATCCTCTAAATTTTACGTTTGTATCGGTATAATAAAACAGTTAAAGTATATCATTGAGGGAGTTAGCAAGATTCCAGTCCCCCTCGACCAGGATTATTTCCCTCGGCTTCGCCTCGGGAAATAGTCCTGGCCTTGGGGAACTGGAATCTTGGTAACTCCCTCAATGATATACTTTAACTGTATTATATATATATATATATATATATATATATATATATATATATATATATATATATATATATATATATATATATATATATATATATAGTACTCTCTGTATCTCTCTGCTGTCATGTCATTTTCGCAGGTCCCTTACGGACATTCGCAATATAGTTTGAACTTTATTGTCTTTTTCCCTGGAGTTGAAGAGTTCCAATACTTGAAGAAACTGTGTGCTACATTTTTTCAAAAACAAGTTTGGATAAACAAAACATGATACATCTAGAATATGTGCTTAGTAATTTTTGTATATTTTTCTCTGAATTATACAAGAATTTTCATCAATATATATCTTTTTAAAACCCCTGGTAATACATGCTGATTTTTTTGTCTATGAACATCTGATGACACTATAATCTTAAATTAAGAATATCCTGAAAAATTATCAGTAGGTAAGGTACGTTGCATATGTCCTTAATATCGTGTTTTATACATAATTTGTTAATTATTAGGATTTTATCTACAGCTTCAGCAGTCCACTGTGCCTGTCCTGCGGATTGGTCCAGCATCGACAGTCACTGTTATATGATTAGCCACGGCAAACTCTCATGGCCGGAAGCAGCAGTAGGTCCTTATCATCATTCAGTGAATTTAACTACCTCTTAAGTAAGGTGGTATAGTTTCTGTACCCTAACAAGAAAATTAATTATGTGGACATGCAACTTAGCTATGTTGTAATGATGCTTTTAAATTGTGTCTAGTACTGATGGTAACAAACAATTCAATCCTCTAAACTTGTTTTTGAGAGGTTATGTTGGATCTAGACTTATTTATTTTTATAATGTCTGAAAATTGTCACATTTAATAAAAAACATGTTGAAAAAAAATTGGGGGAAAAATACACATAGGAATATTTTGAATTTAGAGTGGAGCAAGAACCCAGAAAAACGGGGAACTAAACGGAAAGCGTGTATATACATATGTATATATTTTTTTAACGCAAGAAACAATTTATTAATATTATTGCTGTAATAAAAAATTTCAACTAATTAATGCTAAAATTCCTATAGCTTTTCCTCTGCCATGAAATTGAAAACATGGAAAAATGTAGATAGGCCTAATTAAGTCACCGAAATTTTACGTTCCTTATTTTTATCGAAACAAATATTTCTCGAAAAAAAAAAATACAATACCCAAAGTGGCAACATACTTTATTAACATGAAAAATCAATATTCATGTTAAACACGTACTTAACTTAGTTTATTTAAATTAAACGAATCTATTTTTGGTTATGGAATAAATAGTAACGGACTTCCCAGACTAGGGCAGTCTTTTCTCCACTTACAAATGTTTATGTTAAATATTTTGGCGATGATCATGCATAATTGAATAAGCTCAAAAAAGTGCTTTATAAAATATATAATTTTCGCTGAAATAACTATATAATTGTTCAATAATCTTTTCACTACATTATTTTGTTTTTGCCACTTTTCTCATTCCCTTTACATGTGATACAATTATATTAATTGCTTCTGAATTGAATTTTTGACTCAACAAGTTGATGTTTGACCTCTATAGCACTTATTCTTCCTTTTCTAGGAAATGTGTGAAGCACTGCAAGGAACTCTGGCGACATTCGAAAACAGAGCAGATATCAGCTCCATTGCTTTCCAGCTTCATGGAGGTAAATCAAAGTACTGAATATACTTAAACATACTATAGCTAGTGTGTGGAGTACTTATATACTTACATGTGACTTTTTACCTCTGTGTAGACAAAGCTATAGTACTTTGACAAAAAATATTGTCAGATCTTATGACAACCCATCAGTTCGTATGGGAATGAGGGATAACTTATAACAGTAATTAAATTCTGGTTGTTTTTTTTTAAATCTGGTCAATTTTGCTATCTGCCACGGCTCTATTTAAAGTGATGGCACTGTACTTCCAAGATATATCCCGACTTTTTGATACATGTGATATAGTTGTACGGATCTTTTCTGAATTATTAAGATACCTTATTTATCCGTCCCTACAAACTTGCGACCTTTCTTTTTCACTGTGATCAGACATACGGGATGAGAAGATCTGGGTCGACGGAACGGACGCAGTGCGCGAAGGACACTGGATCTGGGCCTCTAACGGACATGACGTTATTTCTTCCTTCTCCGGCCGCGTCTCCAATAACGATAAAGATAAGAATTGTCTGAGCATGGACTCTGACCATCACTTCCAGTGGTACGCCGAAAGTTGCCATTCCGAGAATTATTACATCTGCGAGAGACTCAACGTTGTTACCAGGTATCAGTAGCTACTACATTTCCTCTTCCTTCTTCACAAATCTGTTATAAGATTTGTTTGTCCGGGGACAAAAATGATAAGGACATTTTAAAATCCGGATTTATTACTGAAAATATTTTTGTTTCAGTGGTTCCCCCGGCATTGTAGGATAGCCAGAATAATCCCAATAACAAGTGTCAAAGTGATGTACAAATATAATGATTTAATCAATAAACACATGTATACGGTCATTTATTATTGTATTCAAGTTAATAACAGACCCATGATAACATTCAGATGTTTAATTCTTTATTCGTCATTCTGATTTACTTATTTTGAGCTCAGTTTCATTTTGTACACATTCATTTTCATATCAAGTGGCTAAAGGTGAGGTGTCATTAAGGTGTCTCCGCCTTCAGGTGATGTCATAGGTTTTTGCAAAATATTTCATTAATCAAGCCTCTTACATAATAAAAAATATATTTTGTAGAAATGTAATAGTTATACTGTTCGTTATCTTCATATTTCACAGTAAAGGATATAGATTCATAAAAAATACTAAAAAAAATTAATATTTTCAATAAATTAAAAAAAAAAAAATAGAAAGGGCAATTACTCCTTCTTAAATTTTATTACTCATGCATTTTCTTAAAAATATCTTTACCATATATGGTTTCAGTTCATACCCACAATTTTTATATATTTAATTATTTATTAAGTAATAGCTTCTCCATTGTCAACTTCTCCTATTTATGCAGAAATATCCCAGTATCACTTGACATTGTATTCATGTCTCCCAACTGATACGGTGCGCAAGAGCATGTTCCGAGTACGATCCCGAGTACGATCAATTTTTTAACCAAGACAGGCTAATGATAAATAAGTTGATGTTACAAGGTTTTCAAAATCTCGTTTAAAGTCAGCATGCATACAACGTTGGGTCGTATTATGACTGATGTGTTTCCTACCAATTGTTAAGCCATTGTTTTACTCTAATTTTGATTAGGGATTACTCCGTTTACCTGATCAAAATAGAGGATTCACAGGGGGTGCTTACTCCTCCTAGGCTCCCGATCCCAACTTTGTTGTTTCCAGGAGTCCGTGCATTTTGCCCTTCAATATTAGTATTCTTCACTGGATTTATGAGTTTGATGGCTGGTCGTTATCTTCATCTTTTAAAATTTTATGAATCGGGTTTAAGTTTTTTTGTCCCAGGGGGTGGGGTTTACATTTTATATGATCGTCATTACAAGTCCGTAAAAACAGGGGTGAAGTGATCATTTTGCCAATGTACGCTTAACATTATATTATAGAAAGAATAGCTACAGAACAGTTCTTTTTTGGAAGAACGGAAGGGGGGGGGGGTGTTATCAATATATAGATTTGTTGTTTAATGGAAATATTTTTGTTTCAGTGGTTCCTCCGTCGTCGTAGGATAGCTTGAATAATCCGAAAAACTATTGTCAATGTGGTGTATAAATATAATGATATACTGTGTATAATCAATAAATATACGTATATATACGTATATTACGTCACTTGTTATTGTATTCCTCTTCATTTATAAGCCTAACGATGATCCTCAGAGATCTTTATACATCATTATCATTTACTTATGTAAAGCTCTGTTTCAGTTTGTACACATATGATACACGGGCAGATCCAGGAACACCCCCCCCCCCCCCATACACACAAAGAAAGAAAGATCCAAAAGAAAGTTAGCCACTTTGGAGAAAATGAGAAAGCTTAAAAAAATTAACATGGACATCTTCATCAAGATGACTCTTCTTACCATACGAGTGGTCCGTGTTTTCTAGGGGAGCTCCTGCAATGATCATGGTCATTTTTTGGTTTATTCCTCACGTTACTTTAATAACTCTGAAAATCGAAAAGAAAGGTAAAAAGGGAAGAGGAAGAATTCCAAACCCATCCAACACCCTTTAGATCTGCGCATGTTATATGTTCCGATTTAAAGTGGCAAATGGACTTTTATGTAAATATGATGATATCCAGATCATTAAACTATAGAAACTTTTTCACATTTCACTCAATTTAATTGCAAGTATTTAAAGAAAAGATAATTTGATCTCTTCAGACCAACTTTAAAATAATGTTTGCTTGCCCTCTCCCGCCTCAGGATGAAGAAATTGAGTCGGTCGGTGGGTGAGTTTTTTTCAAAGAAAATTTCAAAATCAATGCATGCTGTGTGCAACGCACTTAGAAAAAATTACGCACATTGAATTTTTTTTTTCAAAGTGCCTTAAAATTGGTACAAAATGAACGCACTTTGAAAAAAATTTCAAAGTGCGTTTAGAGTGTACATCAACATTTTTTAACCATGGAGACACCTAACGCACTTTGAAAAAAATATGTATAAAACAAAAATTTTGGATTTAGATTTTAGTGTAGACAGCATTATTTTGTTATATTTCTTTAGAAAAACTTCAATGAATTGATCTACCCTCATTGAGAACGAGAAGACAGGTAGAAGGTCATTCAGCCCAACTCTTCATCTTTCCTACTCAAATATATGTATTTACATAACTGGTATGACATTGATATACTTTCTTTCAATTTGATTTAACGTTAAATAGATGAGAAAAAAACTGAGATGAGCTTTCCTAAAAAAAAAAAATAACAATAATAAAATAATGCACCCTTTTATTTAAAAGAAGAGAACCTCGGGTGTCACATCGCTGATCTAACAACAATAGCCGACTGTAAAAAATTCAGTCAAGTGAGTAATGTGGCTAAGGTTTATTTTCCTTACTATCAAATAAATGAGTCAACCATTGTTTCATACATGTTCACAACAGATAGACAGATGAATATGAGAGAGAGAGAGAGAGAGAGAGAGAGAGAGAGAGAGAGAGAGAGAGAGATTTTCATGGTATGGAAAAATCATAATTGCTCCCTTTTCCCTAAGAAGAATGCGATGATTTAAGTCACTCATCAGCCCCTACATCTACCGAACTTATTACAGACTGGATAAAAAAAAAAGAAACGAAATTGTGCTATAAAACAATCATTCCTTCATTATTTCTAAAAGACCTATTTTCCTTTTATAATATTTACGAGAACCTTTGGGAACAAGACAACCCCTAAAAATCTTTTAAACGTCTATATCTCAGATCCTGAGGTGACGTCATCATCGAAAAGTTATCCAACCAGGTTCAAATAATTATTTATCATACTTAATATTAGCAAGAATATTGACCAAGCCGTGCATACTTTTTCTCAAAGTGCGTTAATATGGTCCATATTAACGCAATTAATTTGAAAAAAAAATATTTTTGTTTCAAAGTGCGTTAACTTGGTCCCAAATTTAACGCACTTTGAATTTTTTTTTAAAGTGCGTAATTTTTCAAAGTGCGTTGTAACAATGCTGAATTTTAAAATCTATTTTCAGGCATGCATAAAAAAAATTGCTTCCGGGAGGTTAATTTTTTTTTTGAGTCGGCCATTTTTAGCCAGTCAGTCGGGAGAGGACAACCAAACAATTTTTTAAAGATGGCCTCATGATAATTAACATTTTATTGATTTTTTTTTCTATCGATACATTGCCATTTCTGCGTATTTAGAATGAAGTTACACCGGGCGTTCTAAGAATGTACGGAGATTTTATACATTAAATACATGAATGGTCCCATTTCTTTTCAGAGTTCAATTTACCTACTTTTCTCTTTCATTGGTCGTTTTTTTTATTACCAATATGAAAAAATAGGCTTTTTGATATCACAGACAAAATTAATGCTTCTTCAATAAAAATGGAACTCGGAAAATTTCATATCTTGTGATTGGTTATCAATTGCAACAAAATTGCTTTGTTATAAATATCGCTCTGATTGTACACACAAGTATTCTGAAGTTGATATTAAAAGGATGCATGTTGGAGTTCCTCATTGACAACATTTATGTAGTCTTTGGACACCAGGTCTTCCAAACAAGAGGCCCAGGGGCCACATTGCTCACCTGAGCACCGTGGCTAGGAAAAAAAGCAAAAATCAGCTTAGTATTGAAAATCTTAAAATACATAAGTGGTCCCAATCTACCTCTAAAAGGAGGGGGGGGGGGGGGTTATGAATTGAACAAAATTGAATCTACACTAAGGATGCTTACATATTTTTTTGACTAACTGTGACTTTTTCCCTACAAGTTTGAACTTCCATTGTGGCCCCACCTACCCCTGGGGGGTTATTGATTTGAACAAACTTGAATCTACACTATCTGAGGATGCTTCCATATAAATATGACCAACCATGGCTGTGCTGTTCTTGAGAAGATTTTAAAAGATTTTTTCCTATATATTCCTACGTAAAACTTTGATTGTCCGTTGTGGCCCCACCCTAACCCTGGGGGTCAGGATTTGAACAAACTTGAATCTACATCACCTGAGGATGCTTCCATATAAATATGACCAATCATAGCTTTGCTGTTCTTGAGAAGAAGATTTTTGAAGATTTGTCCTATATATTCCTATGTAAAACTTTGACCGTCCATTGTGGCCCCACCCTACCCCCGGGGGTCATGATTTGAACAAATTCATATCTACACTACCTGACAATGATTCCATATGAGTTTCATCTTTCCTGGCCCATTGGTTCTTGAGAAGAAGATTTTTCAATGATGCCATTAATTTTTCGCTATTTTGTAATTATCTCCCCTTGGAGGAGGGCGTGGCCCTTCATTTGAATAAATTTGAATCTCCTTCACCCAAGAATACTCTGTGCCAAGTTTGAATGAAATTGGCCCAGTAGTTCTGGAGAAGAAGATGAAAATGTGAAAAGTTTACGACAACGACGCCAACGACAACAACGACGACAGACAACGGACAAATTTCGTTCAGAAAAGCTCACTTGAGCCTTCGGCTCAGGTGAGCTGAAAAAACTGTTGGAATTTCGATGGGCACTAATTGTCCTCCTTTCTTAGCCGACCTGTTTTTATATTCCTGTATGAAACAGTATTCAAAAACTTCTTCATAATTATTATAGATACTTCCGATCGTGTGTCGATTCGATATATCCCGATGAACTCGAAATAAAAGACACCACAGAGTCTGCCACATCTGTTTCCTATTTGGATGTTTTACTGACTATAGTCGATAAAGGCTAACTAACTGACAAATGAGATGACTTCAGCTTTTCCATCGTTGACGTTCCTCGTTTATGTAGTAATATTCCGCTATCGCCTGCATATACGAGTATAGTGTTTACATCTTCCAACATAATTATTCGATACTCAAGAGCATGCTCCGAGTTTGATAAACTTTTAAACAGAGATAGGCTACTGCCAGATAATTTGATGTTAAGGGGATTTCAACAACCTCGTTTAAAGTCAGCAATTAGTAAATTCTATGGTCGATATAATGACCTTGTAAGCAAATATATCCTATCACTGGATCATACCGACATATTTCATACTAATTGTAAGGTCTTTGATTTCATACTAAATTTGACTACGGAATATTTTGTCTACCTGATCAATACATGGAACTCAAGGCGGGTGTGACTGGTTATCTCACCTCTGGAATTTCCAGGGGTCCGTGTTTTATGCCCTCTTCACAGGTTTGTATTGTATGTTTTTGAGATCGATCATTGTTCCTTATATCTACATTTTTCATTAAGAATTATCATCCCACAAGATTTATAAATATATATTTTTTTATCAGTCCCCACCCCTTAAAAAATATTAGAAATTAATCTATCACCCAGTTTTTTTTTTTTTTTTTTTTTTTTAGAAAACTTAAGATTATGCCATAATATCTAACTGGTACACCAAAGTATGGACAGAGTAAATTTTCTTCTGCTGTAGTCATTATATATATCATTCCTTTGAGGCTATATTAACTTACTGTCAATGACAACAACTGAGTGATCATAATATAACTGTTGTAGGAATCTATGTACCATTCCTTTGAGGCTACATTAACTTATTGTCAATGACAACAACGGAGTGTTCATTATTTAACTGCTGTAGGAATCTATGTACCATTCCTATGAGGCCACATTAACTTATTGTCAATGACAACAACTGATCATTATTTAACTGTTTATTGGCATATCATAATGTACACAGCCAAATCACAACACTAACACAAGATCATGTGACAGTCACATGACTGATCTTCTGGTCACATGACAGACAATGAGTACAATTTTCTTGCAGTGAACTGAAAAAAAAAAAGTCTTGAAACTATGTTTTATAAAATCCATATGGACATTTTTTTTCTATGATTTGGTAACAAACTGAATAGGGAAATTTTTCTATTCATGAATTAATAGTTTTTTAGTGTTATTGTGTCTCTATGAGATGCAAAATTTTGACAGTTTTTTTTTTCATGGTAATACTGATTTTTCATCATATTTTGACTAGGAGAACAGAGTTGAGTATATCCAATGATAGTCTCTTCTCTGACTCTCAGTTAATGATTCTGGTAACTTTATGGCCACACTAGTCAAATGAGATCCTATTTTATTTCTACAGCCAGCATGCAAATGTCATGGGGTAGCTAATAAACAAACCCTAATGAATACTCTTTGGCAATCTAATTTGGTTTTTTTTTTCTTTTTGATGTGAGCAATATTAGTAAAATGAGTAACCTCTTTAAATAATATCTTAACAAGGCATGTTAAAATCTTTTGATATGTATAACATCCTTCGTAGTTTGAAAACGCCATAAAAACAAAAGAAAAAAAAAACAGACATAAAAATTAAACCCACAAAGAACAAATTTTGAGCAATAAAAATAAAATCAATATTCACCGTGTTTTAAACAATGTATATCTTAATACCACATTATTTATATGTAAAACTTAATACCACATTATTTAATGTCCTAGGGTGATTTCTGATGAATATAATATCTAAATATGTTCTCCTAACTCTCTATGTGATTTTTGATTTTTTTTTCTGTTATTTAGTGAAAGTTTAATATTTCTGACTAGCTTAATGTGAACAGGTATACAAAGGAGTTGTAACACTTAACATGAATTCCTGAGTTTTAGCGAGGTTAACAGCCATTAGGAGGGTTAATACAGAGAACACGATCTAGTGACCCCTGAACTTTGAACCCTGTTCCAGGGTCATCATATTCTGACTGGTTCCCAAATAAACTGGTTTCCTAATGGCTTTATTTACCTCATTTAAATGATAAAAGATGATTTCCATATTACCATGGTAACATCTAGAGCGTATTTCTTTAACAAGATAAACCAAAAATATATAACTCTATATATATATACTTGACACCTTAGACAAATCTGTTCCACATTTGCAGTAAGGCACATACTAAACATGAATTATTGCTGAGAACTGACAGCATACAGTAAGCATCTGACTCTTAATAGGCGATTTTGTTGATGTCTATTTTGTACGAAAATAAAAATAAATCTATACATGAATTTTGTTTGTAACAGCACTGCCTGTAAGTTAGGGTTAACACCAAACAAAGAATTTCACTCAGTTAAAAATGTGAGTTCTGAGTACAGACAATGAAACAATACAACCCAAACAAAAACTAGGGGGACCAACCAGTGCCCCCTAATGTTGCAAGGGGGACCAACAGGTGCCCCCTAATGCTGCTAGTGCTCAATACAGTAAAAACATCTCATTGTGAACCATTAAAAACAAACAAGATAATATATAGTAAAAATAACAAGTTCCTAAACAATCTTTTGATTTTTGAAACCTTCACAAACAAAACCATAACAATAACATTGTTTGAAAACAAAACTGAAAACACTGCAAAAACACTGACCACAAAGAAAAAAAATATATAGCTGTCTTTCTGTATTTAAAAAAACCTCACCATAAAAATCTGTTTCTCGTACATGTAATAAGCTACATACATATAAAATATCCCAACCACAGGGACGCTAGTCTAAACTGTACACTTGACTAAGCCCTGAGAGGGGGTCTATAAACGCTCCTCAAGGAGCTAATACCCTAGTACAAATAGGTCACAAGACCAGAGAAATATAAGGTTACTAACCTAAGTGCACAAAGGTTATGTAACCGAGGCTGATACAGGTCACTCCCAGAAAAATTACTCTCCTAAAACAAAGGGTGCTGTTGGCTTCCAAATTGAAAATTGATTAATTAACAGCTTTAGTAAGAATTCTGGGTATTATTTTATATAGCTTAATCATATTTATTGAGCTGGGGACATTTTTCTAGGAATGACCTTGAAACATAAATATATTCATATGAGTAAATACTACACTGTGCCAAGTTGATCTTGATTCAAAAATTCTATTATGTACTTATTGAGCTGCAACAAGACAAAACTGCTTCTAATAAAAATGAAATTTAGAGAGAGGCAACAAAAAATAATACATAATTGTTTTTTTTTTTTTTTGCTTACTCTGTACTTCAAACCAACCATGTGGACAAATTTCATCAATATTTTTGAGAAGATCAATTTCAGCACCCTCTCTTCTCTCCCCCCCCCCCCCCCCCTCCCCAAAAAAAAAAAAAAGAAAGAAAAGGAAAAAATTAAAAATGTGCATATTTCCTAAGAGTACCAGATATTTTCAATGTTTGATGACTACAATGTTTTATTTTCAATATTTTTTTAACTTTGCAAATCAACCCATGATGAGCCAGGGAGCATAAATATTACCTAAAATGTTTGTTTGTTTGTTTGTTTTTTTTTTTTTACCATGCTTTCTGACATCCTCAGAGCACTTTGTTTTGGGGAATAGAAGGGGGAGGGGTAAGTAGGTTGGTTTGTAGTAGCGGTAGCATGGAGTATCATGATTTGACTAGCGGAGGGCATACATCAGCTGATAATTGAGGCATATCTTGTCCTAGCATTTACAATGCGCGGCAATACACACTAACAACTTACCTAAATATAGCACTAAAAGCTGGCACCACATACCCAGCCCGACTATGTACAATATTGTCATGGAAACAAAATTATCAGCTTTTCTTTTTGATTACATACAAAAAATAAATGTATCTTTGGTATACAATCCTGATTAAAATGAAGCACATTACTATTTGAGTCAACAAAAACAAAATTAAAAAAAAAAAGAGATTAAAAAAAAATTATAGCTTCCTGTTTCTAACAGGCCACACCAGGAAATATACAAAATAATGAACAGTCCCTGTGGTTGAGGCCAAGGGAAGTAACTCCTGCCGACACAAAGCTCCGGGCACACAACGAGCGACAAAAAGGTAACATGAAGAGAACGCCACGTGGAGACAGTCAGACGTCAAAATCTACGTAGAAGAAAGCAAAGGAATTAAACAAGGTCACCACCAGAGAGTGTCACACACAGACACACAGACAAAGTATCAGGGATTTCCCTCTCCCTATCATCAAAATGCAGTTAACTTTGAATGGTAAAAAGTCAGTAATTTTCAAAAGTTTTGACAGAAGTTTAAAATGAAATTTGTCAGTTTAATAAAATAGTTTTATTTTCTAGCAAGTGTTCTAAAAATATGAGTAAGAATATCCCTGCAGGTGCAATTTAAATGATGAAAAAAGTGCCTACTTCACTAGACACCAAGAGAGAAAATATTTCAATGAAAACACCAATGAAGGAATGCAATTAAACACAGACATCTCCCCCACCGAATGTGCAGAAATTTGAAGAACACACAAAGTATGCATGTATTTAAATAGGAAGGTACATTCTTTTATGGATAAACAATTATACATGTACCCTTACGCAAATTCTGACTCATAATTAGGAAGTTTTTAAGTGGTTTTAAAGGTAGTTATCAAAACCTTGAAATAGTTCATACAACTCGGAATTATAGTGTGTGTTGCTAAATCAACTTTATCCTACAAGAGAAATGCAAGCCAATAGCAATGATTTATAATTCTCAGGCATACTTAATCTTTTTATGCTGGAAATTTGAAGTTGGAGTACATCCATGTTGGGAAGTGTCTTTAATGTCTCAGATAATTCATAATTTTTAATGCTTCTAAAGCTTAGTAAACAGTGGTGTCAAGCACCTGACAGTGGTGACAAGCACCTAACAGTGGTGACAAGCACCTGTCAGTGGTGACAAGCACCTAACAGTGGTGACAAGCACCTGTCCGTTTCTCAAAAAGAAGTGGATTCTAATGAAACCTAGATGGTGTAAGATACAACTTTAATTCTACAAATCATAGGGAATAAGCAGAGAGAAAAAAATTAGAGATCCTGTTTTTGTCATGTACCTTGGAGTTTGATAAATGTCTTCTACAGTTATCATTTAAACTGAATAAAAAGATTTCATTATTTGAGTCTCTGGACAACAGATCGTGCTTTCTATACACAGCTTTAAACAACTACCACTACTAAAACATCTACTAAAACATCAAATACGTGTACAGTATACAAAGATTAGGGCACAGTTTCCTTACAATGTGTTACAATGTAATTATAAAAGAGAATCTTCAGGTACTGGACACCTGGGAATTTTGTGTCACTCATTCCAGCACTCCAAGTAAGCAACAAAACAACAATTATTGGCCAGTAACTATGTTTCCATTCAATCAGTGTTAGTAATAGAACAGTAAATCGGGTGCCACACTTTCTGGTGGTGTAGAGCCACACTTTCTGGTGGTGTAGAGCCACACTTTCTGGTGGTGTAGAGAAATAACAACCAGACAATGAATGAACAGGGCTTCTACAAATCAAGCTTGGACTTCCTTTTTTTTGATACATAGGAAATACAACATCCTGTTAATCTATATTTATACTTTACCAAAATTGGGTTCAGAATAAATGTTACTTTAAGATGATCTGATTGGTCAATCATAAGTGCACCATTTCATTATTGCCTGGAAATTCTGGCAATAAAATATGCTGCTTGAAAGTCCAAAGTTGGTATTAGAAGCTTTAATAATGAGATGATACTCCCTACCCATCCATGAAAATAAATCCCAAGTAAAATTCAGTGACAAACATTTTATTGTTTCAATGGCTACATCTCTAATACTCTTGAATCAATGGCTTTTAACATATATAATTTAGGAATCTGTTGATTAATTTCATAGCTTAAATTCACCACTCCCATGAATGAAGATAAATATATTTTTAAAGTCTGGAATATATTAAGGAATCAATTTTAAGCATCAACAAATGGAACCTTAAATTAAAAAATTATAACATTTATTCGGAGCAGGTTTGGTTGATAACAAGGATATGAAATGATGAGGTTTTACAGATGTTTAAAAACAATGTTGATCAACACAGACAAACATGTAAAGAAGATAAAGACAATGGAATGAGGCAAGGTAAGGATTACATTTACAAGACAAAACCAACTGCTTGTTGTACAAATTCAGCATCTGTTTTTCTCATAAAATGACTAACTTACAGTACATTCGGTACTTTGATATTTGTCAATACTCTGACAACAACAAACAGTTGGCGTTTGGAGAAGTGACAGTCTCACAGACAAAACAACAAACAGGGTGGTCAACTACTGGACACCTGGGTATCCACTGGTCAGGCAGGAGGGGTGGGGAACTGTGGGGGTCACAACAGAGTGTTAACCACAACACACACTGAAAAGTCAAAGGTGGTCATTTGTGTACAATCTCCAGTACGTCTGATGGCTGTTCTTCATCCCCTCGATGTGCCACCTACCAGTCAACCCGTATTCAGCATATACACTGCAGCCGATACCATGATGTGTGGATGTGAATCGACCAATGGCTGCTGTTCTTTGTGATCATGTGATTACCCACAGATAAAAAGAAAAGTTAGTTTTTACTTACCTGATCTACATAAAATGCTGGTTCTTATGTGAAATGTACTGTCATTAAAATACCTACCACAGTCTCAGTAAATTTTGTCCGAGTGTCTGTCTGTATTACATGTACATACCACAGTGTGTCCCTCTAGTAAGGTTTGCTGTCACTTTTAGGTCGCTTCAGCTGAACTTTAAGTCGCTTCATTCCAATCTGAAAGCCATTCATTGCTTGTATGGCTGCCTGGGCCGACAGAGCATTGTCATAGCTCACAAACCCTATTAATAGACATGATGTAATCCCTTACAAACTTGGACAGACGCATAAAGTTGCAGAAATAATGTATTTAATTCTTGATTGCATACATTGTGAATATTTTTTAGAAAATGACAAGTATATAATCTAGAGTTGTCCATATGAGACTGATAATCCCCCCCCCCCTAAAACAAGGCAGAGAATGATCTTAAAGCTAAGCTTAACCTTCAGTCTACTGACAGAGGGATGGACAGACAACTCTATTGCAGGGTGTATAATGATGAATGAGCATTGTGAGATATGTGTGACAGAGTAAATACTGACCAAAACATTTACTGAGGTTTGTCTGTTTATCTATAAAGACTTTGGCTGATATTACGGTTCCAAAAGGCAAGAATGTCTGCATCAGATCCTGATCACTGAACTCCTGGGGGAGGTGGTAAATAAACAAGTTAGCACCATCTGGACCTGGAAAAATAGACGAGGAATGTGGTAAATAAACAAATTAGAACGAACTGGGCCTGGAAAAATAGACCAGGGAATGTGGTAAATAAACAAGTTAGCACCATCTGGACCTGGAAAAATAGACAAGGAATGTGGTAAATAAACAAATTAGAATGAACTGGGCCTGGAAAAATAGATCAGGGAATGTAGTAAATAAACAAGTTAGCACCATCTGGACCTGGAAAAAATAGACAAGGTAAGGTGGTAAATAAACAAGTTAGCACCATCTGGCCCTGGAAATAATAGATGTGGGAAATTTACGGTCATCTGGATCTGGAAAAAGATGGTAAATGACAAGTTAACATCATCTGGGTGTGGAAAAATAGATGAGGGAAGGTGGTAAATATATACAAATTGGCACCATCTTGGCCTAAAAAAAAAGACATCTCATCATCCTATAAACAAGTTAACAACATCTCATGAAATGGTCTGGGAGAAAAATAGACAAGGAAAGGTGGTAAATAAACAGATTAGCACCATCTGGACCTGGTAGAAAAAATCAGAAATCTTAAAATACTGAAAATAATCATTAGTATAAAAGCCCAGAAAAATGATCCACTCAGGTATATCTGACTGGCAAACCCTTTTCACTTTGTAGACCCCTACCATCAATAGCTGGTTAGCATTTATTTTTTAATTTGTGCAGACTTTCCTCCAAGAGGCTTCACATATCTCTTTTGCTTTCTGTAGGGAGCCTGTTTTTAGCTTTGTGTCTGTAATCCCTGATTGTAACAACCTCTGTATTTCTGTCTTCTATGTGCCTGATAACGTTTGTGTGTCAATAATTTCTGGATACAGGTGTATTGGAACTCCGTCAATGTGTCTGTATTGACTAAATCTGTTTTTTCTGCAGTATCTTTGTGTTATTCTTACACTGCTTATCAAATGTGTACAATAACTCTGTGTCTCTGTTATGACTTTGTCTGTGTTTTTGAGGGACTCTGTGTCTGTGTCTCTGTTATGACTTTGTCTGTGTTTTTGAGGGACTCTGTGTCTCTGTTATGACTTTGTCTGTGTTTTTGAGGGACTCTGTGTCTGTGTCTCTGTTATGACTTTGTCTGTGTTTTTGAGGGACTCTGTATCTTTATCTCTGTAATGACTTTGTTTGTGTGCGTTTCTGAGCGACTCTGTATTTCTGTGTGTCTCTGTAATGACTTTGTCTGTGTGTCTCTCTGTCTGTGTCTCTGTAATGACTTTTGTCTGTGTGTCTCTCTGTCTGTGTCTCTGTAATGACTTTGTCTGTGTGTTTGTCTTACCCTCTGTCTGTTTCCCCGCTGGTGAATTGGCCTGGGCCTGTTGGATCTGTTGAGCTGCTTGAGTGTTGAATGCATTTGGGAATGATGCTGTAAAATAAAAGGGTTTAAACATACATTACCAACATTACTTCACCTGACTTGAAAATTCATAAAGATCAGATTTCATCCAAAAAATAAATATTAGGACAAGAAAACTCAATATAATCCCAAATCACCCAAAAACACTGAACAAAAAGCATGTGACAGTTTTCTGTCTGGGCCCTCAATCCCTGAGGAGCCCCTGGTAACTAATAACAACCAAAGGTCATACAGAGGTCATGAGTGCATATAATGCAGTGTCAATCAACACGTGGCTAGTTAACAACAGAACTGGGACCGAGAAGAATTCTGCTGAATTCTATCATTAATACCAATATTGTATTTTATTTATATTTCATAATTATAGTTTAAAGTTAAATATGTTTGATCCTAAGAATCCTTACCAGAATCTTTCAGTTACATCAAAACTAGATATCCCCCAACTAAAATTGAAATTGTTGATTTATTTATAATTCCTTCTTTAAATTAATTAATTTTTGTGTTTCTCTGGAATTCATAAATTTAGAACGAATCTGAGAACAAACTAGGTCAGCAGAATTTTCTGATTCCCAGTAAACACAAGATGTAAATAGGTACAACAAGTGAATACAAAAGCATCGACGTCCTAATGGGGCCCAATAACACCTCCCTCCTAATAAAGGGCAATAACACCTCCCTTCTGACCTTGGGAAACAACACCTCCCTGTATGAGAAATAAAATCCTATGAATGAAAATAATTGCTAGAACTATTCATATCCTAAAGGAAGAAAAAAAAAATCAAAGTAGTCTTATATATAAACTACTTTATTACTTAGTTTTTTAAGTTTTAAACAATTGATTTGGTGGTACTTAGTAAACTCTAGTGAAATTAAACAATTCCTTAACAATAAAAATCATGCATGCAATTACCATGGTTACCCCACCTTTTGATGGAAAACCTGAGAAATAAAAAAACATCTATTACGAACTTTCAGTTATCTTCCTCGAAATGGGAAAAAAATTAATCTTTTCGTAAAAAAATGTCTCTACTAGAACCCCCTAGAAATCACTATTCATATCAAGTTTTGAGAAATCAAACTATAATAGGTGAAAGAAAATATTGAATTGTTTTGACTTATTATGAACTAGTTCTTTGTTATTGATGCAGAGTAAAGTTACTTGTGTACTAGGATCAAAGTTAGGAGTTTAAGTAACCTATTCTTTATTAATTTTGAGGATGACAGAAAATCTCATATAAAGTAGTTCTTTGGTTTGATGACTTTCTTTGCCTTGTTTTTAAGCCAAGTAAAAGTGAAAGTACACTTATGATCCAAAAGCAGGCAAAATTGTTCAATTTTAAAATGATAAGAGATCTCCAAGGATAACATACAAGTTGGAAAGATACAAAAAATACGAACAAGCAAACAGACAAGATGATGTATCCAGTCAAAAGCTATTAAATATATATACATGATATTTAATGTTTTGTAAGAAGATATGGAATTTATTACTTATGGGGCATATTTTTTTTGTTATTTTCATAAGTGCAATGCATGAGTGAAACTATCAGAATATCCTGTCTCATGAGTGAAATAAATTCCATATCCAACTACAATACATTTAAATTTTCTATTTATTACATTTTCTTGTCCCCCCCCCCCCCTTTTTTAATTGTCATTCTGTAACAACGCGTTGTTCGTAGGTTGCAAGACATCATAGCAGCGCGATTGTGAGTAGAAAATGGTAAACAAAATTAGAAGACACTTTGGAAGTTTTAGTAAGTGTATCAAAATGGTTTATTTATTCTTCCTATATTGAGTAATTTCTTTAATAATCTCCACGAAGAATAGGAGACTGAGTTTTGCTGCAAGTTCCTTATCATCCTTGTGAAAATAACACATTTGTTATTTTCACAATGAAAATAACGTCTGTAAAAATATTAAATTTAACATGTTTAATCAATGGATAAAATACAGTACTTCATGTTGAAAATGTAATAAGTTCATAATCTGATACACTAGATACAAATGTAACACCACGATCACATCGGCTATAAATAACACTATCACATTGGCTATAAATAACACTTTTACATCAGCTATAAATAACACTACCACATCGGCAATAAATAACACTTTCACATCGGCTATAAATAACACTTTCACATCGGCTATAAATAACACTATAGGTCTCTCTCCAAACATCACTGAACACTGGAATGTTCAACTATCTGACGATCTACATTCATTAAAATTCAATTTGACTAAAGAGTAAAATTGTAATCTAAATTATCATTTTTTTGTCTCACCCAAATAATAAATAAAACTTTCTTAAATTATTTTTTTAAAAGTATTTTGTCATTAATTTAAAGCACTCCAGTAGACAGTGTCTAAGCAGCAACCAACATCACATTAGTGGGTCTGTAAAAACAAAGAGAAAATCTCCAGGGTCCAGTACACCAACACAGGAAACAGAGTTATCTCTCTTCTTCTGAATCTTCAGAGCCAGGAGAAAAAAAAAGTGTACCAATATTGAACAAAGTCAAAAAAATATGGTCAAAATGATGCCATTTTATTTGAAGAATATTTATATCATCATCTACAAAACGGGAACACATGGCAGACAAATACCTAAATTTTAAAGCCAAGTTCTGAATGAAATAACAATATTACATTAAAGAGTTGTCTGACATGATTTAGTTTAGGGTCAGGGAAGATAACTCTGCCTCCATCAGAAGACTGTCATCGAAGCACGAGGAACACAACACAGCGGCCACACTCCTGAAATAAAAAAATCCACCAACCTTTTCCTGCGGGAGAGAGTAAACTGGACAAACCTGCGTATTGCTGGATCCCAGTATAGGCCTGGCTAAGGGCATCCATCCCCGCGGGGGCCGAAGAACCCCCTAGTCCATTAGATGTGACCCCCGGGGACACCGAGGCAAAATTATTGTTACCAAGGGTCTGTAGACTTGCCAGGCCGCTCAAAGAGTTAGTGGGGGATGTGCCCGTGACAGATCCTACAACAAACATCACACAGTGAGCACAAAAATCGTGTCAGCACTAAATTAACAGCACAGTCTCAGCAAAATATGACCCTAGCATCATGGCAGCTTCCCAATACAACGTACAGTCAAACACAGGCCATGATGATGAAAATTAAGCACAAAATAATGTTTGTAAAAATTACAATAATTATTAAAAAGACTTGTATGCGCTGCACAAATGTCTGCTTATGATCTAAAACATACACCTCATACAATAGCACAGAGCAGCAACTACCAATGTTGCACAAAATGGAAATATTTCATGTCAACAAAATGGTGTCTAATTGTGTGCACATTCATAGCACCTGTAAACCTTTCACTAAAAACTACTTAACTAGCTACCTAGCTAATAGTAAAGTCATTTACTACAATTCATACCAAATACAACTATCCTAAGTGGACAGACGTCAGACAACTTAACAAATGACATACATTAAAACAGCTTTAGTAACTAAAACAAGAGGCCCAAGGGCCTTAAAGGTCACATGTCAGAGGATAATAACCCTGTAAAGGATCAATGGTTCACAATTACACAAATACACTGACTGCTCGATGTCCACAGTAAAGAATATTTCTCAAGATTGTATTATTTTTTATGGTTTTATCCCCTCCACTCAGGCTCCAGGTGGGTAGGGACCATGGAATTCTCTTGTTTTTCTTCCCCTTCACGCACAGATGCTATTTGACAAAATTGGTTGAAACTGGTTCAGCTGTTCCACAGAACCAGCTGAAAATGTTCAAATGTTAACACACGGCGAACAGTGGACAAAAACAGAGAGCAATAGATCACCTGAGTGACTCAGGTGACCTAAAAACACCTGACATCCTGATGCTCAGGTAATACTAAATTTTATCTTCTAGAATTTCCTAGACCTTCTGACTTTGACACTTCTGAACCCTGTGACCTTGACCTTGTCTAAATGACTTTTGTTCAGTGTCATGATACACATGTATATCCTATAATCCTAATAATCAACTCTGGCTAATTATGACCTTCTAAAATTCTTCTGGTATGGACAAGAATTTTACTCTTATAACTCTTGGAAGTCATCTAACAACAAAATCTCTGACAAAAAAAAAAAAAAAAAAAAAAAACCCAGAGATACCAGCACTTCATTTCTAGGTGTGTCATAATACTCTGAAATCTCTTGGAAGTTGTCTAACCACATAAACTCTGACAAAAAAAAAAAAAAAAAAAAAAAGAAAAAAGAAAAAAAACCCAGAGATTCCAGCACTTCATTTCCAGGTGAATCATAATATGGTACAACACATTTCATACAGAATATTCATCATACAAAACCATGTCATCAAAGCACAATGTGTACACAGCAAACTGAAGTGTGTGTAGCAGTGCTAAGTTCAACTACAGGTATTCCTGAACATTTTATAAAACAATTCTTATGAAGCTACCATGTCCTTATTTACTGTTATTAACACATTTATTATGCTTTCATTTAACTACTTATAGAATAAATATTGCTGGCCTTATTTCTGTTGAAGAAACAACCACCCAATGTAACAAAAAATCCAAAATTGAAAATTGTGTCAAACAGATCTCTAGTGTTTATTTCCTAGAATTCTACACATAAACTAGTAGGAACATTCTTTTAACTTAAGGACCCTCTATACACTTAAGGAAAAGATTTTTTGGACACTAAGAAAATTATAGTGTGTAAAAGTGTAAGTAATGAGCTTATCTATCACATTTTCAACATAGGGTGCCTTGCATTTACCCCCAGGAAAAATGTTCAAAGACAATGAAGTACTGATGAGCATAAATCACTGTTGTTTACTTAAGTGGGCAAAATACCAGCAAATGAAGTGTTCTATCTATTCATCTTGGCCTATTAAAGTGTTATGAATGCTTGATTAGATCAAAAATTCAGTAATAAACTCTACATTTCAATTTATCTTATTCTTGATCAAAGGGCAGATCACTCTATCTGCATAAAAACACCACAAAATCAGAACTCTCTAGTGTGCAGTGTATAGAGGGCTCTTAACCAATGATGTACAAAAGACAAACTAGGGGAAAAGAATATTGTTCATATACATTTGCATAAGAACAAATCTTTCTATAAATCATGAACATGTTTAGAAATAAGTTCCCTACACCAGAGAGACTAACTGATGCATGCTGGGAAAATGTCACACATAATGGTGCATGCTGGGACAAATGCTCACCTTGGGGTCCTCCCTTCGGAGCAAAAGCTGCATGCAATTAAAAATAGAGATGATGTAATCACAGGGTGAATGTGAGACAAGTGGAAGATGTATAACGGAATAAGTGACTGAGGTCTGGACCAAGTGACCAAGACATGGACTAATTGACCCAGATCCAGACCAAGTATCTTAGATCTGGACCAAGTGACCCAGATCTGGACCAAGTATCTTAGACCTGGACCAAGTGATCGAGGCCTGGACCAAGTGACCCAGACCTGGACTAATTGACCCAGCCCTGGACCAAGTATCTTAAACCTGGACCAAGTGACCAAGACCCAGACTAATTGACCAAGACCTGGACCAAGGGTCCCAGACCTGTGGATTTTATTTACAGACAAGGATCTGATGGTTGTGCATTCATCAACTCAGTGCAACTTCATACTATTTGGTAAGAGAGGAAACAAGTAACAATCACAGCATGAGTTTCTTAAAAACCAATCATCATACCTCTTCTGGCATGTGTCAATGTCTACATGATTTTTGTTATTTTATTTCAAATATTTTTAAAACAATAATTAGCATCTTAATTTTGTCCTTATGAACACTGTTTTCATAGACAGTGAAATTCTGAAGCACACAAAAAGAGCAAAACATCTTAATTAGTATGTGGTTTAAACATCAGCCCTCAATTAAGTGAGCTCTTCGATAATTTTCTTGTTAAAAGGCATTTAGTGAAAGAGATTGTTTGTTTGAGAGCCCACAGTGTGACTAATTTTACCCTGATCAGATAAAACGTCACTACTTTTACCTGATGCTGAGGTGGAATTCGTCACTCCCGCTATTTGATTTAACGCTGCTATGCTCTGCATTCCCAAAGCACCAATACCACCTGCTGCTGAAAAACAAAAGTTAATCAAGTTACGTATCTCCTCAGAGAGCTCACTTTCCTGTCCAGTTCATTTTATTGAGGATGAATGGAGTTCTGCTAACTGCACATGCAATTACAAGTACACCAAATCATACTAAAAAATAACGCACAAAATTTGAGTGTTTTTGAATTATTAAATTCTGACATTCTAGTGAAGATCTCTGTGATATAAACCAGACATAAGTATTTCTATTTATAACTCTGCAGTGTTCCTCATTTGACACAATTACTCAAGGCATTTAAAACAAATGATGATCTTCTACAGATTCAGAAATATCAAGCTAGTGAGACATTTAGCTTTACTTATCACTTGTATAAAAGTTATAACTTTGTGGAAATTTGTTTTGGTTGTCAAATGTACCTGGGTTGTACCTTTAGCTGAGGTGAGAATAGCCAGCTTCTGCAGGTTCTGGGGGGATAATGTCGGTTCACACTTACCTGAGTTACCTGTGGCTGGGGTGAGAGCGGCGAGTCCCTGTAGGTTCTGGAGGGGTAATGTTGGTTCAAACTTACCTGGGTTACCTGTGGCTGAGGTGAGAGCGGCCATTCCCTGTAGGTTCTGGAGGGGCAATGTTGGTTCAAACTTACCTGGGTTACCTGTGGCTGAGGTGAGAGCGGCCATTCCCTGTAGGTTCTGGAGGGGTAATGTTGGTTCAGACTTACCTGGGTTACCTGTGGCTGAGGTGAGAGCGGCCAGTCCTTGTAGGTTCTGGAGGGGTAATGTTGGTTCACCTGTAAAAGAGACCACACAGGTAAATCACATCCGGTCAGGGGGTGTCAGTCATTAAGGGCATCCTCTCATTCAGAGGACTTTTAATACATGTATCTTCAATATTTGGAGCCCCTTGCAGAGTTTTCTCTACATATACTTTTTTTCAAAAAGCACTTAATTTTTCACTGGTTTTTAAATTTCAAAACCCCAGAACAATTTTAGAGCTTATCAGGTAAAAAATAATGCAATTCTGAGTAAAAAGCCAAAACAAGCATGAGATGTCAACACTTTAAATGAATATAAAGCCTTAATATAGTAAATGTTAAACAGGAGGTATTTTTATAGGTAAAGTCTGTTTATCAGGTAAAAGGAAATGTAAAATAGGGCCCTCCATCTCATCAAAAGAGTTGTATAATGATTTTGTTATCAAGGTTGAGGAGAGCAGTGAACTCTGACAGGAAGTGCCATCTTGACACACTTCCTGTCACTAGAGAGCTACGCTATACACAACAAGAAGACGAGGCTTACTAACATAACAGTTAGAATGTTAATAACAACATATAAATAAAATATCATATATAGAACAGTGTTTCCACTGACAGCATTCTTAATTTTTCAACTTCAAACTGCTTACATGCAAAAAAAAAAAAAAAAAAAAAAAATCATATATATCATAAACATGCATACATAAATGCAGAGATTCAAATAAATAAAGTAGAATAAATTATGCCACAAATGAATTACGTTTTTCCATTTAGAAATGTTTTATGTACATTGGATAGAAAGAAGAGAAAAAAATCATGCAAGAAAGAAAGGGTGTTTGGGGGAAAAAGTATGTGGATGTGCAACTTTGTTTTCCCAATCTATATACCTTCTGAATAGTTTATGCAGATACAAATCAAAAGAAGGAATGCCTAGTCAAGAGTTGTAAATACTGTGTTTAGAAAAAACATAAATTTAAAGTTCTCTTAATTCCCTCCCCTTGAAAACTTTAAATAAGACATTTTGGTGAAGTACTAAAAAGGTGTACATGTCTAACATCAAACAAAATGGTGAAAGAGATACACTGGGATTCTACCCAAACTAAACAGTGCTCATAAAACAAAGGTCATAGAGACTAACAGTACAGAAGATTCACATGCAAAATTCAATCTGCAAGTAAAAAAATACAAGATAAAGTGTGAAGTGTGCTCAAATACAAACAGAGGCCCAGTGCTATTTCAATCAAACTGCACTTATCACAATAAATGTAGCTATCTACACATCTAACATGTTTGCAAAGGACAACTGTTTTGGCAAAAAAAAATATAATGCAAAGAAAACAAAATATATGCATGCAAAAAGAAAAAAATAAATATAACAAAAGCCAGGAAAAAGTACAGCTAGCATTAACAAGGAGAGAAGAAGTAATGGCCTTACTGTATCAGACAAAAATAAGACTACAGTCAACTCTGTATATCTTAGTCATTCCTAGGCTTCAAAGGGCAACGATGCCCTAACATTACAGGTATTTTTAAAGCCAGAAAACTTCTGAAAGTTAACAATGTATGTTAAGAGCTTTCTTTTTTTTTTTAACCTGAGGGATATAGATCCAATAAAAAATATCCTTCGCTTTTACAACTTTTTTTTATTACAAGTAAAATATGACTGTGTACAGAGTTGATCTGAGGTTTTTACAGTAAGCCCAACTTAGCATTATCTGCTGTACGGAGTACCTGATCCACCGGAATTACTAGCACTGGTTGGCGTTTGACAGGGAGATGACATATTCCCCCCGCTGTTGTTGGTTTGGAGTGCGGCAAGGGCCGCTAGAAGCCCTGTTGATGGAATTAAGCCATCACTGATTCAACATTTCTATCCACAAATACATCTGTCAAATTCCATTATGTAGGTAATATTGCATAAAAATACTTAATTTACACATCAAAATAAAATTTTACAGGAGTAAAAATACAATAAATAATGTAAAAAATACACACACCATTTCACAAAAAAGAAGAAAAAGCAAAGATATTGGTTTACAATCACCATCTACCAAATTTAAAACAACATTAAAATTTCACTCCAATCCTGTTAATGGCAAGTATAGGTATATATGCTTGAAGCTTAGAAAAATAGGTCATATACAGCCAAGTATATGAGGATATACGTGTTCTATATGATAGGTCAAAACTAGCACATAGTGTCACTCGCCTATACACAGCAAATATGATGTTAATTATATCAATATATTACAATGTAATCCTACCACAATATATACTGACCAATATCATAAGGACAAAATAAATGCAAGCACAGCAATATCACTTAGAAAGGGGGCAAAATATACTACAAACAGGGCAAAACTAATTATGAAAGGGCAAACAAACTTCAAGTGGACAATACTATTTCTAACAGGGTAAATAAATTCAAACAGAGCACTATCGGGAATTCCAGAAGTAAAATAAACAAAAACCTTTAGTTACAATACTACCTCCAAAAGCAAAACAACTTCAAGGCTAAGCTTTTGAATTCAAGAGGGAGATTCCGATAAATATATTCAAGAATCAATATTTATTTCAAATGAGTAAAATTCTAATAGAAGTGAGCAAAACTTCTTCAGAAAAATGGAATTAAAAATAAAGAAGATGGGAAAGGGGGGATGATTGCTCAATTATCTTGTGCTAAGTAAAATATGCAGGACAATATCTGAATAACATGACATAACAGTATCAGATTAACAGGGCAGTGCAATATCAGATTAACAAGTCCATGCAATATCAGATTAACAGGTCAGGGCAATATCAGATTAACAGGCCAAGGCAATATCAGATTAAAAGGTCAGGGCAATACCAGGTTGATAGGATAAAGCAAAAGCTGGGAAAATATCTGGAGAGCAATATTTCTTTTGAAGTAAAATATTCTAAAGACAATCATAGTAAACAGCAATGGTAATAGCAATGATACAACTAGTAAAGTCCTTAACCATTTACAGATATGACCCAAACTTCCAACAAACAATAACCAGACCAGGGCCATTTGTGCTGTCAAAAGAACATGGGCAATGCTATCCGTCCTGCATCTTCTTCCTCTTTAAAAATAGACCCCCCCCCCCAGAAATGGAATATGTATCAATTTTTTTCATTTGAAATCAGAGAGGATACTAGCCACATCAATGTTTGACTTAGACAGACTCAGTATGAAAGTGCATCCCTCTTAAGCAATATGACAATTTGTATCAATTACACAAAGAAGATGGTTCCCATTGTTAAGTCTTAGCAAAACCAACATCCCAATTAAAAGAAGAAAACTGTCCACCAAGATTTTGAGAGCCTCTTCACCATCAGAAACAAAATAGGAAAAAACAATATAGAAAAAAAAAATAACAGAATTAAGGATGTCCAAATCAAATGGTCTCATCTCATAATTAGAAACTAAGAAATAAAATCTTTATTGGGAAAGTGATACATTACTTTTCAATTTCAGATATCATTACATTAATTACCATTTAAAGTTTGACTTAGTTCTGCTGAAGAGCATTGTATTCACACAAAAAAATATAAATAAAAAAACTTATTTTTTAAATAAAAACTTAATATTCTATTGCAAATAACAATCAGAATTTAGAAATGTTCATCGTTTAATGTTGTTTCTTTACATGAAAACGAGAGTAACTTTGACTCCTTTCTCTGACCTTGATTTGGACATTCCTGACCACTACAGCTAAAACACCAGAGAGAGGCTACAAGCAACAGTTACCATGGTAACATATACCTGTATTATTCCCGGATGCTGCCGCATTCGCTGCTGCCAACAGTAACTGCTGAACAGCGAGGGGATTAGTACCGCCGGTGGGCGACGCTGAAATCACGCCACATACTTGTTATACCCCATTCAGGTGTGTCTCATATCAATATGTCATGACAGTTGAACATTGTAAAAATACATAGCTAACAATTCATACAGTAAATTAGCATCAAACAATTTTTGAATTTTCTGTATTCATCTCTCCTTCCAATTTCATAACATCAATAAATGGTCTTCTATGCACAAGTATTTTTTTTTTCATAATGGAAGTATACATCATGCAAAATGTTTCCTAGCATTTGGAATGTTAATAATTAATACTGTAATTCAGGTCTCATTAAGGCATGCCTGAGTCTCAAACTTGGAAGCTCTACTTCAAGACATCAGTGCTTTAGTTGGTCTATATACATTAGTTTGACATGTTTTATATCACACAATGCAGTCATGTTCATAGGGAAACAAAAACCAAGACATAGCCACAAACAGAAGGTCTTTTTTTTTTTTAAATACCCAACAAGTCTGACCCTTGGACATTCTTTGATAAGTAACGGCTACTTGTCTGCTAATTTCTTTTGTTTTTTATTCAGTAGGTCACTAAGCCATGACCTAGTGTAAACTATAACCTGCAAAAGATGGCACATTTTCTACCACCAGGGGGCAGCTTACCTAGATTTCCTGTGTTGAGGAGTCCCAGATTTCCAGCCATTGCTGCCTGTTGTAACAACTAGAATTAAGAAAAAAAAAAAAAGTAAGACATATTTTTATTGGTTGATAAAACACAAATAACTTATCAGTCTCAGATAAATTTACATTTATTCATCTACCATGTTTACAACAATGACAATGTTTATAAAAAAAATTTTCATTTAGTAACAAATTTAACACATTGAAGAGTAATCTCTTCACAAAATCTTTAATCAGCATTTGTTTACAGGAAGTGTAAAATGATACTGAATTTTTTTGTCCATCATAGCTGACTGTTTTTCAAGTCTTTTATCATTTTGAACATACCAATATATCATATCACTGAACTATAGGTAATTACATGGACTTTGTCCCTGAATTAGACAAAACAAACTTAAGATTCTTCATGATTAAGATGATCGTAAACTCTGCAGGATCGCAAGCTTTCAGTGAACCAAATCTCAGATAAAATATTTTCTACTTAAGCAACTGAATTTCAATCTCTCAAAGGAGCGGCTTCATGCACTCTGAAGCATTAAACAACAGGGGACTGGTTTAGAAGTTTTTTAGCCATCCCTGTTGTATTCAGGCAGATGTCTTCTTTTTATTGATGCTGCACTGCAGGACCACGTTCTAATACAGATTACATGGAAACCAGGGCTTTTAGAAAATTGTAGAAAGAAAAAAAAATCCAAGAAACTGCAGCTGTATCAAATGTTCTCAGTGTTTAGAGAGCTTTTCATGTAACTTCAAAAATAACTGGATTTTATACAAGGTCAGTAGTGAAATGGAACAAAGTCCCAACAAAGGGATCCTCTCCTCACAGTGGAGAGTAATTGTTACCCCCCCCCCCCCCCCCCCACCCCCCTCCACAATACACACAAAATCATGGTTTAAATTTTTACTCGAGGCATAGAATCAAACAGTATGCCAATGGCCTACATGTGGTATACAATAACCTATGTCTCTATAAGGCATGTCTCCAACATTAATATTCTGACAGCCCTACTTCACATTCCTCTTTATATCCGTCATTTACAAATGTGTGATTTTGCAAATGATCACACTTTTTGATACCCACATTAAAAAAAATATTATGGAAAATTGCTGATGAAACAGCAGATATAATGACTACAGTACAATTGCAGATAAAAATCTCAGGAAGTAGATAACCCTCTATATCAAACAGAATCAGTCACCAAGACACGCCTGAGTGATTCTTCTTATGCCTCGCCTACTTCTGTAGAAGTCATATTTGATGAAATCAGAACTACTGTTTCTAAAATGACTTCCTTCATCCTCTGATGTACCTAACCTGCAATCTAAAACACTAGCATTCCTACACAAGTTTCAATTATCAGCCTTTATTTGAGAGCCAATAATTATCTGAAGTTGAAGGTCAGACAAAAAAACCTCAGAGAGGAAGTTCCTCATTATAATACGTCTGTAATCCCCTATTATAATACGTCTGTAATCTAACAATCTCAAATAATGCACAGTCAATTTACTACAACAATGTTACATAAAACATTGTCTACACCATACTCAGAATTAGCAAACAACGGAACAACAGGGCCTACACTAAGATATGTCTACCAACTAACATGGTCAGATTTACTATCAAATTCACAGACATTTACTCCATCATACAAACATCTTATATGAATAAAATCATTCTCATTAAAAGAAGCCTCAAACTGCTGACCCTATCTTAATTAAACCCTCTGAAATTATATACTCTAAATTGTCTGTCAATGATCTTTATGCATACACATCATCAGAAATGTTATGGGTGAGGGCACCTCTCTCCCTGTGTAATACAGTGGGTGGGGGGGGGGGGGGAGAGAGAGAAGGCGCCCCCTGTACACTTACTGGAGGATGAATTGGAGGTGCCCCTCCTTCTGTGTACCAACTGTGATATAATCCAGGAAAAAGGGTGAAATACAGGGGGGGGGGGGGGGGGATGGGGTAGGAGTGCCCTTTCCCTCTGTATACCAACTGTGATATACTGGGGATAAAGCCACCTCTGACTCAGGGTGAAATATGGGGAGGCACTCCCTCCCTCTGTATACTTACTGTGATATATTGGGTTGAGAAGGTGCCCCTCATCTTCATGATATATTGGGGGGGGGGGGGTCTTTCCTCTCTGTAAACTTACTGTGACATATTGGGGAACAAGATACCCTCCTCTTCCCTTCTGTTTACTTACTTTGATATATTGGGGAACAAGATACCCCCATTCCCTTCTGTATATACTTACTGTGACATACTGGAGGAGAAGATGCCCCTCCTGTTTATGATATATTTGGGGGGGTGTTCCCTTTGTATACTTACAGTGATATATTGGGGGGAGAAGCCAGCCACACCCCCTGCTGATATGTTCCAGAGATTTTGATTTATTTGTTGTATTTTTTTCGCTTCCTTTTCTTTCTGTGTATCTGCAAACTTCACAACAATAGGTGATGAACACCCCTGAAAGAGATAGTTCGCTATCATTAGTTCTCTATCATTAGTATTGATTTACGAGTCAGTGGTAAACCACAGTTCAATGCGAGATATTATTGGGCAAACTTTGAAACAAATTTAAGTGATGTCATTAAGGACTGGCACTGCACTGAAATTAATATCTATTCAGTACACAGCTCACAGATTCCAATTCTACTTAAAACGGATGTCAACAAAATCTTGTAAACCTGATAACCCCAAAATTTATGTCATGTTTTTAATTCCTATGTGGAAAATCCAATTTGATGTTTCACCTGGATCAAACATAAAGAAATGAGCATGTCTAAATATATGGACTCTTAAAAAGTTCCTGGGCATACAATATATATATAGACAAACCAAGAACCACATTCCACACAGTGTTTCTTTGTGGATATGTATTGGTGTCATAAAGGGAGATCTATTCTCTGCAGTTCTTTTCTTACCTCCATGGTCTGTGAGTGATGCATGTTCTTTATGGCATTCAGAGCAGACTGTCTATTGGCATACGTTACAAAAGCACATCCTGAAACAGGTAAAATAAACTACTGATTAGAGGAATGGTGGAGGTTTCAGTTCTGTTAATATTTTATCATTCTTCTTCAGGAGCTTTTTGTTGTCCACATTTGTCAGTGTAAAGTAAATCTTTCCTCTTGAAACATTTAGTGCCCTCTATATCCCTCCGCTGCAGAGGGTACTGTATACAGGGATAAATCTGCCCCATGTTATTTTCCCCCTTTCACACTTGCGTTTAATTTTGCCCCATTTTAATTCGACCAGTTACAGTTCTGTTTAAAAAATTATGCTGTGTTCTTTGAATTCTCCCCATTTTAAATTCGCCCACCTGTGAGTAGGGTGAAAGGGGCAAAAATAAAACGAGGGTGAAAATTTCCCTGTATACAGTATCTATATAATAAATTAAACTCTACCATGTATCTTATACACTTAGTGTACATTATGAGAGCCCACTCTAGACTGTTACTATAAATAGATAACCTCGACTCTGTCCGTTCTGATCCCTCAATATCGTGCAGTCCTCTATTGAACCAAACGGAGCAAACATCATTTTAACATCACTCTCCGAGCACTTCTTGGAAATCATCCCGACAAATAATTTCCTTTCCTCTACAAACAAAAGAACAAGTAATTTGACATATTTATTGTAAAATATATATATGCACCAATGCTCTAGTCTTAATAAACGCAAATACAGTATATGCAAGACACATACTTAATATATAGAAAAATGGTCTGAAAATGAATTTAAAGCTGACCTTGACAAATAATTTTACTTAAAATCAAAAACCACTTATTAATTGCTTAAATCTCATATCACTAATGAGTAGGTATTGATAAATCTCCCTTCACAACTATGGATCATCTCAATTATTGTTGCAGGTTAAAAACAAGAATTTCACTGAACAGAATCTATAAATATCTCCCTGACAGCCCCACTGTGTTTGAAAATCTATATCTCCCTGACAGCCCCACTGTGTTTGATTTATCAAGGTTGGACTGTACAGGAACCAATACTTGTTGATTATGAACAAATGAGTAATTATGTAAATTATTTATTACTTTGGTGCCTTAAATGCAGTCAACTGATGTCTTAAGAAATCTTCTCATGAATGCTCACCAAAGATTTTGTATGTACAATCAAGTTACCGGTTATCTGCTTTTGTCTACTATATGAAATTTTCTGCTAAGTAAATTCTCTCTGTGGTCTTAATTAGGAACAGGCTTTAAAATATGCATGTTGGTTACCAATATGGATCTGAGATCTGCCTTTTATCTGAACCTTTCCTTTGTGAAATCTTTTTTTTCCAAGTTTGAAGGGAAAACATGGACATTTTCCCACATGTTTATTATTTATTTATCATTCTCTTAGTAATAAACACAAATTGACAGCTGTGTGTAACAGATATCCTACTTAAAGTTTTGATAGAAAGGTGTGTTGAATTTAATTTGTTTCCATGATTGATAAATGGTGATCTATCATCAATAATTAAGGCCACCATCTTACATTGTAAATTACTATATCCCCAGAACCCAGACCTGTGTGTGGTTATAAGTACAGTGGAATAAATCACCCGACTGATTTTTGACTGGATACTGTGAAATGTTTTGTTGTTGTTTTAATTGAGGTAGCCCCCCCCCCCCCCCCCCCCCCCCGAGGCAGCCCCCCACCCACCCACCCACCAATGGTCTGTTCATGGTTAGGTACAGTTGTAACGGAATTGATAGCTAGACTGATTTTATTGATTTTAATGATACTGTATAATTTTTTGTTGTTGCTTTGAGTCAGTCCCCCTCTCCCAGATCTGTAGGTGGTTAGGTATGTTGTAATGGTATTGACAGCCAGACTGATTTTATTGGATTTGACAATGGATACTACCAGATTTGTTGTTGTTTACATGAGGCAGGTGTACAGATAGGAAGTCTGTCAGTTACAGACCACATGGAGTGATTTAACACACACAAAAAAAAACCTCACTGTAGAGAATCATAACAATACAGTTATATAAAACATGATTTTTTACACAACAGACATTGTACAGAACCCTGATCAACACGTACCATTCCTTTTCTCACTGTCTGCTGGTTTCATCTGAATGGGATGGTGCATCTAGAATGAAAAACAAAATATCGCACTTGAAATAATGATGCACTTAATGATCAGTTAAACCAAAATTATTGAACTAAAGATATTGCAAAAGAGGAGTGAAAATCAATGATGGGTTTTACAGACAGAGCTAAAAATTGTCTTTAACAAGATTTGTTTCCAAAATAAAATGTCCACAGCAATAGACTAAGTCATTTCTTACTTGGCAATGAACTATGACCTCGACTTGACATAAAGCCTTGGCCTCACATATAACCTTGACCTAAAATACAGTCTCGATCTGAAATGAAACTCTGACCCAACATAAAACCTTTACCTAATGTAAAGCCTTGACCTCACAGAACTTTGAACAGATATTTAAGAAATGAATTTAATTTTTGAAGATTCATGAGGACATGAACTACGACGCTTCATGACAGCATATTTCATGAAGTGCGTTAGTGCTTCATGATAAATATGCCGACGTGAAGCGTTGTAGTTCATGTACCTCATGGATTTTCAAAAATTAGATTCATTTCTTATATTTAAATTATTTTTCTGATGAGTTGCCACAAATTACGCTATTCAACTGTCATTTTTTTAAGCAAAACAGTTTGCACTACAGTTTTGACATCGAGTGTGGTATTATGACGTAACAATGGATATATTCATGCTCATCCATGGTAGTTCATGAGAAAATGAACAGTCTTCTAATTTGCAAAAAATCTTAAAGAAAAATATTTAGAAATGTAAATATTGGGTTTTGAACACCAAATGACCATTTATGAAATCTTTATCTCATAAATAGTAAAATACAGTAAACCCAGATCTTAAAACTCACAGGCGAAATTACTTTTTTTTCACTCCATTCAATTAATATTTCACAGATTTATGTTCCTACGTTGACAAAATTTAACTCTGTTAAAAGCATACATTTACTAAAAGCAGGTGACTCTAAGAGTGATTGAGTGTGGTTCAAATTCAAAAGACATTGGGTAAAGTCTCTATAGAAAGGTCAGCCTGTTTAAGTACTTATTCAAGGTCTGCCTATATAAGTACTCATTCAAGGTCTGTTTAAGTATTCAATCATGGTCATAAGCACTCATTCAAGATCTGCCTGTTTAAGTACTTATTCAAGGTCTGCCTATCTAAGTTCTGCCTGTTTAAGTACTTATTCAAGGTCTGCCTATTTAAGAAATCATTCAAGGTCTGTTTAAGTATTCAATCAAGGTCATAAGTACTCATTCAAGGTCTGCCAGTTTAAGTACTTACGTAATGTCTGCCATTAAAATAATCATTCAAGGTCTGTTTAAATATCCACTTAAGGTTTAAGTACTTATTCAAAGTCTATTTAAGTACTTTTCAAAGTCTGCCTATTTAAGTACTTATTCAAGGTTAATGATGGGTTTTACTTAATCAAGTCTGCCTATTGAAGTACTCACTCAAAGTCTGGTTAAGAACTCATTCAAGGTCAGTTTGATTTCTAAATAAGAGAATTTTCATTTTGTTTGATTACAGAATTTCTTTTTGTTTGAGAACTAATGCAGGATCTGCTGAAGTGCTTATTAGGGACTGACTAAATGTTACTTAATTTTGGGTCCATTTGTTTGAATACATGGTCATTTTGTCCATTTGGCTGAGATCTAAAATTCTTGTTCTGTTTGCTGAACCTAAGGCACTCAGAGACAGAGACAGCATTAAGTCAATGACACTGGTTTGAACTGAAAAACCTGCTACCTGGGACTGACATAACGAGGTGATAATTAACTTTAATAAAACACGAGTGATTTGTGAAGGATGAAGACCACATTGTGATCTACATCAGCTTGTCAGGCAAAGCAGCAATCAATCTACTGTATTATTGATCATCATTCACAACAATTAATGTCCATAGAAAGGAAAGGATAATCACCCATTACATTACAAACCTGTCTGGTACTAAACGACTGGGATTCCCCCTCATTTGGTGTCATTTCCAGAGAGTTTCTGCTATAATTAATAAATTCCTTGGTGATCCTCTTTCTACTGGGATATTCCAATGCAAGGGGATATCCTCATTTGGGGTTTATTATCAAGAAATCGGGGATCCCCTCTAAATTGACAGAAGGGAATAATAACTCTCTATAGGAAAGATGTGGTGGTTCTAAACCTGAGAGAGTTCTAGCACCACTCCCAGTACAGTCCTCTATGTTGACTACAATTCTAGGGATTTCCTCTCCAATCAGAACCTGTCCTTCCACCTGGGATCATGGAAATCCCTCTACACTTGTTCAAGGACTTCATTTTGAAGGATCGCATTCAAAAGAGATTCTCTTTCTATTAGAATCATGGGATTCCCCTTATATAAGAAACACACCCTGGAAAACTTAAAGATTTCCTCCAACAATGAATGCCACAAGTTGGGATAAGCATCACATTTGACCAGTCCTAATGTGGGACTCCATCCACATAGAGAATTATCTAGAGAGATGTCTCTCTGACTTGCTAACAACAAGCTGTGCAAGTTAGTGTAAACTTAAATATTTCCCCTATTGTTTTCATTATAAATCCAGAAAAATCATTATTAAATTACATGTATCATACACATTATTATTAAACTTTGGAAATAGAATAATTAATCTAACAAAATTCATATTGTAAACATCTGTATGATTTATTTGCAAAACAAATTTGTTTCATATTTTCTGTCCTCCTGTTTCCTAGCAGAAAGAAAACACCATTATGAAACTACAAATCCCCTCTATTTAAAAGCGATATTTCCTAATTACAATCCTGCATGCCACCACTTTACACTGTAATTCATTTAGTACAACCCTCTAACAGCCAAGATATTTGAGGGAATAAAATGAAAACTCTTCCCAATTAATGCATTGCCCAAAAAATGTCTGTCTTGCACTAATTGCAGATATGAGTACATGTACCTAGATTCCAATTGTCTGAATACCTATGTAATTCATAGTGACTAGTACAGTATGCTATATACTCCTGTCAATATGGATTCCCCGATAATATAAACTGACTGAGGAATCCCCATCATGTCACAATGAGGCTATCATCCAATATCAAACAGAAGCTGTGTATTACCTATTTACCAAACCTAAAACAACTTGTAGAGGAACTGCATTCTTCCTGCTCCATTATATGTATGGTTTACCGTGACTACTACTGCAGGAATGGATAATCATATTGTGATGGCATTCCTAGCAGAAGGGAGATTTTTGCTTAAATCATCCCTTTGTTTTCAATTTGTAATACCTACTTTCTTTACTTAAAACTTTGAACTATTCACCAAAGTTAACCTCACCAACTACATTAAACTCTTCTCCAGAGAACAATCATTTCGAAATATCCATCGCAAAAAACGAGTTCCATCGATAAGATTGGTCTATTCAGTTTGAGGTGAACAACTTAATAACTCTTTTTCATCCATGAACATGTTACTGTAAATCTATGACCATTTATTGTGAGGTTTCTTAAAAACATTTATATCATCAAAGCAAAACTTTGAAGTCATGTATAAGAGCTACACAAATTAATGTCTTGACAATGTTAAGTTACTAGAACATAGAAAGCTATAAAATTGACTAGGAATGTGTGAGTGTCAGATATATTAGACCATATAACACTGCTATGGAGTTCCCAGCCTAACAAGCCAATAATTTGCCGGTGTTAGCATATGACAGGTCTGACAGATTAACTCCGATTTGCCATTGATTTCTTCCTTAGATCATTTTTGTCCAATTTGGCTTAGAACAATAACATTGACTATAAAACATCTGAGAAAGAAGCATGGAAGGTCCAGTTAATCAAGCCATCTTCTGAATATTTTTATAAACATAGAATATTGACAGACAACTACCTCTACTGAGAAACACTGCTTCTTAACTCATAAAGAAGAACAGCCACTGGGAGTCAGTTTCACTGATCAACTCATGGGAACCAGTTGAGTTCAGCAAACAGAGGACCAGTTAAGTTGCATGGGGACCAGTTAAGATGGATGACACATGTGGACAGGTTAATTTAGGTGACATGTGGTGATCAGTTAGGCTGTCCATACACATGGAGACCAATTAGTTGGGTGACACATGGGGACCATTTATATTAGGTGACATTTGGGGATCAGTTAAGTTGGGTAAACACATGGGGCTCATTTAATTTGGGCAAACATATAGGGACCAGTTAAGTTGGGCAATAATTTGGGGACCAGTTAAGTTGGGTGACACATGGGGACCAGTTAAGTTGGGCAAACACATGGGGACCAATTATATTACATGTAGGTAACACATGGGGACCAATTAAGTTGGCCAACATACATAAGTATCAGTTGAGTTGGACAAGTGATAAGTGGTTCTTACAGATCACTCAGACTTGTGAAGTTGAGTCAGTCCCAGTAGTCTGTAGAAACCTCATTTTACTCATTCAACATCAGTAATCAGTTAAAACCTCAATCCATGCAACTCAGTAAAGATGCAGAAACTTAACCTCTGTCAATTATAAAGTAGCTACCCACCATGACACCTAACTCCCTTCCATGCCTAGAGACAATAAACATGATAAATATTGGGTATTGTTTATGTCACTGAAGTAATGGCTTTGAGGTTGTTTATTTGGGTGAATATGGCTTAGTGTTTTTTTTTCAGTAATGCAGTTGTAAAAGGTTTGCTCCTTAAAGCTGTCCTTATTTATCTTTAACATCATTATAACAGATATATGGCTAGTCTGTGTAAATAATGTGGGAGTAAAATTGATATATGATTAACAACATCCTAAGAAAATGACCATGTAATCTCTCATTAACAGCCAATGTACCACCAACAGTCAGAGAAAATGTCAGCAGGCTTTCTACTCGTCAACGTGATCAATATCTGTGTTTTTCCTGTAGAAATCGTGAGGGTGAGATAAATGTCTTCATCGAATTAATCCGTAACCTCTCCAGAACAATCCCAAGGCTGATAAATGCAATAAATGTTATTGCTTTAAAAATGAGACATTTTCACTTCATTTTTCCAGTAAAAATAATTCCTGGTGACAAAATCATAATTCTGTTTGACGGCTCTATATCTCTAATTTCTACAGAGTGACATCTCTAAGTCCCCTGATGGTAAAACCTCTCAATGAGTGTTCGGTTCTCAATGTCGCACATTAACAGCCCTAAACAATAGAAGGACAAGTCTTCTATAGGAAAGAGTTTTCAATTAACACTGTTGTGACAAGCTCTTTCCATCCATTTCCCCCATCATTAACTTTATACTCACAGCAACCAAACGTAACTTCAATACCTCATCATCATAGTTTTTTTCCTACTTTGAATGATTACGCTGCTGTTTTCAATATTATTAAGAAGATCACCTTATTTTTAAACACTTTATATTACTAGAATCTCTTTAACATTATAAGATGTCAAACATGAGCATCTTCAAGACTAATCTTGTCTTGACAATTTCATCAATGCTGCCTTTTTTTCTTTAGGTTTGGTTTCAGATTTGCAACAGACTACATCTCTTTTTGAAAACCTTTCAAATTTAAAATTCAAAAAGAAAAAAAAAAAACAGCAAAATAATTTCAATTTCATTTTTTTCCCCCTGACTCGATCAATACCATATTTTCTATTTTAATAAGTAACTTGACTGCTTCTATATACTGTAAACCAACTATTATTCGCGTCAACATTTATTTGCGATTCGTCAGTTTGAAATCAATCTGCGACGATTAATTTTCGCAACTGCGGAAACATTTTCTACAAATACAAGGCAAAATAAATGGTTCGCAGCGATTAATTTACACGCATTAAAGTAGGTTGCGAAACTCGCGAATATTTTTCACACGCGAATAAAAGTTGGTTTACCATAAACTATTATACATGTGTAAAGCATTGACTGGTTCTGTATAAACTAGTACTCACCCCACTCATTTTGTTATTGTGTAAAGCATTGACTGGTTCTGTATAAACTAGTACTCACCCCACTCATTGTTTTGATATTGTGTAAAGCATTGACTGGTTCTGTATAAACTAGTACTCACCCCACTCATTGTTTTGATATTGTGTAAAGCATTGACTGGTTCTGTATAAACTAGTACTCAACCCACTCATCGTTTTGATATTGTGCAAAGCATTGACTGGTTCTGTATAAACTAGTACGCACCCCACTCATTGTTTTGATATTGTGTAATGCATTGACTGGTTCTGTATAAACTGGTACTCACCCCACTCATTGTTTTGATATTGTGTAATGCATTCTGTGCATCTAGTGCTGCTTTCCTTGTGTAAAATGTGACAAAACAGCAACCTGTAAAATACAAAAGAAAACTTACAAGTGTTGTGTAAAACTCAAATTTGAACACAAAACTTTGAAGCAAAAAAAAAATCAGGCAATTTTTTTTTTAATTCATCTTTGACACAAGATGCAAAAGAAACCTCATAAATCATCAGTTCAAGACTTCATTAACAAAGGCTGTAACAAACCAAGATCTGAATAACACTGAAATTACAAGTATCAATATGTGTAGGCCTTGGGCTAGGGAATGATTTTTTCCCCTTTTTTTTTTACTTTAAATCTTTTGTCTATTAATCATGTTAAGGCCAGCTGTTTTTTTTTCGTAGCAAAGTATTACACTGGTTCATTTTTATATGCAACAAATTAATTTTTTTAAAATCATATCAAGTAAGTTTACCTCAAAACCACTTCTAGAACATATATTGTGGTAATAATATATACAAACTTTAAAGGAATTTATGTACATTCTATTTCTCCATATGTTTTATTGCATTAACTCTAAATCTGACATAATTTGTGAAATCACAGCCAACCCTAAAACAGTACTAGAGGTAGTGGCTATACCAAAAAAATCTCATTATTTCAATGATCTTCCTGTAGTTTAAAATTAGAAAAAACATAGACTGTATATCTTTATATTCATCCCCCACCCATTGGTTTTCTGACTATGTGAAGAATATCTTTTTTTATATTTTCAGACACTAGACAAAGCCTGACAATGGTTCCTCCTGTATCTCCAATCTTATTGTCCGACATATGTTATTTATGTATGTGTTAGGTATTTTGCTTTGATTTCCTGATACTATATAGAATTCTGATCTATTGAACATTAAAGTTCATTACACATCTATGTAGCGACGTTGTCTATAGTTATCATGGCTGATCTCCTTGATAACCTTTGGTGTTTTGATCTGAAGAGAATTACAATACTTTAATGATCAGATTTCCGTCAGCCGTGACATAACGGGTATTTCTATCTCACACTCCAAAGTCAATAGGAAGGCAATCGGCCATACTTTGTCGCTAAGAACAGATTAAACAAGAACAATACATTAATCTTTTGAATGAATGACTTGAGACAAATAGGACCCGCATTATTTAAATGCCAACTTCACAGTTCTTCTGTGGACTTGACAAAATCTGTCAGATCGAACATTACTGTTTAAGTCCACGACTTCCTTAGCAACCTGATGCTGGAATCCTGTTGCCACGGTGAGGTGTCAAACATTCAGCGTCAGAGAAATCTGCCTCAGGTTTTCTATCTACACAGAAAGTGAAGGCTTTAATCTCAATGCACACATTTTATTTGGTATCACTTGACTTAAAGTGAATGGTCCTACAACAATATGGCTGGTTACCTTTGACAGGATAATCAATGTCAATTGTTTTTAGATCAGGCTTCAGTGTTAAACACATCTTGCCTGTAGCTATCCCATCTTAACATCCAATTCACAGGATGATAAACTAAAAAAAAATGAATTCTCAGTATTAATTAGCTTGATTTCATCAAATGCATGTAATGTCACTTCAAATTGTGCCCTTGTTATACATAAAATCACCGATATATGCTAAAAGGCCAATTAATGGCAGAAACTTCTCTGAAGTTGCATGATCAACTGTAAACATCAAATTTATAAAAACATTTACAGGGGAAAAACATTTTTTTATTACAGCATGTGTACAAAATGTGTTTCTTGATGCTACAAGTGTCAGCCATAAACATCTGTTTAGAGTTATTTTACAATGTTTTACAGATGAGAATGTGATCAAGTTTCACTTGAATGTGAACATAAACAAGTTTGACTTGAATGTCCTCAAAGAGTCAACTCAACAGACTCTGACAATACACAGCTTCTGATAAGTACAGCATTACAAATGATTGAGAAACAAAGAAAAACATAGGTAATCAGAGATTACAGAGCTCACCTCAACGAATGTTGCCTTTAAGTAAGGCAAAGTCCCACACTAAACTAATAATCTAGGAGTGTGCATCCCTAGATGCAACATTTATGCAATTTTGGTCTGATAGGGCTTGCAGTTACTTGGTAATAGACGTACCTGAAAACTTAAAACTAGTCACTCATCCAGAAAATGTAAGTCAAATCCACGCATCCAAAGCAAGTTTTGAGATTGTTCGTCCCTTGATGCATCATCCATGCAAGTTTTGATCAGATAGGCCCTATGGTTACTTGGAAATGAGATCTGCTCCAAAAATTTTAATCTGGTTACTCATCCGGAAAATGTAGGTCAGATCCAGCATCCGAAGCAAGTCCAGTAGTGTACATCCTTAGATGTATCATCCATGCAAGTTTGGTCAACATAGGGTTTATAGTTACTTGGAAATGACATCTGCTCCAAAAACTTTGACTGGTCACTCATCCGGAAAATGTAGGTCAGATCCAGCATCCGAAGCAAGTTTAGTAGTGTGCATCTTTAGATGTATCATCCATGCAAGTTTGGTCAATATAGGGCTTATAGTTACTTGGAAATGAGATCTGCTCCAAAAACCTTAACCTGGTCACTCATCCGGAAAATGTAGGTCAGATCCAGCATCCGAAGCAAGTTTAGTAGTGTGCATCTTTAGATGTATCATCCATGCAAGTTTGGTCAATATAGGGCTTATAGTTACTTGGAAATGAGACCTGCTCCAAAAACTTTAACCTGCTCCAAAAACTTTAACCTGCTCCAAAAACATTAACCTGGTCATTCTTTAGCTAAAATTGCAGCATCTGAAACCTTGACTGGTACAATGAAACACACTAGAAGCATCCTCCATGCATCTCTGACTAATACAGGCCATAGAAGTACTTGAAAAGAAAACTGCTTCAAAAACCTTAACCTGGGACGGCGTTGGCGACGCTGACGCCGACGCCGAGGGTATTACATAAGCTCCCCCAACTTCGTTGAGGTGAGCTGAAAAAAACTGCACACTTTATATAGTTCACTTGATTTTTTTCTTTTTTACACCACTTTTTAGATTTTTTAATCTGATATACTAGAAAATCAATCTGATAATCTACTTGTTGAGCTTTCTAAACAAAAGCAGGGAGTTGATCTAAGATTTTGATTTGCCTGTTCTTTTTCCCCTCTAAATCATGAAATAATTTAAATGATGACAGTTATCTACAGAAGAGAAGTAGGGTGTATTTATCAATATTTTTACAGATCAAATAATTTTTCCAACCAATATGCAGGCTTTAATAGATTGATATTCTCAATTCTACAAACCAAATTTTTTACGACGGCAATGATTTGTTTACAGTTTACACAGTGGTAAGCCATTACAAACACAGTAGCTTTATTTATTTGTGATAAAATTTATAGAACTGATTAACTACTCTAGTCCCTTTTTCCTTTGATATCTCTCCCAGCCAGGAGCTACAGTTGATGGATACCCCTTTCTATGCTTGGCAGGCCTTTAGTTCTCTGTTCTACTGAAGTCTCCAGTCTGCTTAGAAGTTAACACAGTATCAAAGACTAGAATCTCTTTGTCAATTCCTGCGAGAACCGAACCAGTCAACATTAATCCCGCATTCAGTCCTAATCAGGAGTCTGGGTCTGCCATGCGTTTGTGCTAAATGGTGATTTGCATGCAGTAATCCTGCAGAATTTGCACATTGTAGATAACCTCGTTTTACGCGCCCCATCAGAGCTTTGTTCCGATCAGTCTATATAGTGACAGTCTTATGAAGTCATACAATCAAATTAATGAAATAACTCCCCGTTCTATCGGCCTCTCTATCTAATGGAATTTCTCCGTCTTTGTTCTCTACCACAAAACACACAATATACAGATGATATACAGTTTTCAACTTTGTGATTGTACTAATGAGCACATTCAAGTTTTAGCAACAAGTTACGCCTGGTAGTTTGGAGATCAACCTCCCTAGTTCTACTAATTGTAGATTGTAAGATTAAATGCACTCTATTTGATTACATTTTCCGTGCGTTTTATATATATATATATATATATATATATATATATATATGTATATATATATATATATATATATATAAATGCAGCCTCTATTTGAGACACATTTACCCATTAATTAATCAGTGATATACAATTTATGCCCAAAAGCCCAAAAGTGAGGTGTCATTTTATCATATTTTTCAGCTATATATGTCATTAAAAATGGACTATTGAAAAAAGTATTGCAATGTTTTTGTAGATAATTTCTTATAAATATAACATCATAAAATAAATGCAGAATTGTTAGAACTTTCTTCCCATAATTCAAAGTAATTTTATCTGCAGGTGTTGTGAGGCTATCACACTAAATGCAAATTTTACAGGCACAATTTTTGTTAAGAAATCATAGCATTCTGAAGCCAGAAATTTTAACTTCATGATTTTATAAAATCTATTGAATTATCAATGAATCATATTTTGCTTAGAATCTTGGGAAAAGAAAATTAAGGAAAACCATTCCAAAATTGCCAATGAGTGTGAAAAAAATGGAAATAGGGCTAAAACTGTCCTCAAAATAAGTTTATAATTATAAAAATTTGTTTTTCAATGAAATTTATGGTGAAAAAATGAAATGACTCCTCATTTACGATCGTATACTGTATATGATTTTCTTATTTATCAAAGTACAGTTAATAAACCAAATTCCATCCCTAAATTATTTTTCCCCTTCCTTAACATAAAAATTAATTAGGACCTCTCTTTCTTTATCTACACATTAAGTTTCTTAATAAATCTCCACTAGTTTTCACCCCCCCCCCTTCATTAGCATTTAACATTAGGACATCTTTATGTTAATCTATGAGTTCAGTCTTTTTTCTATACCATGCAGAATTACAAGGGGTCCAGCCTAAATTCCTTTGCAAAGGCGTATTTTTCTTTGCAACAGAGAAAATGGCGGAGTCGAAGCGGAGACTGGAAAGAAGGCCAGTAAACATCACGAAATTTTTAGTTATTTGCGCATTTAATTCGGTATCAAAATATGTCGTTTCGGTGAAGCATTTATTTGTCTTTTGGAGGGATACTTTTGGATACCCACGACTTACATACCAAAATTCTATTGAAATAAAACGACATGCCTTGCAGACACGGATTGAATACGTGTGTCATCATATGAGGGTAAATACTGTCTTTTACAACAGAGTACATGTTGAATGGAAAATAAGAGAAACTTATCTCATATATTACATCAAGACTCCTTATTCAAACATGACTTTCTGTGACAAAATGACAAAATTTTGTCTAAATTCCAAAATAAAGGTAGTATAGGAAATATTTCATTTGCAAATTGCGGTTCAGGGCTTGTTTTTCCTGTGCAAATCACTTTGCTGTATAAATAATACAGAAATTCACCATCACAACGATTACAAAAACGAAAAATACAATCTGATAAATTTGGATTTAATCAGTACGTAAGTTTCAAGGTATTGCTTCCTTCAAAACTGTTTTCATAACCGGTCAGATTTATCTATTTCAGGAAAGAGCACTGCATCAAATGCAGGAAGATTATTACCAGCAAATATTTTCTTCAACAATACCAATAGACGCAGCAGGACTGTATTCATGTAATCATTATGGGAAGTCTTTCCGAACCAATGAAAAGTGTGATTTGTATTAAAAAAAAAATAATTTTTATAATAAAGGTCTTATTAAGTACCGCGAAAACAGAATGTATGCCACAAAACTCTTCCCACCTCCTTCTAAAGTGAAATCTAAATACAACAGCATCGCCAGGAACTTGTAAAAATCCAAAGAATAAAAAAAAAAAACTATCGTGAACAGATTGAAATCATCAAGATTGTGTAAGATAATCAAGTACATTAAATCCAAAATGTGAAATATTCTTTAATTAATCGTCATATGAAGGGTTTAATGCAATATATTTCTTGAAATATTTTTTCCAATGATATCATCGCATAGCATTTTTTAATCTCTTATGGAATCATGCTTTCGGGTCCGTACTGCGTTGGGGGGAGGGGGGGGGGGTGTCTAAGGATATTTTTTGATGTAGTTTAACAAGGTAAATTTTCATTTGGAATCCCCCCTTTTTTGAAAACATTGCAATGGGATTGACTTTTGAATATCATTGTTATTTTTTAGAAAACATTGTCTTTATTTACGAAATAAAAATTGGAGAAATTTTAATTTTGTTGTTTTTTACCATGAGCAAATAATATTTGATGCAAAGCCTATCTGTTCGTTGGGGGGGTGGGGGGGGGGGGTTCCAAAAGAATTCTACTAAAAATTTTAAAAAAAAAATTAAAAACCATTTCCAGAAAGTTAATACAGAGTGATCTTTTTCTCAGTCACCAAATGTTTAAATTCTGTCTTGATACACGTACATGTTTAAATTTCGCCGAACATATCCTATGCTAAAATACTAAGTTCATTCTAGTTACCTAATATGTATATAAGTATAAATGACGTGTCTAAGACCCATTTTATATTACGAACCTATGACAAATTTCAATGATTTTATTTTTAAAACAAATGTCCATATTCAAATACATGTATGCAAATTGTACAGATTCAACTGTCAAAACTTTTATTCGGGTTCACAGTTTATATCGACAAGAAACATTCAATACATGCAATACTTGTGTACGAATACTTTAAGATGATGAAAGAGAATGACAGTTATAAAATTGTCATCATCTTGAAATGTATATCACTATATGACAATTTTCATCGTAAAAATAAATTATTATTATAAAAATTGAATTTCAGTAATTCATGAGTTACATTGCAAGAAATATATGTGATTTTCTACACCCTATACAGTTCCCTTTCCAATGTCCCCACTTTCAACGATGATAGAATTTTAGATCCATCGACCATAATCCATCCGATCGCAAACAGTCTAAATACTCTTTGGAACTTGCATATGCCCTTGTCCAGAATTTTTTTCCTTATTTACAACCTCAGGTTTGAGCGTATGAAAGGATCAGTCTCTAGAGAGAGAAAAAAAATTTAAAAAAAAAGTGTATCAGAGGTAGGGAGAAACTAACAAAAAATACACCCTCCCCAATTAGAATCATAGGATTTACTGTGTACACACCACTTATATCATGCTGGGTGACAGGTAATTTTCATCGTGAAAAGTATGTATACAATTTGATTGCAAACACTATATTGCTGCCTGTAATTTTGGCGAAGAGGCCTTTTCAATATAACGACCAATGTTCTGAATCACAGAGTTGCAAAGTAAACATGTCCTAATATCGACTTTGCAAAGTAATTTTAATCTTAAAGTCGTAAATTGTGGATTAAATTTCTAAAACTGGCTTTGTGTGAATGGAAATTGTGTTTTTCTAATATTTGACCGGAAAATTTACAAATATATGTAATTTTTACAGCTTTGAACTGTGCAGTATGTTACAAATAACCGATGATTGGTTATGAATGCGACAAACAATAGAGACATGTCTATGGTTTTTCTTCAATAATTTTTTCATCTTAAAGTAAATCTCTTTAGCTTAGTTTTCCCACTGGAAAGGATGGATAGGCGCACCGAAACGTAACATTCATTTATCAAAATTAATGATTATAGTTCCTAAAATTACATGAAAGTTACTGACCTTGTTTTCTTCTCCGCTTCGTATCCGCCATTTTTTCGGTTGCAAAGAAAAATACGCCTTTGCAAAGGAATTTAGGCTGGACCCCTTGAATTATTTCCCTTTATGAACATTTGTTTATGGCAAGACACACTCAAGTATTTTTAATGGGAGCCAGATAGTTTCTGATTAAAGCTTGAATGTGAATGAAACAAACCACAAACTGGTTTGTAGTAAATTATTATTATTTAGAGTAAGTGACATACTTTCAGAGCTCACAATAGTTAACTCGATTGGTTATTACAGAGTTATCTACCCTTACTTTACATTACTACAGAGTTACTGACCTTTACTTTGTCCTGTGGCTTTGTCACGGAGAACGTTTAGCTGATACACTGCACCAAACTCTTCAAACATTTTGCGGAGATCATTTTCATCCATCGACCTTGGAATTTGACCAACAAACATTTTGATGGCATCTGGGTCGGGCTCTGATTTTTGGACCTGGCCATTCATTGTTCTGAAATTATTTTTTTTTAAATATAAATAATAACCAACAGTAAAAACACTTATTTTCATGGAGTCAAATTCATGGTTTTAGAAATTACTGGTCTGAGGGGATTTGGAAGCATGAAATTTTCACATTTCCTAGGAGATATAAATTTGTGGGTCTCATCTCTTCATACCACAAAAACATTGAAAGTTGAACCCTCACGAAAATTAGTGATATCACACAGTAGATATCAGTATCCAATACTTCATAAAACATTCAGTATTGCATCATGGATAATACTTAGTCTGATTCAGTTAAAATAAAAGCTATTGTTAGGAATTTCAAAGTACATTTCTCTTTTAATGACAGTACAAAGAAAATTTTCATTTATATGAGAATCCTTGAATGTAACAACATCAAACATAAAAATCAGGGCTTTCAACATGATTAGAAACAAATGTTACTTTGACAAAAATAGGAGGTACCTTGTGGAAGCAATTTTAATTTAATATGCTCAGGGCTAGACAAATAGCATTGCCCGACGCCCGGGACAACCAATTTTGTTTGGCGGGCAAGTTATTTGATAAGTGGTACCTGCCCGCGGACAAGTGCTTCTCCAGTTAACAAAAAATCAAATGTTGTTTGTTTTATCGCTGTTGAAATGTAATGAATCACAGTAGAGCACCTGTTCTTCGCTGCTGTTCATCACTACATCGAATACTCGGTCGGAACTCCTCTAGAATTTAGCCATTTATGTGTAGTTAAAATACACACAGGACGTAAAACATAGCAGCTATCGATTCCATGTCAAAAAAGTTGAAGAGGATTTTAGACCTTTTTAGGTATTGTAAAAAATAATGTAAAAATTCATGCCGTGAGTACAAACGTGTTATACTGATATTAAAATTGGAGCTGTTGACTGGCGATCACTGAAAGTCACAATCGACATGCAGTGATGGTTTTCATAATCAAATACTTTATAATATTCAAAAAAAATTTTTTTTCTCTTTCAGTATTTTTGGGATGTTAAAGTAATACAGAGAAAAGTTTAAATTATGCACACTGCACAAGCTAAGAAATCTCCCTGGAACAAGACTTACCCCTAAATTTTTCCGTGCAAAAAATTAAGCTATTTTATTTCTAGTTTCGTCCCCATGTAGTGTACGTATCAGTTGAGAAATAATTTAATGTTTCACGATAATGCTTTAATTTTATGTTAATTAAGAAAAAAGTGGGACAAGCATATTTTTTGGTAGGACAAGTAATTTTACGATGGTAACCTGTCCGAGGGCAAGTACTGAAAAATTCTATTTGTCTACCCCTGATGCTATCAAATTTTTCTTCAACAATGTTCAACAAATAATCTGGCCGGTACAATCATGATTTCAGCCGGGTAAAAGTACAGAATACTGGCAGATTTCTAAAAGGCCTTAAAAATATAAACTGTTCCTTGACAATAAGCCTTATAAAGGAACCTAAAAATGCTCTTCTGAAAAACTTCACAAGTATGTAGCAGAAAGTGCATCAAATGACATCTAGTATTCCTAGACCTCACAATGTGCTAAATGTGCATCATTCATTACTTTATTGGGCATATCAAAAAATGACAAAATTAAGCAATCATCACCTACTCTTAGGCTATACAAATCATTACTCCAATTAGCAAATATCAATACTTAGTAAATGAAGGCACAAGATATATTTTGAACACGTTATGCCTATATGCTATAAAATTCCAAATTAAAATATTTCAAACATGTCAAATAGCTATTAAATTTCAAAAGGTAGGTCACTATGACCTAATTTTAGGTCCACAGTTCATGAGGCCCCCAAATGCATATCTGGTATTGTTAACAAATTTAAAGCATGTTGGAATATTGCAAGGGTTTGAAAGACATCATTAACAAGCCTATCCTCAGGAATGACAATGACTCTTTGTGATAGGACAAGTATAACCATGCAGAATAATTGCTATACTAAAGTCATGTAGGAAATAACTTTCATTTAGTGAATGCTGAAAACTCCTTAAAAGTCAGTTTTTTTCCTTCTTTTTGAACCATTTTTGTCCATTAAAAATATATTATACAAAAGGGTGGGGAATTTCAAATCTTCTATTACTGTCAATTCTTTTTTTTTTTAAATTAATCATCAGTTCCTTTTAAGCAAGCTCTATTGCGTCTACTGTCATTTTTAAATTTACCACAAATTTTAACTTATCTCCACCATATTTTTAAATATTTGGGCCATCCTCTGTGTAAAATTCTCTCCTAACAGAGGCGAGTTTTCCCAGTCCTTATGTATGTTACAGAGTAGAAATTATGTCATAAGGAAAATCAATGAAAGTGAAAAATATTTCAAATTGCCAAAATGAAATTATCTGACACTCCGACCACCAAGCTTCTGAAGTAACGTCCCTGTAGATTGACAATGTAAGTCTCCATGATAGATTTACAACAGTTTCCAAAAAAATTTAAGATGTAGAACTTCTCACTGATTGTTTAGATGGGCACTGCATTATTTAAGTTTATTATTCTTATTTATATTGACTTATGTGGGTTTTAATTATTTTAGAAATAAATCACTTCTGGGTAAAATAAAGACATGGGAAATAAGACCACTTACTTCTCCTTTGAACAACATTCAAATATAATGGATATTAGTAAAACTTAAATTATAAAGAAAATATTTCTCTGCTAGATGTTCAGGCATAAAGATCTTCTTAGGTATAGAGTATTTTTAATGTATGCTCAGAACTTAGACAACAAACCTGGGTCTGAAATTTAATGAAATGCATAAATTTGGTAGAGGCCGGGTTAAGTGCTCATTGTATTCATGCTACCAGTTTGTCTGCTAATTCTTAATCAGGATTTTTGGAGAACATCATAAAGTTTGACTGTATCTCCACTCCTCAAGTTCTAGTGGAGCAGAAGACCATGAAATTTGTAACATTTTGTTCCCTTTCTCCAGAATTGTTATTCATCAAATTTAGTGGAAATTGTTTTCCAAGAGGCAAAATTTTTTAACAATCAATATACATTTCACACTATGCACAGCAATGGATGGATATTTGGCAACTAACTCAGAGTAGACTCATAAAAGGACATTATTTGAAACTTTTAAAATAACTATATGTTTGCTATAATTCTTCATTAAAATATCTTAAATAATTTTAATGCACCCTAGTCAATATTATTAATGTAAATATATATCTCAGAACCTCTCGCATAGGAACCAGAGTTTCCTCTGACAAAAACTCCTTCAGAGTCTATCACCATCTTTTTTCAATAAAAAACACAATAAAACAGACCTTATCAATTCATTCACAAGCAGTGTCCATATTTTACAAGGACTTTATCCACTATCTCACGGTTTAAATGAAGATGTTGTAGATAGCATAAAATAAAGAACTTATCGCTAGATTGTTTTAAAACTTGAGGGTATCATTAAATAATTGATAGGGCTTGGAGTTTTACGCTGCATTTGTAGTTTCGTCCTTGTCTACTGAAGAGATTACAAAGCTCTTATGACGGTAAGGTGTTTAGAAATGAAATAAAGCGCATCACATCATCTCTGGCAGAACAAACATTGAGTGTACTTAAACACATGAGAATTTGATACTATAATCAGAGTCAATGCCTCCCGCGCTCCACGGGCGATTCATTCCTGCTCCATGTGCTGCCCCCTTTATGTTCTTTATGCTGGTTGGAGGTTAAAGAAACTCAGAGCTCCACTATTCAGTTGTTTCCATTATGATGGCTCTTAAATTCAGCCAAGACTAAAATGCCTTCTAATTCTGTGTTCATTTTATGTAAAACCCACCAAATCTTTTAACCCATCAGTTTATTTAATGATTAAAAGATCATTTTCAAAGATTGTGCCCCATGTGAACTACGTTAATGAATCAGGAACATGTTACAAGAAGTCCTGAATCTGTGTTACAAGTGTTCTGTACAGGAAAGAAAAATATAAAAAAAAAAAAAATTAATGCAGCTTGAATATTTCTGAGTGACATTGAGGGCCATGAAACCTAAAGGTTAACGACCAAGTCCGCCAACCTGTGACTTACGATGCCTTAGGGGCTTGGTATTATTTCATACTGTTAATTTAATTCCTTCTAATTATTTACTTTTATTTCCATAATAACATGCCACAACTTTTCTCACTTCAAAACAAGCAAAACGTTAAACTCTTTACTCCTCCATGATATAAGGAACCCTTTGTACATAAATACATTAAATTCCAAATGTAAAATGTACAATTTAACCCTATAATTACAGAATCAATTAATCGTAAAATTATATTACATGTAACATTAAAGTCCAATTTCCAAGAAATGCAAGTTTAAAAATTAGCAAAAGACAAACAGGGTTTAGTTTGACCTTCTTTGACAATGGACTAATAAAGACAATGGTCGTACAATTAAATACGGTACACTCTGTGAGAGTCTAAAGATTAAGGTGATCTGAAGCTGAGTTGATACAGAGTGTAAACAAAGCTTTTTATCCCTGTGACCAGAAAATGGCCTCAGGTTATGACCACTGTATTGACTTAATCAATAAATTCCCTAATATATCTCTGTGTTTCTTATAACAATGCACAGCCCCCATTAATTATGCCACCAAATTAGATTGAATTTATGTAAATTCCCTCTTTGATATTCTCCACATATCACAACTTCCTGAGGTCTTTCCCTTTTTTTAAGCTTTGAATATTAAGCATTGAATCGCCTCAGGGAATATGAGAGAATAATATACATATCAATGTCTAGGTTTCCTTAGCATAATTTAACACATAACTGTCAACACTTGATGAAAATGTTTAATTGATATCTTGGTCCTCATACCTTCACGATATCACAGAAAAGCCGCTATTTATACCGGAATTCCTGACTTCACCTGAGAGACTTGCATAAAATTCATCTGATATATATATCACTATGACAACTAACTGCTATGGTTACCTGTCCAATGACCCCCCAAGATCCCCTCCTGACATTAATTCACTCTGACATAACTTCCTCTGTTTATCATTCCACGTCACACACTCCTTTAGATCCACCCCTCACCTTACACTGACTTCCCCGTCACTATAACTGGACAATCGCGATTTCTTCACACATCCTCCTTCCTGTTCGGAGTCCGACATCGCTTGGTACAATCCCAGAATTCCACTGTCCCTCTCACCAGCCCCGATTCTTACAACCGACCGCACAAGCATGTGTTCACAAAATGCACTCCGGTGTAATTCACAACATAATTCCAAAAACTTTTTTTCCTCCCTTTTGTGTGCGGTTATTTTTTTTTCAGTTAGAGCACAACTTAATAGAAACCTCTTGTGTGTTGCAATGTTAAGCAACAAAAATTGGCATATTCAATTATTGAAATTCATAGCAGGAGCTGGAGTCATTTACATGATGAGGAGTACAACACTACTTGAGAGTTTTATTACATGGTGGGAATTTCTCAGAGAAGGAACTAGCGTTGGCGGTCTATTTGTGGCCCTGAACTCACTATCAGCATGTCCAGAAGGTCCTATCAGGGAACGGGAGTGTTGTCACCCTGGACCCTATCTATAGACCTATAACTACGGCTCAACCAGCAATGATTTATCTAATCAAAGTGAACTTGTTTTTATTCCAGAGGATAATTATAGCTTTGTGTACCATTCCTGCAACAATTGATTATTTATCAGCCTTAACAGTCACTTCCAAATAAAAGCTTAGTAACCTATCAATAATTCTCTATCATCAGAAATCAACTGCAGGTAATTCCTGGCTAAATCTCCACCGATCAAATTTATTTTTAACAGATACAGGCAGAATCTTAATACGTCTAATGAAGAAAGCTGTCCAATAAAAAAGAAGGCTATTTAGCCGCACACACATTTATTTATTTTTTAATTTGTTGTAACACACTAGCAATTGACAAGCAATCCCCTAAAATTGGCATAAAATGAAAATAAAAAAAAATTGTTCATAGAGTAAACATTCATTCTTATGTTATTAAATGATATTAATGAAAAAATACAACTAAGTATATTCATAAATATGAAATCAAGAAATTTGGTCTATAGTAAGCTTTCAACCCCCCTCCCCCCTGCTTCAAAGGAACAAAGAAACCCAAAAAGTTTCCTCAACAATACCTCTTATAATATTCGTAGACAAAAGTCTTCCTTTACCACTGTTAAGATAATGATAGTGTTTGTATGTGGTAACATTTTCACTTAGAGTAAAAACATAAACTAGAGGAGGATCCTTAATTAATGTGATCACTAATGAACGCTAGCACACAGACATCTTAATTCTACTGAAGTACAGGAGAACGGTTCGTTCTAAGGAAACATGAAGATGGTTTCTTTTCTCTTTGTTTTCCTGAGGAGTTAATCCTATCAAACAGAGATGTTTCTTTTTTCATGGGGAATTAAGAGCCACCACTCTCTTAGCTTCTGGCATCTGACACAGAAAATAAAGAGGCTAAAAGACTTCCTAAATTCTACTGAATGAACTCTCAAAAATACAGCTTGTAAATCCCCCCAAACTAGCATAAAATTAAAATGCATAGATAAACTCCATTCCATCTCTATATGTAAGGAGGGAGCTTTTCCAAACAGGTATTGTTTTTGTTCTTTCCTTAGACTGATTAAGGGATGGCCATTTGATTCTGAAAAGGGGGGGGGGGGGCTGGCAGATTTTGGAAATAAATTTTGGAAAGAAATAAGCTGACCTCAACTAGGAACAAAATAAACATATCTTTGGTCATACTGAAATTATTCTGTTTTGTGAGGTCATGGAAATACATATTAAATCCCCCCACCCTTTTCCAATCAAATCTATCATTTTTCTGTATTTCAAATTTAGTTATATGTTTGCTCAGTTCTTTTTATTCTATATTTTACTTATTTAAAGATTAAATGATTTAAAATTTGAAATACATGTACCATATAATCTAGTACAAAATCACAGTGTACAAATGCTCCATAGAATGACCTCCAGACATAGAAACTATCTGAAGATTTTATTATCACTTTGGCCTCTGTTTGGTTTAACCTGACTGAAAAATAGCAAATCAAACTGACCAGTTCTTATGAAATAATAGATCAAATTCCAGACACAACATATCTTTTTTTATTGTCAGTCAAAGCAACCACATGTTCGTAGTACCGGGTCTAACCAAATCTTATTTATAACCCTTGAGAGACAATACGACACAGAAGGAATAAATGGTGACATCCAAGGCGTTAAATATTCCATATATACCAAGCACCACGAACTACGGACAATTCTATATACACCAAGCACCACAAACTATCCGGACAATTCATGCACATACTTGACATTATTTTAGACTAATGGTCAGAATTAATGAACTGGTCAAACTTGCTGATCTTCTTGACCATATCTATTTTTTCATGTGAACAGTCTTTTTCTGGTCGGACAATTTGTGCGACCAATATTTTTGCAGTGGGATATTAGTCTATATCCAACCATAAAAATCTAATTAACAAGAGAGAAGTTGGGTCATTCATTAAATGTTCCAAGATTTCTTTTGAACTTGTTACGATCCATGCAAAATTTGTCCTGTTTTCTGACCAAAGACAACTTAGTAATGAACAGGTATTTTAAATAAATAATGTACTTGTAAAAGATATGCATCAATACTTTAAGCAAGCTTAGACTGAAATAAATGTGGGCTTGGTAAAAAGAGATGGCACTGATGGATTAAATAGTGGACCAATATGTAACATTTCTCTGACAATAGTGGACCAATATATAACATTTCTCGAACTATGGTGGACTAATTTGTATCATTTCTCTAACTACGGTGGACTAATTTGTAACATTTCTCTAACAACAGTGGACCAATATATAAAATTTCTCTGACAATAGTGGACCGAACTGTAACATTTCTCTCAAATTCGATTTCGAGAATTTAAAAAACAACCTTATAAGAGAATGATCTTTCATTGTGAACACTATAGGGTTTATAATGAAAAACTAAATGCTGTAGCACAAAATATTCCTTTAATCAACATAAACCTTCGAGATACCAGGACGACATAAATACTAGCCCCCTCATCATCGTTTTATGACTTACGAGGTCGGGAGTTTTCAATCACTTCCTTGTCATCAATTCACAGTCCTCTGTCTCATTAATGACCAGATCAATAATGTTCTAAAGACATCAAATCAAAAAAAACATCCCACACACATTATAAGCCTGGAGACCATGCAGTGAAACCATGATACCTAGCACTGCATCTGTATAGGACTTCCAATATGTATACTTGCTGGCTGAATGGGAGAATCTCTGGTTTTAAAGACAACTTACTCTAACAGCAGTGAAGAAATAATTTTTGTCTTAGCATTGATTACAGTGATGTTCTGATATATCCTTGAGAACAATCCGCTAGTTAAATACTCCTGTCTCTTACCAGACCTCCTTTAAGTCACTTGACCAGACCTCCTTTAAGTCGCTTTACCAGACCTCCTTTAAGTAACTTGACCAGACCTCCTTTAAGTCACTTTACCAGACCTCCTTTAAGTCACTTGACCAGACCTCCTTTAAGTCACTTCACCAGATCTCCTTTAAGTAACTTGACCAGACCTCCTTTAAGTCGCTTTACCAGACCTCCTTTAAGTCACTTTACCAGACCTCCTTTAAGTCACTTTACCAAACTTTCTTTAAGTCACTTTACCAGATCTCCTTTAAGTCACTTTACCAGATCTCCTTTAAGTCACTTTACCAGACCTCCATTAAGTCACTTTACCAGACTTCCTTTAAGTCACTTTACCAGACCTCCTTTAAGTCACTTTACCAGACCTCCTTTAAGTCACTTTACAAGACCTCCTTTAAGTCACTTTACCAGACCTCCTTTAAGTCACTTTACCAGACCTCCATTAAGTCACTTTTCCAGACCTCCTTTAAGTCACTTTACCAGACCTCCTTTAAGTCACTTTACCAGACCTCCTTTAAGTCACTTTACCAGATCTCCTTTAAGTCACTTTACCAGACTTCCTTTAAGTCACTTTACCAGACCTCCTTTAAGTCACTTTACCAGACCTCCTTTAAGTCACTTTACCAGACCTCCTTTAAGTCACTTTACCAGACCTCCTTTAAGTCACTTTACCAGACCTCCTTTAAGTCACTTTACCAGACCTCCTTTAAGTCACTTTACCAGATCTCCTTTAAGTCACTTTACCAGACCTCCATTAAGTCACTTTACCAGACCTCCTTTAATTAACTTTACCAGACCTCCTTTAAGTCACTTTACCAGATCTCCTTTAAGTCACTTTACCAGACCTCCTTTAAGTCACTTTACCAGATCTCCTTTAAGTCACTTTACCAGACCTCCTTTAAGTCACTTTACCAGATCTCCTTTAAGTCACTTTACCAGACCTCCTTTAAGTCACTTTACCAGACCTCCTTTAAGTAACTTCTTAGTTTAAGGATTACTCTAGGATACAATGCTTTGAAACCCTTCATCATGACTTGTTGTGAGGCCTCCTTTTAGTAATGTCCCTTTTTAGGCCTTCTATTGAAGTGACATTTTTGTGCCCCCTTTCAAAAATCTCATTTGTGTGGCCCCCTTTCAAAAATCTCATTTGTGCGGCCCCCTTTCAGAAATCTAATTTGTACGGCTCCCTTTCAGAGATCTCATTTGTGCGGCCCCCTTTCAGTAATCTCATTTCTGCGGCCCCCTTACAGAGATCTCATTTGTGTGGCCCCCTTTCAGTAATCTCATTTGTGTGGCCCCCTTTCAAAAATCTCATTTGTGCGGCCCCCTTTCAGAAATCTCATTTGTGTGGCTCCCTTTCAGTAATCTCATCTGTGCAGCCCCCTTCCAGTGATTCTGAAAGGCCTCTTTTGATGCCCCCTTTCAGTAATGTCTCCTCTCTGTAACATTCCCTTGGAGGCCTCCTTTAGTTTACATACCTTTTAAGGCCTCCTTACAGGGACAAATCTCTTTTTAGAAACATACCTTTAAAGGTCTCTTTAGGTAAGATACCTTTTATGGCCTCCTTTCTGTTACATACCTTTTGAGTCCTTCTTTCAATTATAATTAATTGAAACCTGTTTAGGTAGCATACCTTTTGAGGCCATCTTTAGGTAACTACTTGATGCCTCATTTCAGAAACATATATCTATTTAGGCCTCCTTACAAGTATCATACCTTTGGAAACTTCCTTACCGAAACATATATATAATAAAGGCCACTTTTCAGTAACATCTCTTTAGAGGACTCCTTTCAAAAACATATCAATTGAAGTCTCTTTTAGCATATCTATTAACTTACATCTATTTTTAGTCTTCCTTTAAGTTATATTTATTTTTAGACCTCCTCCTGTAACATCTCTTTCAGACCTCCTTTAGGTAACCTCCTTCAGGTA